AAATAATTTTAGAAAAAAAGAAAGAAAGAAATTTTAGATAGATGCTAACTCGGCCGGCTCAAGACAAAAATATTAAAACTATGCAACCTGTACAACTAAACATGCCAAAATTTTTCTTTTTAATTACAACACGTTTTGAATCGATTAAATAAATTATAGTATACACTAGTTACACTACGTTTTAAATCATCAATAAATAGGAGGTTGTTCGATATTCAACTTTATATCGGTTGCAGGATATTGAGAGGTGCTATAGATTCTCCCATCTTGCACAATCGTATGTGTACTGTATACATGCCCGATAAATATATACGTTATATAAATGGCATTAGTTCTTCCACACAGGACGTAGCCACATAGAACATCGGAAAATTTGTACGAGATGAAGCTATGCTGCTATATTACTATAGTTGAACACGAATGGGTTGACTCAACCGGGGAATGACCACGCTCTCACAAAATACTAGCACAAAACAACGGCTTAGTGCTGCTGTATTTTGTATGGTAAGTGAAAAGGACTGGAACCCTTTTTAATAGAAATGTGGAATTTCATTTTAGTCCTCAGGGGTGACAACGCATCTGCATTTTGACTCTTCATCGATAATAGATAAAAGTAAAGTAAATATATATAATAGATACAGATATCAAAAATATATATATATATATATATATATATATATATATATATATATATATATATATATATATATATATATATATATATATAATAGATAGATAATAGATACAGATATCAAATACGGCATCCAGTTACCGTCAAGTGGACGATGTGCTCGTTTTTCACACTAAGTCTATGAAAATACACGAAGGCCGCGTCTATTGTGATGTTAATACGGTTCTTAGTATCTGTGTTCTTGAGTAGCGAATTTATTATTTACTTTTTGTGAATCCTATAGTCCAAAAACAAATATTAACTTTCAAATTTGACATAATTGCTGGAGTCTTATATTAAAATAAGCTTTTTGACAGTATTAATATCTAATTTGATCATTTTTATTATTGCAAATGAGTTCATATTATATACAAAAACATAAGGCATATATAAAATAATAAATGTATTAACCAATTAATAATTAATTTTTATTAACGCGTACACATGGAGTAGAAGTTTACGGAACTTTAAAAAAATATATAAAAAAGGGTTTAGTTATGGAACAAAAATGATTTTAAGGATATTTTCGACTTTAATTTTCATTTTTTATAGGATGGGGTGACAAACGAGCACACATTCCAACTGATGGTAAGTGGTTGCTGCGGCCTATAGACGTCTTCATTTATCCTCGACTACAAATAAAAATTCAGATGCGTTTTCACATATGAGGACTAAAATGGAATGTCTCGTTACCAGTAAAAAGGGTCTCCGGTTCTCTACAGTCACCGTACGAAACACAACAGCATTAAGCTACTTTTTTACGCTGGTATTCTGTGAGAGCGTGTTCCTTCCCCGGTCGAGCCGACCCGTTTGTGCTACAACTGTCGTAAGCCCAAATATTACAATTTATTATTTACGTAGTAGAGTAGTGTACGTGGTAGAGCCATGCTACAGCTACATTTTTATTGTAGCACGAATGGTTTAGCTCAATCGGGGAAAGAGCACGCTCTCACAGAATATCAGCGTGAAATAGCAAATTATCGCTGTTATATTTCGTATGGTGAGAGTAAAGAACCGAAGACCCTTTTTATTGGATTGGGGCATTCCATTTTAGTTCTAAGGAATGACAACTAATTTGCATTTTTATTTAGATGCATAGTTTCTAAACAGTTTTGTAAATATGCTAAATATTTGAGTATTACACTTGACTTATTAAGGTTATATTTTAATTTCCTCTTAAATATTGTTTATTACGGGTATCATCATCACCATGATACCATAAAAAGTTTTAGAAGCGCTTACGCTAATATATGTATATACTATTATAGCTATATATAGATATGTCATATATAATTAATGGAACCAGGCGCTTTCTCTGTAAAATTCATTTTATAATAAATAATCTGGAATAATGGAACATCTCGATTTATAATACATAGGTACATACATAGCATTACGCCTTTAATCCTCAAAGGGGCTTTTAGTGAGCTACTCGAACCAAATTTAGCCTAAAAGTGTAACATGAAATTAAAATTGTGTAAAAAAAATCTATGAAGTGATAGGTGGATTGCTAATCGCCTACCCAATCACAAGCCCAACGTCTAATTTTAGGCAAATAACAGAGGGCACATTCATCTTTGTTATTACTTTTTATCTGCGTATTCGTCCTTTCCTTTTAAAAAAATCCTGCAGATGTGTAATAATTGTTTAATTTGCTGGACAATGTTTAGTCATAAAATGATTGTGTAAGTTTCAAGAAAATGAAGCAAATCTTCACTGATCCCACACTTTGTTCGATACAAAATCGTTTTCCGAAGGAGACGGTTGTGGGTAGTGTTGTAGGGGTAGTAGCCGGCAAAGAGAAAATAAAAACTTTTTATATTAATACACATTGTTATAACTAAGTTAAATGATAGTACACATAGTTCATAATATTTAAATTTGTAAGAAAAATGAAAACGGTTGTTATCCATTAAGTACTAACTATTAAAACTAATGAATGCTAACTTGGAGTAATATTAATAAGATTACAAACAATGTATAAGTGTTTTCTTAATGTCCCCCAGACCGAATTTCGATCGCGGCCGGCGGTCTTAGGAGAGACTAGCCATCGGCACAGGATAAGCTTACAGTACCGAAACGTATGCGTAAACAGGAGTGCATACTCTATATATCCTCTATATATCCTCACTCCCACTGTCCGATAACCGTGCCGGTTATCCGACGAGACTTTTGGCGACCGACGACTTTTTGAGGCATGGATTTGAAACACTATTAAATTTCTTACTCCGGGCGACTGCTACTGAGAATTTCTCAGGATTATATTAATACACATTGCTTATAACAATTGAAACGATTTTTATGTGAACTGGCATGACCATGTAGAAATAATGAATGAGGAAAGACTGATAAAGCAAATATATGTTGCAGAAGTGAATGGAAGAGTCGGAAAGGGATGTCCTAGGCGAAAGTTTGTCGACCAAATTGGCGATATATTAAAATTGGGCCAACTTAAGAGTACCCTTAACCGACGAGCATGTACGCGTAGGCATATGGATGTGGAGGAAGCGAGAGAGGTATGTCAGGAATTATGCTCTTTTTTCGCAAGCTTTGAATAAAACCAGGATTCGGAGCGAAATACGTTATTTGGATCGGAATATCAGAAAACGAGGACTTCATCATAATTCCAAGTAGATCCAATATTTTGATCGAAAACCTAAATTTGTTTACGATTAGCGAAATGAACATCAAACAACAGGCGTAGGAAGTTTTATGAACTACAGTAGGTTAGGGTTCATCATCCATATTGTTTATAAATTATCACTTATAATATTTATTTTTTGTTCGTATTTTCAATTATTTGTAAACCCATTCTTACTTGGTAGAGCCATGCTGCGGCTATGTTTTGGTCAACATCGAACTATATTACTAGCGTAGTACGTACGTAGTATAACATACGTAGTAGTAATACCTCAATGTTGGTGAAAATACAAATAGGTCGGCACAACCGGGGAAAGACCATGCTCGCACAGAATTCCACGTAAAATAGAAGCTTAATGCTGCTATGTTTCGTATGGTGGGTGTAGATATGGTTCCAGGGGTGAAAACCATCTGAATTCTGATGTTTAATCTCTATTTTATAAGAATCAATCACCGTCCGTTTGCCTCGCTAAATCTCGAAAATGGCTCAACCGATTTGATGATTTTTTGTGTGTATATGAGCAGTTTTTTGGTTGGTAAGAACTCGTGTTGGACCCGGTAGGTAGCATTGTTGTCTACGTGGTAGAGCCACGATGCGGCTATATTATGGTTGTAGCACGAATGAGTCGGCACGACCGGAGTAGGACCACGGTCTCACAGAATACCAGCGTAAAAGAGTTGTTTAATGCTGCTGTATTTTGTATGGTGTGTGTAGAGAACCGGAGACCCGTTTTACTGGAATCGAGGCATTCCATCTTAGTCCTCAGGAGTGACAACACGAAGTTAAATGAAGATGTCTATGAGCTCGTATGTTATCTATATTCCACAAAAAAAATCCAGAAATCGCCTGTGCAAAGCCAGGGATGATCGCTAGTCGAGAACAAATTCAGATGTCTATGGGCCCCTCTCTTTCACACTTCTAAGAAATTCTTATTTTTTAGGAACATGGGAAACAGTTTTAAGAAGCCCATGTGCTTATAATTATATTGTAAAGTGTTATATAAAAATATCAGTTCATTTCATCTTTATTCTCCAGACATCCAGGTTTTTGATTATTATCCTATATCCCCTCCAGATTATATTGAAATTGAGCCTACATGTTGTCACACTCAGGCATTTTCCCAAAATCCTAATTTCGTTAAAACCTGCAACATTATAAAAATGTTATAATATATTTTATCTCATAGCAGGGTCAAAATATCCTATTATCAAATAGCATGTAATGAATATATTAACACTAATGTAATAAATAGCAAAAGCGTTCTTTAAATATTGTTATAATAAAAAGAAACTGTTTAAAATACATAATTCTATTAGGTAACAAGTAATAATACTTATTAACAACTATGTAGTAACATTTAAGCCTATTCACGTAATCTTTTGGTAGGTAACAGAATTAGTGGAATTGTTTTGACTCTATGCTCTACAATAACTTCAACCCTACAACGACCTTTGTCTCGTAGCTAAACAGTCATTATCAGCCTGTAAATATGCTTATTAAAATTCATAATTCGAATTTAATATAGAGCCCTCCGATTGGTCGGTTTGTTTTACTGCATCTATAAAAAGGGTGGAGGGGCAAGCTCTCCTGCATTTGCTTTCCAGTCGAGGTGGGAGCAACAAGTCTTATAGTATTGTTAGATTAAGTTACAACTGATAAATAATTAAGTGCTAAAATAACCCCCTCAAAATGGGGACATCTAGAATAAGTTTCACAACACTTAGTGCTTTTCTTATACTAGCTGTTTTATGGAAACCCGCATACACCGGTAAGTTTATTAATATAATGTCTTATGAACTTATAAAAAACTTGAGATGGAATTCTATTAAACTACAAATTCTGGGATTCTTATAAGACTTTTTAACTTTCTTTTAATAAATCATATATATGCAATGACATACTATTTCAATTTTTATACAGAATTTTTAAATAAATTAGATAGTTAATTTTACTAAGCATAAATATTCAATAAATTATTTAAAGTTAAACGCAATGTAATAGATTTAGTAAAATAAAATTAGTTTTAAATCTTTACTTTGGTTTTTGCATAAATATAAAAAATAGTTGTAGATAATAGTAAATATAAAAAATTGTTACTGATATGTTTTTTTTTATTAAATGGTTTGTATTATTCTATAAAAAATTAAAGTTATAATGCCAAAATGAATGATACTAAACATTGAACAGATACTAAAACTCTAGTTACAATAACATTTAACACAATATACGTGGTAGAGCAAGGCCACATATAACACTCACAATACATCATGTATGATACTAAACATTGAATAAGATAGCTAGGGGAAAAAAAATATATATATATATATATATATATATATATATATATATATATTAAATAGCAGCTTAATACTCCTGTGTTTCTTATGGTGCGTGTAGAGATCCAGTGACCCTTTTTTACTGGAAACGAGACATTCCATTTTAGTCCTCAGGCATGACAACGCATTTGCGTTTTGATTCTTAATCGAAGATAAATGTAGATGTTCCGATCACAGGACGAGGACAGTGTGTCCGTTTGTTACCTTTATTCTATATAAAAGAATAACAACCCTTATATACATATATCTAGCGGGTGTTGGTTATTCTAAGATTTTACATCAAGACAAACCCGCGCTGTCTCGGTGCATTTTGCAGGCATGCATTGGCAGGTTTTCTCACGATGTTTTCCTTCGCAGTATAAAGCACTTTTCTTTTTTTACTTTTTTTCAAAACATTACACATACCAAAATAGCATCTCGCAGAAAATGAGCCATTGATAGCGGTTTTTTTTAATAACTTTACCATCTTCGGCTACATCACCTACAGGGCCTGTGATTAAACGATATTGTACATTCTCCTTTCAATTATAAGTACTATTGAGCTTCGTTGTCGGCTTCTATTCAGCACCTCTGAAGGCTAAGATGGAATATCTCGTTTCCAGTAAAAAGGGTCTCCAGTTCTATTATAGCTGTTTATACCACTTAGATCAGAATACAGCAGAGCAAGCAAAGATATTTGACGGCAGAAATAGACAAGAGGTTAGTAGCACGTACCCAGACGGACACTTGGGCAGAAACGGAGTCTTACTATATATATATATATATATATAATCTTTATTCACTCTTTGCCTGTTCTCTCTACGACATGGTCAAATGCTAATATAAGAAAATTCCTGTATTTATATTGTGCCAGATCACTAGTAATGAATAATAACAATACGGGCTCATCATTCAATTTTTTAAAGACTTCATTGCGCTTGTCTTGATCCGTCCACTTCGATAAAAACATAACGAAAAACGTTTCCTGTTTTCATATAGAATTTCATTACAAGTGACAGTCTGATTCAATATCTTTTCGGCGAATTCAACAGATTATAGACATAACAATGGAGGATGAAGTTAAATACGATAAACACTCTTTATATTTGGTAGAGCAAAGCTGTAGCTATATTATGATTGTAGCATGAATGGGTCGGCTTGACCGGGAATAGAAAACGCTCGCACAGAATACTAGCTTAAAGAGCAGTTAAATGCTGCTGTATTTCGTATGTTGAGTGTAGAAAACCGGAGACACTTTTTTACTTTCAGTATTATAAAAAAATACTGTCAATTTGATGACCGCCTTGCTGGTTAAAGGTACACTTAATTTAGCCCATCTTCAATATATCTCCAATTTGGTCAACAAAATGTCATCTCGGGTGGTTTTTCTAGCCGACTTTGCTATATAAAACATAATTTTGTGATTTCACTCTTTCCTCATTCAATTTTTCTACATGTTGAAGCCACCGAAGCATTCATTCCTTCTTTATTCCGTTTATACCATCTTGCAAATCACACTGTTTTCTTATCTCAGTCAGTTTTTCAATATAACATTCAGAGCAACTCGTAACTTACTTACTGACTTCATTTCTACAGGACTAATTTTACTCTCCTACTTCTTATGCACTACTCAACTTTCACAACCATACATTAAGGTAGAGACTAACACAACATTGTTAATTAAAATTCGTGTTTTTTTGTCACATTCTGACTTTCATATTAGAATGAATAACTACATTTACTCTATATTCTTTATTCACTCTTTCTATATCGCTATTATGCCTGCCATCCCTGTAAACTTACACCCTAAATACAAAAGCTCATCCACTTGTTCGTCCAATGTGTGTAACATAAATGACTGTATATTTTAATTGCGTGGATTTATTTTTTAATATCAATTCCAACTTTCTATCTCTATCAGTTATTAAGAAAAAACAAGAACAAGTTTTCAAAATGCTTTTCTAATTGGGTTTCGTACCTAGAAGCCGCGTGCAACAAAGTAAGTTATCTAATATCAGCTGCAATGAAACATCATTATATTAAGTGTCAAAGGAGACTTCTAAAGAGTTACATTTTCCGTTTAAAGAAGAATAATTGTATCATTGTTGTCACTAACTAACTGATAAATTACAATTCGCAATAAACATGACCGCACGATAAATGACAACTTTGACCCAAGATTGTGCTATCTTACTTTGCTGTTGATATTTAATGTACAGCATTTCTTTTTCCCTGAGTTTTTTTTATGTAACAAAGGTGACAAACAAGCACACAGTATACCTATTGGTAAGCTAATGTTAAATTCTTGTTTCCAGTAAAAATAATATCTTGTTCTCTGCACTTACCATACGAAATACTGCCGCATTAAACTGCTTTGAATTATTCTATTACTTCAGTTTGAAAAACTCATTTACGTTAATAGAGATTTACATAAAACCTATTTCTCTTTCTTTACTTCTTTCCATTTCTTTTCTTCTTTTTTAACGGGTCGTAAAAGTCAAGTGAGTCTGTATATCGGCCACTCCAACTGAGGGAAGTATTTGTCATGAATATCACCCATGGAAGATAATTATAGTACCAGATATCTTGAAGTCTTCAGTCTTCCTCGATTGCTTCTATATTTTGCAATTGGCCAAAACGTGATGGTTATGCTGCCATTTTTGTAAAACTATGAGTACGTATTTTAAAAAAAACTAAATAAGTGTAAGGCTTACGTTCGGTGGCGGTTATTTTCATCACAAATCCAAATCATATGCAATGCATATACATATTTAACGAACTGTTTATAGGATTGTATCATCATATATCATATATATGAGACACAGAATTTTACCTATTTCTAATTATTAGTGGTCCACATGGTGTATTGTAGGTATATGTTTGTAACGAGTATGAAATTCAAATTATTAAAATGTCAAAATTATTATTATATTACCTTATTCTTATTTAACGACATCGATCAGTATTGTTTAAATATAATATATAGTTTTCGTTTAAAGAAACTTAAACAACACGTACTGGTCATATGCTGTGCTGATCCTGATAACGATTTTATTTTATCCTTGTGATTCTGATCAGGATACCAGAATAAAGATATTAAATTATTATATTCTAATTTGTCCTTGATGCGAGTGCAAATTTTCAAATCAATCGGTGCTCTATAAGTTGGTGAAAATTCCATTGAAAGATTCCGTATCATAGATAGATTAATAGAGAAGACACGCGATGCCAATAAAAGCATGCTTAAATAATTTCAACTATCATTGCCTTGACAATGACCATCACTAGAAGTTTAACATAACCAAGTTAACGGGAGTCAACAGATAAGGCATAACGTTCTTTATTTAAATTATCACAATTCTTGACCCTGTTATCTCGAGACCTGGACTCGGTAACAGTGTGGCAAAATTATTTACAATATCGCCGACCGCCCGCGTTATAAACTGTAAAATTAAGATGGTAATACAGCTAAACCATACGTTGAAGAATATAAATACTTTTTGCAAGTGTATGACATAGGAAATATTATTGCATTTTTTTGAAATTAAAAATAATCTTGTTCTTCTTTCATTCCCATTTCATGTCGAGTGTGTTTTAGAGGTAACTATGATAACGGTCTGATTGACTTAGGACCACCAGCTACGGGGCAGCTGCCTTGAAGGTTTTAAAAGTCTAGTCCTACAATAATAAGTGCTAGTAATAACTATATTATGGTTGTAGCACACAGTTTAAAAAGATTCGGTAGTAACGAAGCAAAATTTATAATATCTACAAACGTGTACATTCTGATCTACAAGTAATTGCTCCGGGTTTGGATGTTTTTTAAGTTCAATTTATGTATCTTAAACGCTGTATACAAAACTGTTAGCAATTTATGAAAAAAAAAAACAACTAAAGTCACAAAGTCCGTGATGTTTTTAAATTAAATCCAAATATGCAGAACTAATAAGAACTTAGGTCATTTTTAAGGTATATATATATATCTGATATTTCAATAATTTATTCCCACGGTCGATTATTACATTAAGGGGACGGATGACATCTCTTTATGCCGACTAATTTGTGAACGATCCGTAATCCACTGAACTGATGCATCCGTATATATATAATAACAGTATGTACCATCAATAAGATATACTCATCGTAGATTGTTTCTTACATATTTTTAAAAATCTTACTCGGTAATTCTGCGATAGACTTTGCCTTGACATCGAACTCAGAAGCTATTGTATGAAAAATATTTTAAAGTTTTATTAATTTTTGAAGGCCGTTCCACTTTTTGATAAAAGTATAATTATTATTACAAGAGAATTTACCCTTTATATTAATACAACAGAAGACATGCCCGAAATATGGTGATAGATGTTGCTAGACGAATAACTCGCTCTTGAAAGATAAGCTCTACTTAGTTCAAATTGTCTTGGATAAAATTCCTATGAGAGACAGACTTAGTGACACAGACAACGAGTTGGCTCCACCAGAGATACCAATTTGATAATTTTGTTACGATGCAGCAATGATGTTCCTAAATTGAAGCCCACGCGAGCGAAGCCGCATTTAAAAAGCTATTGATTAATATTTTACACCTAAGGCTATTGTATTGATATTACAAATTACTGCTACAACAAATTGTAGGGTATATAAAACAATAAACCTTCGTGTCCCGGGCTATTTGCGCCCAAATAAAATCATAAAGACAATCCGACTCCCCCTCTGATTAAGTCAAATTGGGTAATTGCATTTCGAGCAGCGCACCGCTCGCGTCGGAATCGTCGATCACGTGATCAGACAGAGAAATTGTGAGCACCGCTGTAGATCAACGGATCTGGGAAACTCCTAACCTAGCTAACTATTAGTATTATCACTGTTTTTAGCACTACAAATAACTATGTGACGATGTTTACTTAGTCCTTTAGTCGGTTTTGAAAATTCGATAAACGTTATAGAATAAAGTGGAGGAGAAAAATAATAAAAGAACAAAAGTTCTTTTTAAATTTTGCATTTATATAAGTGTGTCATAGAGGTGTGAAATACGTGTTTTGGGGTTTATATCCGTATGTCCTTCTTATGCACAGTAAAATAAACCGAGAAATTTATATCTATACAACCCATTTAACTGAGATGTAAATGAGAAAATTAAGTTTCTTGTAGTAACTGGATATTCAAATCTCGTTATGTCTTGCACATCAAACTCAGCTGGACAATACACTATCGGAGCCCGCATTTATTTCCTTGTTACAATCTTATTTTAAGACGTATTAAAAATCCCAATGTTTACAAAGGTCAGGGGCCCATATGATCTTACTTTTATAGTTTGTAATCTACCTTTATAGTTCTTGTAGACCGATTCCCAATGATTTTTAAAATAGCTCGGGTCATATCTACAAAAAGGGTTATAATGTACTATCGGCAATTAATTGTAGATTTATACCCGTGCGTTGTTATTTTTCAAAATTGTTTAATCACCTTTAATCAAACGATTTTAGCACATTTTTCGAAAAGGCCGCTCTGCAGAAACAAATCTTATTTGATTTATTACACACATATTACTGTCCAGCGCCTTCGATAAGGTAAACCATTATTTGTTATTGCTTGCTTGGCTCGTTTCATATATAGAAAAAAAAACTCTGAGCTAAGAATGCCAAACTCAATCAATACGCAGTCTCTGGGGTACCAGAGGGTTCCAATCTAGGACCAATATTGTGCCCGCTCTTTATCAAATACATTCAAAGCAAGCAAAATGCTCTATTTGTAGACGACCTAAAGCTCTCGAGAGTCGTATCATCTAATCCGATTCATTGCCTCTACCAAACAATATTCACCGACTTAGGGAATAGTATAAGTCAAACCACATGATGTTAAATTCTAGAAAATGCTTATATATCATATTTGAATATGACTGTCGAGAAAACTGAGCAGAATCTGGGCTTCCCCAAGCCCAATACTTAAGTTAGCACTTGACGGCTCCGTGGTGCAGTAGCTTATCAATGAGTTATAGCCCTGAGGGCCGCGGGTTCGAATCACGTACGGAACAAGTATTTGTATGGCTTACAAGTAATTGTGCCGGGTTTGGATGTTTCTCCTTGTACAATTCATGTATGTAAACTGCCTCCACGGTATAGGAGAAAATCCTAATGTGGGGGTAAAGTTTTTTTTAAAGAAAGAAAGCACTAAAATCTTTCTCCAATTAATATAAAGTACATATGAAAATATAATCTTATCAACTTATTTGAATGTAGGAATGTTCCAATAAAATACAAATATATTTACAATTGATTAATAATTTTTGTTTGCGAGAACTGATAACGATACTCCCTTTCGACCCGGACCTAATATTTACAGTGTTGTTCTAATACATATTGAATTATGGCACTATACCTTGACCTAGGAATTGTTTGTAGAAGATAGTGTATGTTGTTTACTTTGTTCAGTTAATTAATTGTTGACATATTTGTTTTAGCCTAAATGATCGTGCTAACGATCGATTTGCTAAATATTTTGATAATTTAATGTTGATAATAGAAGCTCTGTATCACGGTAGTCTTTCAGCCAAATTGGAAAAAGAACCACCACACAACTTGCACAATCTTGGGTTAGTTGACTTCGTGCTAATAATGCTTCTACCCATTCCATGGATTTTTCCTGGGATTTTTGGTTCAGGTTCAAAAGGTCAACTTAGGTACCGCGATTTGTTGCCACTCCGTCCTCAAAGACTAGTTCGTTGATAAGCAGGATGTATTACGAGCTGATGGGATCGGCGGCTGGAGAAGTTATTAGCCCCGTACTTTTATATTAAAATGTTAAAAAGAAAGTTTAAAAATGCAAAAATGCTGTTTTATTTTAGTTTCAGATACGTTATATAATATTAGTTAAAATATATCCGAATGATTATTTTAGAGCTCAGTTTGAATAATTTAGTGTGGCTTAACCGTTTCGTTGGATATTGGTCGCCAGTGCTGATCATGTGGTCCTGGGTTCGAATATCGGTCGGACGAAAATCGGTTATAGGAGGAATTTTCTGTCATAAATTTTCAGTAGCAGCCCGGATTGTCAGGAATTTGGTGGTTTTTCAACACTATGCCTCGAAATACACGGTTATCCGTTGTTCTTACGTCCCGTATTACTACGAAAGTAAGGGAATAGAGTGTACCTATGCTTGCCCACACAATCATACACTATGCTCATGTTCTACGCAGATGGCTAATTTCCGTTGTGACTGTCCTTGACCAAAATTTGGTCTATAGGACATCATATACTCGTAGCTTTGATATTTATAAGGTATTACGAAAATAACACTCCGAATAATTTATCACAAATTTTCTATCATAGATTAAATATTAATATATCTTCTTTATTTGTTTCAGATAAATGTTCGCTAGCATGTCAAGGATGTAAGTTAAAACTTATGATATTTCTGATGATTGTTTTTTTTTTAAATTAAAGTTTAGTGATGATTGTTTAATCAGCGGGGTTAGCCAACATTTACATTTTAAAATCTTGAACTTACCTTCAGCATTTTTAATTATTACTAAAAAAAAATTAAAACTAAACCTAAGCATACCACTACAAGACCTCAAGACATAGTCAGTTCATTTTGCATAGATCGGACCATAAACAATAATTGAAAAAACTGAAGGTACTCGTGTTTTAACAATGGCATCGGTACGTCAGTCACCTCAGTCCCCCGTGACCATGGGTGCTGGAAAGCACCCGAAACGTCGGGCTTTAAAAATTAAAATAATTAAAATTAAAACTAAACGCAATAAAATCCGTAAAAGTAGTTTTAATCAATGTGTAGTGTTCGTGTAAATATAAGAAATCATTATGATTTTTACTTATTTTAATTCAATGCTGTACTACAATCCATACATACAGTGGTAAGTGTTGATGAACCCCTAAATGGGTAAATAACACTATTTTCAATAACAAAAGCCTTTTCAATCTTGCCTTGAATACACCCAGATTGTATCAGATGGAAAGACAGACGTCAGCAAACTATTCCAATCCTTTGCTGTACGCATTAGGAAAGACGAAGCAAAGAAACCGTTTGGTTCGAATACATGGAATATCGATAACAAGGAGCTGAAGATCAGCCGACCGTCTGGTCGTCCGAAGGTGGGAAGTGGTGGAAGGAATGAAATCATGTAATTCGTGTGCATACTCTTCAGAATGTATCTTATATAATAACGAGAGCCTTGGTATTTTGCGCTTGTGCTCGAGACCGGCAGGACTGGTTCCAACTAAATCAATGTCCTTAATAAGTGTCTTAGCACGCCTCGCTACTGAGACTCTCTAATGCTGCTAGAAGGTATTTCAGAGGCAGTTATTTTAAGACAGCAGTACTCTGGACCGGACCGGACTGAACCAGATTGCGCTATTTACAGGGTTATTTTGCATGTACGCCCAAAATTGCAGAGAAGGTTCCGTATAGGCGAATTGTGAAGAAAAGTTAATAAAATAAAATTTCAAACATTCTGTCCTATTTATCTTTTAAATTTAGAATGCTTGGTAATCTACTATTTTACTACGAGCGCACAAATTCAGGGTCGCTCGATCTACAAAACCCTTGTGAATTGAATCGCACGCAGAGAAACGTCCGTACGCGTAGTTGTTGCCCATAAATAATATTCAACTTGGGATAATTTTAGATCAAAGTAGAGGACCTATTTATTCGTATTTTCAAACACTGCAATAACAGTATATTATTATTTATATATTTCAACTTTAATATAAAATTTAGATACTCTTTGAAAAATAACCCATATATGTGTGAATGGGCTGTTACTTATACAAACTTACACAAAACATTTTGTTCAACAGCGCCATCATCGCAAACATTCTTAAATGGACACACGTACAACTACGGCGTTGACGGAATTGTAGCAATATATGTGACTGGAGCTGAGAAGCAAAAAACTGAAGTGAAGCTCTTCGGTCAGGTCTCCGTGACAGCTTTAGGAAATTGTGCTCTTGCGCTGAAGGTCAATGTTTTGACCATAGCCGGACCAGATGGAAAGGTAATAATACAAAAAATAACTTAAAAGTAACAGTAGCATTTTCTATATTCATCGTCATCATCATAGCCCACTAAAGCCCACTGCTGAACATACACCTCCTCCTAGATTGCTTAGTAGTAATTTTGCCACGCTTGGTAAGTGGGTTGCCAATTTATTTACTTTCAGTTTCCCTCTGCGATCACAACACCCGAGGAAGATAATATCGCGTAGTGTATTTTCATACACTCCAAAAATTATATTTAACAACGAATAGAAATTTCATAAATTTGTAATAGATATCATTTTGTTTTATTTGCATAAAATATCAGAAGTTTTCGTCTAGTCCCATGTGTATTATTCCTAATTTGTGACACTAAGTTCGACTTCTCACAACCAATCTGATTGTGTGAACCAATTGTGAACAAGTGAAAGTAAAAGCTTCTTAATTGGGCGAACATTTGTTTCAATTTCCCAGTTTAGGTATAACTTTAAAAAAAATCATAGGTATACACACTTCGCATTGTATATAATAGTATACAATGCGAAGTGTGTATACCTATGTCCCGCCCGTGACCATGAGTGCTGTAAAGCCTTCGAAACGTCGGGTATTTAAAAAGTTAAATATACGCGATAAATTCCGTAAAAACTAGTATTATTTCAATGTGTAGTGTTCGCGTAAATATAAGAAATCATTATATAATAGTATTATTTAAAAAACTAGCTGGTACCCAGCGGATTGCTACCGCAGGGGAAGTAATTGTTGAAGTATCGTTTTAAATTTGGAAGAGTTATATTATTCAAGGAATGATACAATAATTGAAGTTGAACGATAAATTGACTTGATGGTACGTTGACACTGTGGCCCATAAACATCTACATTTATGAACCACATTTTAGAATCAAAATGCAGATACGCTATCGTCCCTGAGGACTAAGATGGAATTTCTCGTAACCACGTGCAAAAAGGTTAATGTATAAACTTTAGATGTTTGTAACTATCGCAAGCCATAATACTTTTCTGGTAGTTTCCATATTTGCCTCTTACGGCACCTCCGTGGGTGATATGAAGGATTAACTTACGCCGCCACAATAAAGCTTGTGTGAAAAGAAAGTGTAGATTTTACAATTTTATTTTTTTTAATTTAGAAACACCCCAGCCCACCCGGCATCGACAAAGTGGTGCGCTTCAGTCTTCAAGATGGGCGCGTTGGACCTGAAATCTGCGCAGAGGAAGGTGACACGAGGCGCTCTCTTAACATCAAGAGAGCCATCATTTCCTTGCTCCAAACCGAACAGAAGCCTGCAACTCAGGTAGAATATTCAGCTATTTCATACAAACAAAACAAATACTCTCAATCACCCTAAAAGCATTTTTAATAATCTTGTATCTAAAGTTTCATCGCATTTATTGCGAGAATTAGTTTAAAACTCACAAACGTCTCAACTCACACAACCATCATTCTATGATATTCTTTTATATTCTATTCAGTAACACTATACAAAACATAACTATGTTTTAGAATATGGATGACAAACTTGATGGTAAGTAGATGCTGTGGCCCATCTACATCTTTTCTCGTTTAAAAATCAAAATGCAAAATGCGTTGCTGCTCCTGAGGACTCAGATGCAGTGTAGTTTCCAGTAAAAAAGGCCACCGATTCTATACACTCGCCATATAAAACACAACGCATTCAATCTGCTATTTTACGTTGGTCATCTGAAAGAGCGTGGACAGGTCGAGAGGACGCATTCATATTACAACAATAATATAGCTGCAGCTCTACAATGTAAAAATAAACGTAACTATATGATATGTAACAATGTTTTCCAGACCGAATTTCGGTCACGGCAGCTCATCTCAACGAAGACTAGCCATCTGCACAGTACAGTTGCACAGGTACAAGTACTAGCACAGGTGCACTCTCTATTCCCTCACCCTCATAATCCGAAGGGACGGTAAACCGACACGATCGGAGAGATATCAGGCGCAGGACCAGTGGCATTACGTGCTTTCCGAGGCATGGGGGTGAGACACCGCCAATTTCCTGACTCCTGGCAGTTACTGAGATTTTCTTGAAGGAAAAACTCAATAAATCTTTTGGCCCGATCCGGGATTCCAATCCACGGCCTCATGATCAGCAGGCGCATTACTACAATCACTAGACCAACGAGGCAGTCATTCATGTCATTCATATAATATGTATAACCAAAATAAAAAATAAAATTATAACTTGAAACTAGTTCTACGACATGAGTATAGTTCCTTTATAATAAACTTTGCTTGATAACGTGTTATAAAATATCTATTTGCACAGACGGACGTATTTGGCACCTGTTTCACCGAGGTATCTTCGTCTCAAGAAGGCAGTGCTACCCTGGTTCATCGCAGCCGTGACCTCTCTCGCTGTGCTCACCGAGAACAGGGAAGAAATGACTTCTTGACCGCCGTATACAACCCTACAGCTGTAAGTTTGTTATACTTTAAATACAATCTCAGGCTCAGGCTCAGGCTCAATAATTTTTATTTTAAATTATTCTAGATCTAAAGACAATCATAGTTTTAAATCCGATAGTATATAATCCATTATTTTTACTCTGATTATGTTGTTCTTTGACATGGGTGTGAGATTTTTATACACTCTAATCATCCCAACAACTAGATGGATTTTAATCAATTATATCGATTCGTTTTAATCGTGCGATTATAGTCTTGGTTTGTTGTTATTATCTTTTCAGTTAAATAACTTTTTACGCTGTCTGTTTTCTTTGTTATTAATAATTTACTTTATATTAAATTCAACATGTGTTTTAACCAGGAAATCAAGGACACACAGGTGCTCCAATCAACTTTGAATGTGGAATCGAAGGTCAACAACGGTGTACCAGAGAAAGTGTCTGCTACGGAACAATATCTGTACAAACCTTTCTCTGTTGGAGAGAATGGAGCTCGTGCTGCAGTCAACAACAGGCTTACTTTACTTGGAACCACACAAGGGGAAGCCCCCCAAGGTAAAAATTATATATATGAAATTGTATTTACTTAAATAATAAAAGTCATTAAAATCATACAAGTTTAATAATAAAGTAAGAAGTAGAAGAAACTTAAACAAGACTAGTTTGTCAAACTTGAAATTCCACATACCAAACTAAAGATATAATTTAATTAATATTAATATATCATAATAAACTCCCCTGCAGCTGACTGTTCTGAACGACGTACAATCATTTTCGAAAATCCACATGGAGCCGTTTCCGAAACAAGCAACTTAAAGAATGCACTTGCTGTTCTCAAGGACACCGCCAAATCTTTGAACGTGGAAGCTTCTACTAAATCTGCAGGCAAATTCGCTCAACTTGTCAGGGTAAATAAGATATACTATATAAATAATAATACTATATCATTCATGTTTATTAAAATTCAGTTTTATATATAGAAATTTAATCATTAATTTTAATATTCATTTTAATTTTAGGTTCTGCGTAGTACAAACAAGGATGATTTAATGAAACTTTACTCTCAAGTTAAAGCCAATAATTTGGAAAAGTGAGTGTTATATTTTTGTTTAAATTTTTCACATAATGATAAAATTAGAAGTAATTTAAAAAAAATTGTTAAATACATTTAAGGTATATGGTGTTAGTTAAGAATATCTTGAATCATTTAATTTAAAGCGTTTATTGATATCTTTATTCTATTTCTTACAGACGGGTTTTCTTGGATGGTCTCCTCCGTGCTGGCACGGGTTACAGCATTGAGGCGTCTATACAGATCCTCAAGGGTAAAGAATTATCTGAACTTGAAGAAAAACTTGTTTTCCTTTCTCTTGGAAACGCAAGACATGTTAACGATGAGGCTGTTAAAGCAGCTGCTGTAAGTGTTGATATTTCTAAACGAAAACAATATATTTAATAATTTCATTTAATTAAAGATTTAAGTAATTTTTTTGTATAATTTTGTTATTTTTTAAAATTAATTAATACTTTTTTCCTACTAGACCATTTTGGATAGACCAAATCTTCCCAAAGAAGTCTATTTAGGCGTCGGAGCACTGGCAGGTGCTTACTGCAGAGATCACGACTGTCATACAACCAAATCTGAAGGCATTGTAGCGCTGAGTAAAAAGCTGGCTTCAAAAATGCAAAACTGTAAGCCGAGGAATAAGGTAGAGGAGGATTATGTAAGTAGTTGTTGTGTTTAAATCTTAGATATTACAATTATGTTACTTGTATAAAATTCTTCAGTTTCAACAACGTCTTTATTAAAATTCTTTTTAAAATGATCTAAACTACACAATGTGTCTGTCCAATGTAATGTTATGATTTATTTTCCTTTTATTTCTAAGGCTTGGTTTACGTTTTGAGAAGTGAAAAGTGCGAGTGGCAAATGTAACTGACAAATGACGAGTGCATAGTGCTTGTGAACAGGCAATGACAATTGAAAAGTGTGCATAAAATACGCACTAAGCACTTGTCATTTGTACTTGCCACTTGCACTTGTCACTTCTCAAAATGTAAACGGGGCCTGTCTGTGTTGTTACAGCATAATATATAATTTATTATGTATAATATACTGTTGTTCTCTTAATTATTTAATTTATGTACACCTTCACTTTTCGCCTTTTTTCATTGTAAACATCAATTCTTTGCTCAATAAGTTTGTTTGGAAGAAATCGCTTCCAGAGCGATTAGACTGCCTTTTGTAACTTGTACATTTTATTTCGTTTTCGTTTAATGTGTATTGCTGTACAATCAAAAATATATTGATTGAACGTTTATTATGTAAATAAACAAATAATAATTTCAATAGAACAAATGAATTGTTTTTTTTACAATGTAAAAAATATTTTAGGTTGTCGCTGTTATGAAAGGTATTGGAAATATCAAACATCTAGAGAACAATATCATCGACAAACTTGTACACTGCGCGGCAGACGACAGTGTTAAAGCAAGAGTGCGAGTTGCGGCACTTGAAGCATTCCTTGCGGACCCCTGCTCCGCTAAGGTAACTGAACATTTTTTTACACTACAATAACACTTATACGTGGTAGTCATGCTGCAGTTATATTAGTAGTGTAGTTGTAGCACAAACGGGTCGGCTCGACCGGGGAAGGATCATGCTCTTACAGAATACCAGCGTCAAATAGTAGCTTAATGCTGCTTTGTTTCGTACGGTGAGTGTAGAGAACTTTTTACTGGAAACGAGGCATTCCATCTTAGTTCTCATGGGTGACAACGCATCTGCATTTTAATTCGCAATCGAGGAAAGATATAGATGTCTATAGACCATAGCAACCACTTACCATCAGGTGGGCTGTGTGCTCGTTTATCACCCTATCCTATATAAAAAAATACACATGTATAGAACATAATTGATTCAATAGTAGTCATATTAGCAATGGAAACCCTCATCTATCCTTTTGAATAAAATTGAAGTCTCTGTCTTTGTGGCCGTGGAAGAAAAGTTCTGCCCGGGGAGCGACCAACGCTCCGAGTAGTAGTTGTTTTTTGCGCCCAAAGCAATAAGGGCAACCCTCCGGAAAGCAAGGGAGGGAGGCGGTGAATGCTCATAGCATACCACGCAGCCGGCTGCGTGGTTATGTGGAGACTTTTACCCACTAAACACTGCCTTTTGGGACTGGCTTAATGGTCTAGCTAGAGATCTTTAAGCCGTATCGAGCGCGACCCCCCTTGAGTGAAAGGGGGACGCTAGCGGCGAGCAACCGCTGGGAAGAATTGCTACCTAACTGAGGCAGCTTACGAATGGGATGACTAATTATATTAAATTTAGAAGGTGTTTGTGCTCGGTAAGAGCGAGAAGACGGTCCTGCGGGGACTGAGAAGCGCGCAATTTTCGTGCTAGAATTGCGATCTCTCTTACGTCGATATTGCGGATAGCAGTGCATACTGTATCTACGTTATCGGCATAAGAAGGTTCCGCCTCGAGTGGGAGCCCTGGTGGGCGAAGTTGAGGAGGCCTTCTCTGAATGGCTGAACCAATTGTAATGAAACTTCACAAAGAAATACAGAGCAATAGAAACAGAAACAGAAACTTTTTTCATTCAATGTAGATTATAAACAATACTTATTGAAAGTCACTTTTCTCATTTACCACTGGTTCGCAAAAAAAATCTCTGTCCTGGGAGAACCAGCAAGAAACCCAGCGGAACTTTTTTTTTTTAAATAATAGCATACAATCATGTTTACAATTAACAACACAAGACAAATTAGAGATAGCTTGGTAGCGATCACCCTTCCCAGGGGTTATTATCATCCATAAATTCCTTAATACTATAATAACCTTTTTTATACAAACTTAGTTTAATAAAACTTTTGAACTTTGTGTATGACAAATTTTGTATATTTTCTGGCAGTTTGTTGTAAAAGCGTATACATCGCCCCAAGAATGAATTACTGACCCGGTGGAGTCGAGTAACTGGTACTACTATACCAGGAATTATCTAGGACATATTTTACCTGAATAACTTAGAGATTTAAAATATATATATATATATATATATATATATATATATATATATATATATATATATATATAAACGAAAAATTGATTTGTTTTTTTATATATAAATAACGTCACTTAATAGAACCTACCTAGGTAAATTACTAGTAAAAAATAATATTATTTAAATAAATATTTTACAGATTAAGAACACAGCTTTGGATTTGATGAAGAAAAGGAATTTGGACTCAGAAATTCGCATCAAAGCATATTTAGCTGTGATAGCCTGTCCTTGTGGAAAGTCTGCCAATGAAATAAAGAAACTCTTAGATTCAGAGCCGGTCCACCAAGGTAAGTCAAACTAGGTCTAAACTGTTGTTTTATTATTATAAATTGTGTATGAATTTCTGTACGATGCTAAATGAATTTTTAATCATATAAAATATACAACTAAGATGTTTATTTGACTTTAAGGAACCACGGGAATACCAGTAACTAGCGTCAAGAAGGAAGCTAGTTGTTGGTATTTCCATTGTAAATATAACAGAACGCGAGAAACCCGGGTTCGATCCCCGCCAGCACCAATGAAATTGTTAATTGCAATTAAAGTGCTGATTTACTACGTGCTTGGCGGTGAAGGAAAACATCGTGAGGAAAACTGCATGGCCGAGGAACAAGAAAAAAAATTTCGAAGTCATGTGATGTTTGCCAACACGCATTGGGGCACCGCGGCGGAGACTTCCTTGCCCGAAAACCCTCTCAGAAATGAGAGCCATATAGCAGATCTATGTCCAGCAGTGGGACGTATATAGGCTGTAACTTTACTATAACTTTACTGGTATTCCCAACGAACACTCGACAGCTTTACATACCAAGATCCAGAAAAATTATTTGTAAAAAATACAATTAATTTTTCAATGCGGTTCTCGAAATCTAAAAATTATTAGGAGCCTTCAATGTCGCAGCCAACTGCAGCCGGCGCTACTATACGACCGTAACTTGTATGGAATCTTTCTATTTAGTAGCATTCCACCACAAGTCCACTGCTGAACATAATCATCCCTCATACATTGTCAAAAAGTACGGTCCTGAGCCACCTGCATCAATCTACTGCCTGTGTGTTTCATCAGGACTTCACTCTGTTTAATGGGCGGTCGCCCAGCACTACGCTTGCTAGTATGAGAAAACCAGCTTTTCCATCATTTGTTATAAAAATATTTCAGCTAATAACACAACGTAACATTTCAGTTGGCCGTTTCATAACAACATCATTGCGTAGTATTCGCTCCTCGTCGAACCCTGATAAACGACTTGCTAAGCTCCATTATGGCCAAATTGGAACACCAAACAAATTTAATATCGACGACAGGTATGATATCCACTTTATATTAAATATTAACAAACCTTTTAAATATATGCAATAACAAAAAAGTTGTATAATTAATTCTAACTGTAATATTTTTAGGAAATATTCTTTCTATCGCGAAGCATCATTCAACGTTGATGCACTGGGAGTTGGAGGAAACGTTGAACAGGCTGTAATCTATTCTCAGGACTCCTTTTTACCCCGCTCCGCTAGCCTTAATTTAACAGCTGAAGTTTTTGGACACAATCTAAACATTCTCGAGGTAATAACTTATTAAAAAAAGTTAAAATAATCAAACAAGCTTCAACTTGCAACAAAAAACATAATAATCTTTACAAAATCCATGTAAACAGAATGCAGTTATTGATTATATAAATTAAAAAATTATTTTTATTGGTTAATGATCAGCTTAAATTTTATTCCTTTAGATCGGTGGTCGTCAAGGTAATCTTGATCGTGTGATTGAACATTTCCTCGGTCCTAAGAGCTTCCTTCGCACCCAAAAGCCACAAGAAATATATGACCAACTAGTAGAAAGGATGGAGAGGTCCAAGCAGAAGGTTGAAAAGGGCTTGGGGAGACGTCGTCGCTCGATCAAAAATGAAGTTGACAATTTTGACAAGAAAGTAAGTAACGTAGTCATAAATATCAATGAATTAATTTCTATTATTTTTAGGAAAATTCTTTTCTGGCCTGGTTACATGTTGCTTAAGCTTAATGGTTTATTTCAGATCAAGACCGAATCAGTACCCTATAATGACGAGCTAGACCTGGATATTTATCTAAAGCTGTTTGGCACCGATGCCGTATTTCTGTCCCTAGGAGATGATAAAGGCTTTAATTTTGAAAACTTATTAGATCAACTAATAAGCATACTTCACGATGGTATGAACAAGGTTAAAAATTTCCAGGTAAGGATCAGAATGATAACATAATCAAATTCATTTCACTCTAACTAGAATTTACGAAGTTTTTTTCTAAAATTACGATTATTTTGCATTTGATATCTATTTAATTCGAAAAACTATATTGGGTTTTGTTTACGAAAGGATAAAAGTCAATTTAATGTATTCAATACACTTTGCAAAATATATTGTAAAGCACTTTACTACTAAAATCGAACATTTAAATCAATTTGCAGAACGAATTCCGCGGCCATCTACTTTTTTTGGATGCCGAACTAGTCTACTCGACTTCCACTGGTCTCACGCTTAAGCTCGATCTCGTCGGTGCTGCTACTGGCCGCCTGGATATTGAACAAATGTTGACATCCGACAATGCCTCTGAAACCCGGAAAATGCAAAAGTTGACATCAAACTGATTCCTTCCACCGATATTGAGATAGCCGGTGTTATGATGGTTGACGCACATTCTATCGGCGCCGGTCTGAAAGTGGTCACTAACTTACATTCTTCAACTGGTGGCCATCTTATAGCTAAGGTAACTTTTTAAGTTAATGTTTTATTAACATTTTCAACCCTGTATGTAAAGGCTTTTTAAAAAAATTTCAAATACTATTTTGATTACAAATACTGGGACTTTTAACCCCTTAACGGACATAACGATCGAGCTATGATAAATTGAATCTGATTTCGACTTAAACTTACTATAAATAAATTTTTGGATCCATATTTTGCAAAGGTTTGTTTTTATTTTCTTTAAACCGAGTCAATGGGATGTAGCTAATAGGCCACTCTGTTTTTGAACAAAATCGTAATACAACGATCACAGAAGTCATTGATTAACCTTTAATCGCACTACGCCCGCCGTAACAAAAAACAGCTTTGTACCGGGGCCTCAGTCGTCACCTCAGCTGGCGGCACTTGTTATAAACATTTATATTTCTCACGACCTTTCCTTTATGTTTAAAGTGGTTTTAGTTACAGTTATTTGAAGCCGATAAGATTTTCGATAAGTAGAAATAATAACCATAACATTTAAATGTTTATTTTATTTTGTACAGCTCTTCGTTTCTAACGGATCTTGATAAAATAGAGTACTTACTGACAATAAATTTTATTTTATGAATGAAATATCATAAGTTTTTATTTTATTTTTATTTTATTACAATCAATACAACATATTCTTCCTAAATGAATTGAAATTATGCATGTAATAATTATAATAATTCTACTTTTTTACTTGCAAACATTTGCTAAAAATTCGACAGTAGACAGTTTGCGCGCGCTTTGTAAACTCATTTTCAAAACCTTTTTGTGTATATATTTTATAGCGTCTTCCTTTATTTTTCTTGTACAATCATATAGATATAACATTTAGCAATTCCTAGTAAAAGTATTTACTATGGTATTCCAATAAGAAATATACTATTATTATCTTATTAGAATCTTATTAGAAATCTTGACCGTTATGAATTGTTCACGTAGAGGTTTTTTGTTTCTACTTTTTTATCAATTGAAACATGAAAAAGTTACTGTTGTTTTTGTAACTTAAATCATTCAAAAACATTACGTAGTAAAGATAAATAACATTACTTACAGTTTTTTTGAAAGAAAATCCAACTAAAATCACAATCACAAAACTTCAACGATTACGCAACTAACTAAAAGAATTGAGTTGTCTCAGTTTAAAAAAATTGTTTATAATTTTTGTATTTATGAGATAAATGTTTATTAAATATACAGTCATCTTTTTCTTGAAAACATTCTTAATAATTTATTTTTCATTACGCCATATTTATTTCCTGTTATAAACTAGCCTTTTATGCATATTACCTGTACAAAAAAATTTTGATCCCACGATGGCTCACAATTTATTTTCTTATTTACTAAATTATTGTCAATGTTTTTATGATAAATCCTAACACTATTCAATACCGTCATATATTATTTCTAGATGATTGAAAACTGCCAAGGTTTTGACATCCAATTTGGTCTGCCGGTTGAAAAGCAAGAAATACTTGTTGCCTCTAATGAAGTGATATACTTTTACGCACAAAAAGGTAAAATGAAAGTCATAACCCCAGTAGAGGTAGACGCCAATATCAAAGAATACAAGGGATGCTTTGATCAACTTTCGGACATCGTTGGCCTCACTATGTGTGGAGAAGTGTCTGTACCCTTCTCTGCCTCCGTTAAGTTTCTTTTGCATAAATTATCAAAACGAAAACTACATAAAATGATTAAACATACATTTCAATACATCACATTACACATAGGAGATAAAAAAGTAATCAAGATTTAATTTGGCTTAAAATTCAATTTGTTTGTATATTTTACAATTTTAAATATTTAAAATTGAGTCTAGTAAAAACCAAAATCAATTTTAGTATTTTGGCAGTATTTTATTTTGGTAGCAATTATTTACTTAAGATTATTTTCTGATTGATAGGACCCGAAGCTCAATCTTCCATTTCCAAGTTCATGGCCCGCTACCCGATTACTGGACCTGCGAAAGTCAAATTAATATTGGAAAAGAATAACCTAAGAGGGTACCATATTAAAGGTGTACTGCGCAAAGATTTAAGAGCTGGAAAATATGGAATTGAACTACTCTTTGATGCAGAAGGTATATTTTTACACAGTAATTTCACTTAGTAAGCTTTTTTACAACATGGAATTTACATTTATATTTTGTAATTTAAATTTTTAGGCTGTAAAACTGGTCGTATTCAATTTAATGCTGACGCAGTTGTATCGGATGAGGAGAAATCGGTCAAGTTAGCCTTAGACTCACCTTTCAAGGTTCTTGCTGGTGAGGTAGCCCTTTACACGAAAGCTAACAAGGAATATGCACTTCTAGCCAAGGCCAAAATAGACTCTGCTGAATATTACGGCAGGTTAGGATTTGATGTGCATAGAGAAGGCTCAAACTCCATTTACAAGCCTGTATTAGAGTATCTGGTACCTGATAACAAAGAAAAACAAGTTGTTCGAATAGATAGGCAAATCACTTATGATATGAAACAGAGCCAAATCTCATGGAATTTGAGAAATATCAATGCTGTAATCTTCCAATCTAATGACCCACTTGACCTCAATGGATATTACAAATCTCTAAATAATGGATTCGATTTGGACGTAAAAGGTAAAATGGGTCAACATACCATGTTGCTCTTTGCTTCCATGAATAATGCAGAATTTAAACTAGAGTTTCAAAACTCTTTAAATCCTTATATCAACTTCAAAGTGATTGGTCACTTCTAAAATACTAACGGGGTAAGTTAAGTTAAAATATTATATCAAGCTGGATCATTTCTATGAACTTAGTTCTTTTTTTATAAAATAATTAAATTGATCTACAGGTTGTTCACAACGATATCGATCTGTGGTACAGTGGGGATCTTCGCAACTCTCAAAATCGTGTCACGTTCAACCAGTTCTACAAACGCCATGATGATGAAAAAGGCTTTACTATTATATCGAAGAATAAATGTAAGAAACTTTCATTTTTTTATAATTCATAATTCTAATACCAGCACATGCTTTTACAAGACTAAATCAATTGGCAAACACTATGACATGTTAGTCTGACGTGTTGGTTAACGCAACGTTTATACATAATTAAGACAATGCTTTGATTTTTGATTGATTTGTTGATAACCTCTCATTTGTAATACTGCTTTCCATCACAAAACCTTGAAACTAAGGTGCAGTCTTATTTCTTGTCGTAATTCGGTCAACAAAATTTAGTTCTTTAAACGAGGGTTGTTCGCTCTATTTCATTAGAGCAGTCAAAATTTTGGGTAAAAAGACACTCCGACACTATTTTTAGTAAGAATGGCCACTAGATTTCTTTAAGTTAATGTAGTTTTGCAGTAGTGTTGCATGTCTCTACTGTTGAAATTGAAAACTTGGAGCCTGTTAATTATGGAATATAAAATATGTACCATAAAATAAAAAATAAAAACAACTTTTAAATTTGGTAACAATATTATAATAAACTAGCTGGTACCTAGCGCGTTACTGCCGCAGAAGAAGTAATTGTGGAATTATTGTTATAAATTTGGAAAATTTATATTGTATTAATCAGGATAATACTTCATTGAAGTTGAATAATATATAACTTTCAAATAAATTGGTCGGAACGATACGCGCGCCACCTACTGTAAGTCAATTGTACTATTCTTTTCTACCTTTGCTTCCTCCGTCTGGTTTCTATAAACTTTGCGCAAGTGCAATAAGTTGACAAAGTTTTAGCATAATCTGATGAACGGTATGGCAGCGCATAAATTACGAATAAACAAAAATTAATTTTTACACCTTAGATAAACCCTACAATTATCCTACTCTTGATACTCTGCATTTATTTCATTCTCTCGATGTTTAGTTTTCTGAAGGTTTCTCTTCTATCGCGTGTGAACTGCACATAGTTTTTATATGTAAGAAAACCTTATCAGTAGTAAATTATTTCAACCGTAATCATACTTACTTATTTAAGTATGTTTTACATCGTTACTAGAAAATGATGTTGAAGTTGAAATATAAATTTACTTGTATTTCTAATTATCATGTCAATTCAGTAAGGGCTACCTATCTTAATTTACGAACCTAACTAATTTATTGCAGTTGAAATTCACTGTCTACCACTAAAGATCAAAGCGGATACGCAAATGGACGGCGGAAGGGTAAATCTTGAACTAGAGGGTCAATATATCGATAAAAAGGCTGAACTTGAACTGGAAGCAAGGACTTTCATTAAGAAAGCTGGAGATTATAGTTACAAATTGAAGGCAGAGTTTGACCGTCAAGGTTTAGAGGCATTTGTGAAACGTGATATTATTTCTGGTGATAAATCTAATTTCGAAGATTACATTGTTATCAAAGACTTTGGAAAATATGAATTGTCTGGAGTAGTATTGCACGAAAACAAGGCTAATGATGTCAACATTGGTGCTATTGGACACCTGAAAGTCTCTGGTGGTGGAAAGAACGAGGATATTAAGTAAGTAGTTAAAATAATATAAACTTTCCCGTAATTTGTAAATGAACTTTAGATACAGTTATCATATTAAAATTTTCTCTGTATGATCTTGTTATTGTTCTAATCAGTATGAAAATAAAAATAAGTAGTTTTTATTCAGGTTTATATTAAAAAGTTTTATTTTTAGGACATTAATTCCTATAATAAAGCATTTTCCGTTTAGCTTAATCAGTTAATTTTTTCATTACTAGATTTGATATTGGCATGATTGAAAACCCCAACCTCTACTCCTCGCACGCCAAGCTGTCTTCAAACAAAGGCGAATTCTTGGACTACTTGCTTAAAATTAACCGTGGAGCCAAAGCTAGCGGTCAACTGAAATTCATTCTGAAGGATGCTATCTCCGCTAATGGACAGTTCAAGGTCACAGATAGTGATGGCAAAGGCAACGGAATGATTATCGTTGATTTCCAAAAGGTTCGCACGGTATTTTTTACTAATATTTTATGTTCTATAGTGTTTTTTTTTTTATTTGAATTGTAAGTTATAAAAAAGTGCCATTATATAATTTAATATTCTTATACTTGTGATTCTTGTCACTTAGTAAAACTTCATTTTGTAATTTTGATTGACACTTATGCTTATTTCACTTATATTTTCATTAACTAAGAAAATCGACGGATTCCTATTACTAGTATTTTTATTACTTATATACCCTGATGATACCGTTAGTCGGTTAAAATTCAAGTAAAAAAAAATATACTCGTATAATATGTGTTATCGTATTTATAAGCTTACGTTTTTTAAGGACACTCATTAAATTGTATTTATTAACAATATTCTATCTCCTTCTGTTTAGACGCAACGTAAAGTAAAAGGTGATGTTAAGTTCGTTGTAAAAGAGCCCGTTTACAATGCCGAAATTGACGTGTTCCTTAATTACGAAAAGGACAATAATGACAAGCTTTATATTAGCACGAATAACAAACACACGAACGGTAAACTCGATTCCAAGTAAGTATTATATTATTATTATAAAATAAATAAATATTAAAGATATATAATGTAAGTTTGTTAATTTTATAATATATATATATATATATATATATATATATATATGACGTGTCCCTCACATATTGTTCTAAACTACCTGAGCCCCATCGACTTATATTTCGTCAATTTATTACTCCAGCTTGTCATTTGAGTACCTGGTTTCTTCACCGGTATTCCCACAAGCTACGTGAGCACTTCTCTCCAATGGTGATACATAAAAGTTACTGATTTTCGGATTCCTCACACAAGTTGTTAAACATAACATGTGACTACTAAATTATGCTGTATCGCAATTTCCTTGATGCAATGCAGCTAAACTGGAGATATAACTTAACCTCTTAGTCAGACCTGCCTTATCAGACTTTGACCAAAGAAAACCCACTCAATTTAACGTGGCAATGTACTTGTAGTTCAAGACTGACCACACAAACTCAAATTTCTGCTGATCCTGACGTAAATGAATACCTACTTGATGCAATTTTATGCAGGATTACGTAACATCGTGATATTTTTATGAATTTAATTTATTTATTTTTAGGAATAAGGTAGAGTATGCCGGCAAGAAATTCGAAATAAACGTGCTACAGGATGGATCACTTCTTGGCGATTACAAAACTCATTCAAATGTTGAAGTTGTACTTCCTACTGAGAGGTGCCTCAGCTTGAAATTAAACAGAGATGTCATTGAAAAAGACAATGTAAGCTTTTACTTCATTTTAATTTCAATTTAATGTATTAAATGTAGATTGGTCGGCTCGATACGTGAAGGACCTCGCACTAATACCAGCGTGAAAATACTAACATAAGGCTGTTGCGTTTCGTATAGGAAACCCTCTTTATTTGTCGTTGTAATAGTACAGTTGATTTTGAATCGATGAAAAAATAGCTATCTATGGGCTTCCTTTGTGGACTGTGCGCTCCTTTGACCCCATGTTTCGATGTAAAAAATACGTTAGTTTATTGCAATATCTCAACAAAAGTGGTGGTCTTCAAATAAACGACAATCGAAAGAGAATTTATTCGAAGCTGAACTGAATAATCAGTTCAGTTTTCATTAAATTTTTTAAACAATCTAATTAACGTGATTTTATATACTAGTACACTTGATCTTAAAACACAAAATAAAATAATATTTTTCCAATCCAGACACTAAACGGACACGCAGAACTCAGTTTATCCGACGCCGAAAAGCGTGGAGGACCGGCTTCAACAATCACCTATAAGGGAAAACTTATTAATACCAATATTGATAAGGACAATTTAGACTACGAAGGACAAATTGAATTGAAACTTAGGAATGGCAAACAACTTCTAAATTCCTTCACTTTTAAGAATGTTCCGTTAGGAGAAGATAAATTCCAATTTGACGTTAAGGTAAGTGCTGAGAGCGAAGTCCATAAAATATTATTTATTTAACATCTTAATTGTATATTTACAGTATAGCACGAATTTTTGCGGTGAAAAAAATAAATTCATAAATCAACAAATTTTTATCGCAAAGCAATTCGATGTAATCCAGTCGTACCGTGTCAAGCACAATTATTTCATTTACAGATTGATGTCAATGGCAATCTCATACCAAAACCGGCAACATTAACAGCAAGTTCAACTTACAGTGATAACGACTTATTTGATGATAAGTACAGGCTCAAGGCTTACTACGGCGATAATCTGGGAATCGAGTTGGTTGGTAACTGGATATTTAAGACTGAAGATGGGGTCAAAAAGTGAGTCTGTAAAAAAGTTTCAAATATCTTCCTTAAAATAGTTTCGAAATCACAAAGACAAAAAATTTCACTATGCTTACTATTTTTGCCTGATTTTCGCTTTTTTATAGAACAGATTCACATGCCGAAAATTTTCTCGCTTACCCCTCTCCATTCGTTTCATCGCATAGTATATTAATAAGGTTAATAGAGTTATCTTGGTGAGTTGCAGATTCACACCATTTTTAATCGAATTTTTGACACTTTCATCTCGTAGATTGGTACACTGATTTGCTAATTTAAGATTCCATACATTAAAAGGAGAAACGGAACCGTAATAGGATCATTTAAGCTTTTGGCTGCCTTGTCAGTCGCTTTGTAGGGAGTGTTGCATTTGAAACGTGAGCGATGACAGTTTAAGTATTAATGTCTGTCCGTTTTAAGGACTTTTTCTTAGGAAAGGCTATAGTTATCAAGCTGAAATTTCATTTTAGCTCTTAGAGATGTAAATAATTAAAACTTCTTAGTAAACGCATTTAATGATATGGCCATTTATATCACATATTTTGATACTTACGAAATCACTCATAAAATTCTATAGGATATTCCTAAAGGATACTTCTCATTGACCTGTAATCATGAAATTTTGACAAAAAGCCATACAAAATATTTTTTAGTTTATAGTTAGGTATTTTGTAGGTTATATCACAATATAAAAATATTGCTATTACAGCCTACATTTGCAGTTAGAGCATCGACCGTAATGTAGATAGACATTGGGTTTAGGAGATTTTTTTACTACAAAGTCAAGTTTGTCCTTTATTCTAACTTATCGTATTGTTACAGTAAACTCCAGCTTTGATTTAGACAATGAACAAAAACATGTAATACTAGTACATACACGTATTCTGTTTATCTAAATATAATCGAATATAATCTATATTAAAATTACCTATAATTATCAATCAAACCATCGGGGCGCGAGTTATGCTCGCACTTGTCCGGGGTTTCTTTTTCAAAGATAATTTTACAATTTTCGCAATAATTTTCAACAATTTGCGATGACTCTGAAATTTATTTTATTTTATTTTTATGTAATGTTTATGTTTTTAAGTACCAACATGTAAGGAAACGTAATTTCTTCTAAATAAACTTTGATATAACCGTGTTTTTCGTTGAACATTACAGATACGTTGACGACAGCTCTGTTTCTCTGCGCTTGCCGTTGGAAAAAGCTCACGACATTAAATGGATTTCCACAGCACAGTTCATTTATCCAGAAGAGAAGGGCCTATCCGAGGTATATTGCCAGTTCTTTGATGAATTTTAATATTTCTTAATAACAGTACATTAACAGTACCTAGGCGACCGACCTTTGCTGGGCGTTAGATTTTTTTCTCAGTGATGGCTGACACATTTCAGGATAAAATTGGAAAGTAAAACATCGTCAACATCAACATGATACGTATGTTACAGTCATGACTGGTCAAAACCACTTTTGACTGCTAAAATCTGGCAAACGTAGTTTTAACTGTGGACGTTGGTCAATAGCAATTTGAACTGATTTTTGCAGTCAAAAGTAGTTTTGATTAAGGAAACGACGTTGATTAAAGCCAATTTTAACTGCAAAATATTGGGTAATAATATGCGGAAGAAAAAATAATTCAATATTGTATATTTTATATCATATTAATGTACCCGGCATTGGGTGGCCCAAGGGCTACAAAAATCAGTCGAAACTGTTTGTCACAGACTTAAGTGGTTTTCTTCAAGAAAGGCGACAACGCTCTCTTAAAGAACTACAGACCGATTTCCCTTCTGAGCCGCGTCTACGTGCTGTTTTCGAGAGTCATTACGAATTGTCTCGCACGCAGACTCGACGACTTCCAGCCTCCCGAACAAGCCCGTTTCCGCAAAGGCTTCAGTACCATAGACCACATACATACCTTGCGGCAGATTGTACAGAAGACCGAAGAGTACAATCTGCCACTTTGCCTGGCATATGTGGACTATGATAAAGCCTTTGATTCCGTCAAAATTTGGGCGGTGCTACAGTCCCTTCAGCGGTGCCAAGTAGACTGTCGGTACACCGCTGCGTTGGAAGACGTTTTCAAGCTACTGGACTGGAAAGGATACGGTATTAACATCAATGGCGAGTACATCACTCACCTTCGATTTACCGACGATATAGTCATGGCAGAATCGCTGGAGGAACTTAGTACTATGCTCAATGACCTCAATGGTGTCTCCCAACGGATAGGTCTTAAGATGAACATGGACAAAACAAAGATCATGTTTAATGTCCATGTCACACCTATGCCGGTAGTTGTTGGGAGCACTATGCTCGAAGTTGTTGACGGGTACGTTTACCTGGGACAAATAGTCCGACTAGGTAAGTCCAACTTCGACCGAGAGGTCAATCGACGGATTCAACTCGGCTGGGCAGCGTTCGGGAAATTACGACACATCTTCTCGTCAGGTATACCTCAATCTCTGAAAACTAAAGTGTATAACCAGTGCGTGTTGCCAGTGATGACTTACGGATCTGAGACGTGGTCCTTCACTGCTGGCCGTATGAGGACGCTCAAGGTCGCTCAGCGAGCTATGGAGAGGGCTATGCTTGGAGTTTCACTGCGTGATAGACTCGGAAATGAGGATATCCGCAGTAAAACCAGAGTGACCGACATAGCCCAACGGATTAGTAAGCTGAAGTGGCAATGGGCCGGCCATATAGCTCGAAGAACCGATAACCGATGGGGAAGAAAGGTTCTTGAGTGGCAGCCTCGTACCGGTAGGCGTAGTGTAGGGCGACCCCCCACTGGTAAGACATGCAGGAAGTCGATGGATACAGGTGGCTCAGGACCGTGCTTTGTGGCTTTACTTGGGGGAGGCCTATGTTCAGCAGTGGACTTGTGAAGGGCTGTAATGATGATGATGATGATGATGAAATGGTTTTGACCGGTTTTGAGTTTTGACTTTGACACATTTATTTATACAATTTGAACTGAATTACTTACGAAGGGTACATTAGGGTACGAAATATTATTGTCTCCTTTTCCATCATCAGCGCGTAAGAGTCCGCTGCTGAAAACTGGGCTTCTTCCGGTTTTTTATAGAATAAGGGTGACAAACGAGCACACAGTCGACCTAATGATAAGTGGATGCTGTGTAGATGTCTATCTACATTTATTTTCAAATGAGAATCAAAAAGCAGATGCGTTGTTACCCCTAAGGACTGAAATGAAATGCCTCGTTTCCAGTAAAAAAAAAGTCTCAGGTTCTCTACACTCACCATACGAAACACAACAGCGTTATCTGATATTTTAGGCTTTATTTCTGTGAGAGCGTGGTCTAACCCTGGTCGACCCGACCTATTCGTGCTGTAACCACAATATAGCTGCAGCATATACGTAAAACGTAACAGGGAGGTTTTCTCGTAATCGCTATTCATCTTTGACTCCACTTATATCACTGATCTATCGTATCGAACTTGAACGCATCGATCGTATTTGAACGAGATGGCCTTTTCACTTTTTGCTATCAGTCATGAGAACCATCAGAAATTTTTCATATTTGCCTATTAGGATATTTACAGGACATCAATGAAGCAGGTCACGGGTGCATCACCCAACTAACTGATAAACTGCCGCTTAGAAATAATATAATAGAATGATTTTTATTCAATATAGATAACAAATGAATAATAATATTAAATAATAATAATAAATAATGTTTATTAAAAATCACTTAAGCTGTGCCACTTATTATATTATTTAATTCTTTGATCCTGCAAACTGAAAACAGCACATAATACAATGAAGCTTCTCATTAACAGTTCACAGTCTCTGAATCGGTCCTAGTGAATGCTGATACTTACAAAACAGCACATAATACAATGAAGCTTCTCATTAACAGTTCACAGTCTCTGAATCGGTCCTAGTGAATGCTGATACTTACAAAACAGCACATAATACAATGAATCTTCTCATTAACAGTTCACAGTCTCTGAATCGGTCCTAGTGAATGCTGATACTTACAAAACAGCACATAATACAATGAAGCTTCTCATTAACAGTTCACAGTCTCTGAATCGGTCCTAGTGAATGCTGATACTTACAAAACAGCACATAATACAATGAAGCTTCTCATTAACAGTTCACAGTCTCTGAATCGGTCCTAGTGAATGCTGATACTTACAAAACAGCACATAATACAATGAAGCTTCTCATTAACAGTTCACAGTCTCTGAATCGGTCCTAGTGAATGCTGATACTTACAAAACAGCACATAATACAATGAAGCTTCTCATTAACAGTTCACAGTCTCTGAATCGGTCCTAGTGAATGCTGATACTTACAAAACAGCACATAATACAATGAAGCTTCTCATTAACAGTTCACAGTCTCTGAATCGGTCCTAGTGAATGCTGATACTTACAAAACAGCACATAATACAATGAAGCTTCTCATTAACAGTTCACAGTCTCTGAATCGGTCCTAGTGAATGCTGATACTTACAAAACAGCACATAATACAATGAATCTTCTCATTAACAGTTCACAGTCTCTGAATCGGTCCTAGTGAATGCTGATACTTACAAAACAGCACATAATACAATGAATCTTCTCATTAACAGTTCACAGTCTCTGAATCGGTCCTAGTGAATGCTGATACTTACAAAACAGCACATAATACAATGAATCTTCTCATTAACAGGTCACAGTCTCTGAATCGGTCCTAGTGAATGCTGATACTTACAAAACAGCACATAATACAATGAATCTTCTCATTAACAGTTCACAGTCTCTGAATCGGTCCTAGTGAATGCTGATACTTACAAAACAGCACATAATACAATGAATCTTCTCATTAACAGTTCACAGTCTCTGAATCGGTCCTAGTGAATGCTGATACTTACAAAACAGCACATAATACAATGAAGCTTCTCATTAACAGTTCACAGTCTCTGAATCGGTCCTAGTGAATGCTGATACTTACAAAACAGCACATAATACAATGAAGCTTCTCATTAACAGTTCACAGTCTCTGAATCGGTCCTAGTGAATGCTGATACTTACAAAACAGCACATAATACAATGAAGCTTCTCATTAACAGTTCACAGTCTCTGAATCGGTCCTAGTGAATGCTGATACTTACAAAACAGCACATAATACAATGAAGCTTCTCATTAACAGTTCACAGTCTCTGAATCGGTCCTAGTGAATGCTGATACTTACAAAACAGCACATAATACAATGAAGCTTCTCATTAACAGTTCACAGTCTCTGAATCGGTCCTAGTGAATGCTGATACTTACAAAACAGCACATAATACAATGAAGCTTCTCATTAACAGTTCACAGTCTCTGAATCGGTCCTAGTGAATGCTGATACTTACAAAACAGCACATAATACAATGAAGCTTCTCATTAACAGTTCACAGTCTCTGAATCGGTCCTAGTGAATGCTGATACTTACAAAACAGCACATAATACAATGAATCTTCTCATTAACAGTTCACAGTCTCTGAATCGGTCCTAGTGAATGCTGATACTTACAAAACAGCACATAATACAATGAATCTTCTCATTAACAGTTCACAGTCTCTGAATCGGTCCTAGTGAATGCTGATACTTACAAAACAGCACATAATACAATGAAGCTTCTCATTAACAGTTCACAGTCTCTGAATCGGTCCTAGTGAATGCTGATACTTACAAAACAGCACATAATACAATGAAGCTTCTCATTAACAGTTCACAGTCTCTGAATCGGTCCTAGTGAATGCTGATACTTACAAAACAGCACATAATACAATGAATCTTCTCATTAACAGTTCACAGTCTCTGAATCGGTCCTAGTGAATGCTGATACTTACAAAACAGCACATAATACAATGAAGCTTCTCATTAACAGTTCACAGTCTCTGAATCGGTCCTAGTGAATGCTGATACTTACAAAACAGCACATAATACAATGAAGCTTCTCATTAACAGTTCACAGTCTCTGAATCGGTCCTAGTGAATGCTGATACTTACAAAACAGCACATAATACAATGAATCTTCTCATTAACAGTTCACAGTCTCTGAATCGGTCCTAGTGAATGCTGATACTTACAAAACAGCACATAATACAATGAATCTTCTCATTAACAGTTCACAGTCTCTGAATCGGTCCTAGTGAATGCTGATACTTACAAAACAGCACATAATACAATGAATCTTCTCATTAACAGTTCACAGTCTCTGAATCGGTCCTAGTGAATGCTGATACTTACAAAACAGCACATAATACAATGAAGCTTCTCATTAACAGTTCACAGTCTCTGAATCGGTCCTAGTGAATGCTGATACTTACAAAACAGCACATAATACAATGAAGCTTCTCATTAACAGTTCACAGTCTCTGAATCGGTCCTAGTGAATGCTGATACTTACAAAACAGCACATAATACAATGAAGCTTCTCATTAACAGTTCACAGTCTCTGAATCGGTCCTAGTGAATGCTGATACTTACAAAACAGCACATAATACAATGAATCTTCTCATTAACAGTTCACAGTCTCTGAATCGGTCCTAGTGAATGCTGATACTTACAAAACAGCACATAATACAATGAAGCTTCTCATTAACAGTTCACAGTCTCTGAATCGGTCCTAGTGAATGCTGATACTTACAAAACAGCAAATAATACAATGAAGCTTCTCATTAACAGTTCACAGTCTCTGAATCGGTCCTAGTGAATGCTGATACTTACAAAACAGCACATAATACAATGAAGCTTCTCATTAACAGTTCACAGTCTCTGAATCGGTCCTAGTGAATGCTGATACTTACAAAACAGCACATAATACAATGAAGCTTCTCATTAACAGTTCACAGTCTCTGAATCGGTCCTAGTGAATGCTGATACTTACAAAACAGCACATAATACAATGAAGCTTCTCATTAACAGTTCACAGTCTCTGAATCGGTCCTAGTGAATGCTGATACTTACAAAACAGCACATAATACAATGAAGCTTCTCATTAACAGTTCACAGTCTCTGAATCGGTCCTAGTGAATGCTGATACTTACAAAACAGCACATAATACAATGAAGCTTCTCATTAACAGTTCACAGTCTCTGAATCGGTCCTAGTGAATGCTGATACTTACAAAACAGCACATAATACAATGAAGCTTCTCATTAACAGTTCACAGTCTCTGAATCGGTCCTAGTGAATGCTGATACTTACAAAACAGCACATAATACAATGAAGCTTCTCATTAACAGTTCACAGTCTCTGAATCGGTCCTAGTGAATGCTGATACTTACAAAACAGCACATAATACAATGAAGCTTCTCATTAACAGTTCACAGTCTCTGAATCGGTCCTAGTGAATGCTGATACTTACATAACAGCACATAATACAATGAAGCTTCTCATTAACAGTTCACAGTCTCTGAATCGGTCCTAGTGAATGCTGATACTTACAAAACAGCACATAATACAATGAAGCTTCTCATTAACAGTTCACAGTCTCTGAATCGGTCCTAGTGAATGCTGATACTTACAAAACAGCACATAATACAATGAAGCTTCTCATTAACAGTTCACAGTCTCTGAATCGGTCCTAGTGAATGCTGATACTTACAAAACAGCACATAATACAATGAAGCTTCTCATTAACAGTTCACAGTCTCTGAATCGGTCCTAGTGAATGCTGATACTTACAAAACAGCACATAATACAATGAAGCTTCTCATTAACAGTTCACAGTCTCTGAATCGGTCCTAGTGAATGCTGATACTTACATAACAGCACATAATACAATGAAGCTTCTCATTAACAGTTCACAGTCTCTGAATCGGTCCTAGTGAATGCTGATACTTACATAACAGCACATAATACAATGAAGCTTCTCATTAACAGTTCACAGTCTCTGAATCGGTCCTAGTGAATGCTGATACTTACATAACAGCACATAATACAATGAAGCTTCTCATTAACAGTTCACAGTCTCTGAATCGGTCCTAGTGAATGCTGATACTTACAAAACAGCACATAATACAATGAAGCTTCTCATTAACAGTTCACAGTCTCTGAATCGGTCCTAGTGAATGCTGATACTTACAAAACAGCACATAATACAATGAAGCTTCTCATTAACAGTTCACAGTCTCTGAATCGGTCCTAGTGAATGCTGATACTTACAAAACAGCACATAATACAATGAAGCTTCTCATTAACAGTTCACAGTCTCTGAATCGGTCCTAGTGAATGCTGATACTTACAAAACAGCACATAATACAATGAAGCTTCTCATTAACAGTTCACAGTCTCTGAATCGGTCCTAGTGAGTGCTGATACTTACAAAACAGCACATAATACAATGAAGCTTCTCATTAACAGTTCACAGTCTCTGAATCGGTCCTAGTGAATGCTGATACTTACAAAACAGCACATAATACAATGAAGCTTCTCATTAACAGTTCACAGTCTCTGAATCGGTCCTAGTGAATGCTGATACTTACAAAACAGCACATAATACAATGAAGCTTCTCATTAACAGTTCACAGTCTCTGAATCGGTCCTAGTGAATGCTGATACTTACAAAGTCGATGTTAATGGAAAAATCGGAGAAGAAAGTGGAAATGCTGAAGCTAAGATATTGGTGCCTCATCACGATCCATTTGTGATGCAAGGCAATTACGAAGTCTCAGCCAAAGGTAAGAAATAATTATTATAACCCAACAGCTTATTTAAGTTACCTCCTGAACATAGACCTACCCATATGAGTCAATATGGGGGATATTTGCCAAAATTGCCACGCTTGACTAGCGGGTTGGCAACTGCATTTGTTATTTTTAGTCGCTATGAAAAATATGTTGCTGCACAACTCCTGATTTGTTTCCCTGTTATGACAGCCACGGAAAATTTAAGGGCAGTGGATATTCATTCTTACATAGACAGAACACATTATTGATTTAAAATATCTTTAATTTTAGCTCAAAATCTTTGCACTTTCCTTACATTAAATCTTCTTGTTTTGCAGTCTGTAGAGTTCTCTGCTAGGCATGGGGCTCTCCAGTTGTAAGATTGACGGCTGAAAGTTCCCTGGTGCAGTGGTTTAGATTACGGCGCTAAGAGCCAGGGATGTGAATCCCGCACGTAACAAGTATTTGTATGGCCTTCATATAATTGTTCTGGATCTGGATGTTTGTCCTTCGGCAATTTGTATAGGATGTGATCTCATTAACCACCGCTGGACCTTTATGCGCCAACAAAACTATGTAACTTGAAAGATTTTCCCAGTACCGACCAGGCTAGGTGACGGTGGTTGAGCTAAAAACCTAACACTTGCTATTTACTACTTACTTCTTTTAGTTATATTCTTTCTTAGCATCAGGCCAACTGATAGCAATACGGAGTAATCTGCTGGCGATAGCTTATAGTCCACAAATGTTTAACTGCAACTACAGATCCACTAGCCAATCGTCGAACGATTATTGATTGGTACAATATCTCAAATTAGAGCTGGGTACAAAATCTCCAAAAGGAATAATCTAAAAAAATGTCTGGTGGGGAGCCGCCCTACACTTACGGTGCGAGACAATCACTTAAAAACATCCTCCAGAATCACCTCCTCTGATATTATAATAAAGAGTAGAACGTCATTCATAATATTTTTTTAGATGGCTACAAATCTATCAAGGCTGATGCACAAGCTCGGTGCGGTAAGATCAGGAGGGACGTGAAATTAGTTGTCAAAGCATCACCCAGTGAACTGGAAGCACTCATCGTTGCAAACGCACCGGACGCGGAGCAATTGAAGAAACTGGAGATTAAGATCGACAGCAAGGTAATAATGTTTATTATGTTAGTCGTGAAAAATTTCATAGAAATGTAATGCAAGAACGAAATATAAGCAAAAGGTATCAGAGGCATATACAAGATGGTTGTACCGCGATATTTAATGAGCGTGGCTGAGTACCCAATACTCGTATTTTTAGAATTTAAAAGGTTCGCGAATTTGTACGAGTTGCAAAATATGATTTCCCGTCCAATCGCTGAGAGACCGTTAAGGAAAGAAGCATAATACGTAAAAAATATAAAAAATTTTATATTTTATCTTTACCTTCTATTATCTATTTGTCTATTTTATTAATACCGTCTTCCAGAAGCGAAGTTATCAATTCGACTGTATATTATTGATATATATGTATAACATGAATTCTCCAATTTTAGTTATCTGATTGAACTGGTTTTGTATTTATAATATTTTTTTACTGCTTTTTACTTGTTATATCTTTCAGAGTTTTCCCATAGATTTCAATTAAATCTCATGACTAGGAAGCCGGTTTCAATTTATTTTAAGTAATAATATATACATACCGTAAATATTTATTTTATTTTACAGAACTCTAATCCAACTTACAACAACATAGTGACTATTCAAGCTGATGATCGCGTCTACAAGATGGAAAGCTTCGTTGTTATCTCAGAACCCATAATCGACCTCAAATACACGAGCCCTTCTACGTCTAAAACTAGCAGGTAAAATAAAAAAAGCTGCCAGTCGTAAGACTGCACGTCAGAAGTGAAAACTTCTTAGCTTCACAAACAACTCACTTGTATATAAAATCTTACTTTATTAGGTCAATGTAGGCATGTGTTTTCAGTTATTTTAAAATTTTCTTTTTAGACTGTTCATCAAAGGAGAGGCATCACGTGGCAAATTTGACATCAAATTAGAAAACATCAAGAATATTGACTTAGACGCGACATGCGAGGGCAATGTTGAGAAGGAAAACTTTTACCTCAAGGCCCAGGCTAACTCTGGATACTTTGGATTAAAGAACTACAAGGTGGACATCAGCAGCAAAGACGCTGGCAACGGCAAACGTCTCGAGTTCAATGCTGTCAATGACAATAAGAATTTGATTAGTGGCAGGTAAATATGATTGTGATATTTTTTTTCCTGGCCTGTTATTACCTGGTAAAGCTAAAACTGTTAAGGATAAGGATATCAATGGCGAAAACATCACTCACTTTCGATTTGCCGGCGACATTGTCTTCATGGCAGAATCTCTACAGGCAAATTATTTCCTCTTTTGCTGAATACGTTATGTAGGTACGACAAAGAATCATTTTGTCACATTCACCTCTTTCTGCTACCCGGCAGTGCCTGAACTGCTGTGTGTCGGTTTGAAGGGAATAGAAATCCAGTATAATTACAGGCTGTGAGGTATTCCCTCTTAATCCTCAGAATGATTACTTCTTCTTTTCTTTGTTCCACTTCTTTATTTGTAGTTTTGTTTGTTTGAAAATTATTAATTTTCTATATAATTATAGTAATTAATAATAAAAAAGCTTTATTTCTCTACACATTTACATAGTTATCAAAATTATAAATAAATACATAGAACTATTAGAAAGTTCTTTTTGTTTTATTTAGTCCCTCTTGGGTAAAAACCTCCTCCAATTTGAACCGTTCTTCACGGTTTTTGGCAATTTGCATCCATTCTTCTCCTGCTATGTTAATAATGTCATCCACCCATCTTTTCCTTTGCCGACCTACACTTCTCTTGCCAAATGGGCCCTTCCATTTTGTTGTTTGGTAGGTCCATCTTTTGTCCTGGTATCTAGCTATGTGTCCTGCCCATTTCCATTTTTGTATTTGACTATGCTGAAGTGCATCCGTTAATTTCGTTTTCTTTCGAATATCTATATTTCTTGTTTTTTGTATTCTCCTTAGTTTAAGGATGCTCCTCTCCATGGCATGTTGGCAAGACAAAATTTTGTTTTTCACTCTTTCAGTGTACACCCATGTTTGGCTTGCATATGTTAGACTTGGGAGGATACACGAGTCCATTATGACCCTTTTCATTCTTAAGCAGTAATTTCCTTTGAGAATTTCTTTTTGAGACCAATATTTTTTCCATGCTATATTTATTCTTCTGTCTATTTCTTTTTCAGTGTTGTTTAGTTCGAAAGATATCAACTTGCCTAAATATACATAATCATCAACATATTCAATGGATTTTCCTTCTATTTTTTTTGAGCAAACAGCTCCAAAAAACCAATCAAAACCCTCCATTGAATTGTAGTAATTAAGTAAATTTATTTAAAGTTCAAACAAAAAATGACCTTTAATGTATTAAACAAAATATTAATTCCTAAAATTGTTCATAACGAAATAAAATTACGAAAAATAACTGGCTATGACCGAAAGAGAGAAAGAAAATTTGCGCGCGCACTGCTCTCTCTCTTGCTTATTTCCCCCACTCAACTTCCGTTCACCTCGTACGATCACACTTTTCTTAACACTTTCGTCACGCGTTCGCCGGCTTACTCCCCAAGTCAAGCGTGCGTAAAGAAGTTTTACTTCAAAAATGTATTCCTATACACAAGATGGTTAATGGAGCCAGCTAATGGAGATCAAGAGGATTGTCTCGCTGCGCCCAAAGTCCTTCCTTACCGTTACCGTTATAGCCTACTAAAAGTCCACTGCTGAACCTAGGCATCACTTGTAAATAGCATCATAGGGCGAAAATTTTGGTACCATAGTTGCCAGGCTTAGTAGATGGATTGGCAACCACATTTTTTTCTGTTTTTTTCTGTTAAGAAATTTTTAAAGCATAGTTGGCAATATATCACCCCTGTGTATCTGAAATCACGTAAAGCTGTTAGTCCTACGCCTGATCTCACTCTGGTTAAAATCTGGCTGCCGTGACTGAAACTCTGTCTGGAATACAATGTTATGTTATTAGACCTCCTAAAACTTGCTGAAATTTATGTTTGTTTCTTTCAGTACCTCATTCATCAGCAAGCAAGAAGGCACAAAGACAATAATAGAGGGTTCTGGCTCAGTAAAGGTGAAGGATGATCAGAAACCAGCTAACTTTAAATTCATCCGCACCATTCTCCCTGATGGCATGGAGGTACGAAATAAACTTTTTATACAAAAATATCCATTACTTTTGTATCATTAGGGCTGATTTACACAGGGTTAGGAAGGTGTCGGTGCTGGCGCCGAGAACTAATTCTCAATGTTTACATATATTCAGTATTCATGGTGATTTCTTTACGGTGCACCCACGTTATTGAAGTAAACGGCAGAATATATAATGATTAAATTATTTGTTGGTAAAATGTTAATATTAGTTGTTGGAAGAGTTGACGAAAATGATATAAGAAGAAATATCTAAAAGGAAACTGCTTTTGATAAGAAAATGGATAGACGATAGAAAAGAAACTGAAGATTCTGCTTCGTCACTAAACGTATGAGGAGATTTGAGGACATTTAAGTATTGGTGTGAACCAAAAAGAAATTACATTCAAAACTTAGGAAACTTAATTGCCACTGGATTCCTCATAAACTCACCTCACAGATCTTGAGTTGATTTGTGTGAAAGAAAGTGTGATCACATGTTGTGTATGACATTTCAACGGGAGATGCAATTCATTTTAATTTAATATTATTTTGAGTCGGTTCTCTTTTAGACAATGTTATCTGGTCGCATTGTTTAGAAGAAAGCAACAGTTTTTGTATTTGTTTTATTTATTAATTACGCAAAAATTTCAGTGTACCTCACGTATACCTAATTATTTGTAGACAACACAAATAATTGTTCAGAGTGGAATTCCATCCATGACTCTAGTTGCTTCTAGCAAGACATCATAAATTCATCTTCACTGAACATATTCCTCCTCTATTGACAAAGGAGATATTTGTAACGCTTGGTAGGTGGGTTGGTGATCGCAGCTTTTTAGGCAGTTATTAGGAAAATCTGCTCCTCATCTCCTACTCGTTTCCTTGTGTCACCTCTTACAAAGCCGCCGAATTCATATGGAATACTGAATTAATGGCACATTTTTTGCCAACAGACATTCTTGAACGTTGCTATTGGTGAGCGAAGCTACGTTGCAGAGGCGAGGATCACCGAATTAGAATACAAGACATCGTACCTCTTCTGTGAAGAAAAGAAGCAGTGTGCCAACATCGACCTGCACTCGAAGATCAATGTTATTAGTATGTTTTATTTACATATAAAATACCCGCTTTTTGACTACTTTCAACCGCGATAACTTTCACCAAAGTTATCGCGGTTGAATCTTGCCATTGTTGTGTATTTTAGCGAACTTTAGGAAGATATGGAGATTTACAATTCGACTGTGTGTATGTAACGCTATAACTTCGTCAATTTTAAACCGATTTTGATGATTTTTTATACCTATATCAGGGGTGTACTTAAGTGTGACAAATAGTGACATTGATATTGTGATTTTTCTTAGCCCTCTCGAAATTTAAAAAAAATTAAAAAGTTAAAGTAGAGAAACTAAGAAGAATAATATAATTTCACAACCTGAAGTTGATTCCGACATATCATATCGACTTCAGTATGTGAAATTATTTTTACTTTTAAGTACATTTAGTCAGCTCTGCGATCTAAAAAAAAGTATATTTTATTTATAAGACACACCGTGGACGATCTTTCAATCTGTGTCCATATATAAGGGTTATCACTCATTCATTCATTCGTCGCTGCTACTAGACATTTTAACTAACTAAAACTAGACAATTTAATAGGTGGTAGGACTCCAGGACCCCTCTCTTAGAAGTCCGTGTGGTGATAACATCCTAAACTATTTCTATAGTGTAAGTACACCCACTACTGTTTGGAGGCAGAAATAAGTTAGGATGGTATTACCCGGTCTGAAGGATCAAGAGAGCCAGTATAAATATTTCAAAGATTTAAATAGCTAGATGCGCCCTTACCATAGTATGATCACTCCGAAATGAGTGAGCACACTCATTCGCAATCAATGCTCATTTGTGCGCGGTGACAGCCAGATATTGCATATTGGAACTAACGTGCTGATTTCACCAAAAACAAACTCTCATAATGCCATCGTGTGCCTTTCGAAAGTGCAGTAATAATTCTAAAAACACAAATAAAGCCCAAGATGTAACATTTCACTTGTAAGTATCTATATTTTATTAAGTATTGAATTTATTTTATTCCGATGTCAGAAAATACCACGAAATAATTACGGGCAAACAGAAACTGTGCAACAGAGAAAGTAGTAAACACAATTTCCGTAAGATAATAACAGATGACACTATTGTCTCAGTACTCTTCTAATAATTAATTTAGTATGCTCGCGTCAGCGTCTTGCAAACGCACACATTCAAAAATAATTCGACAGTTTTTCAAGGTGAAGGTGCATCTAACTATTTAATTATTTGATATATTTACGTACCATGGTAGTCCTCATAAGTAATCAAGAGCTGCTTACCATGAAATGGATTATACGTTAATTTTTCACTTCTTTTTTTTTAGTCGTATTAACGTAATCTTTTGTATTATTTACAGAACCAGGCAATTACGAACACCTTGTGAACGTTGACTTTGATCTGCGGAAATTAGGTTTCGCGCCCGAGTTTGGTTTACAGATTTCTAACGAGATGTCTGAACTCATTATACCTAAATACAGCCTAGACCTTCACGTCAACAAGAACGAAAAGAAGTACCATCTGCATGTGTACTGCAAGCCTGAAAGTGGATGTAAGTAAACCTATAAAATTTGATCGAGTTCTTTTCATAGGTATTAAATAGTTATATAACAACATTTTTTCTAGTAATTCCTGCTGGTGTAACGGTGACCATCCCATCGCGAGTATTGGCTTTCGAATCAGAAGTTCGATACACTCCCAACGCTGTCTTGTTCTTCCCTATCCACGGAGAGGTGGCGCTGTACCCTGACAAGAACAAGCCCCAACAAAAGACAGCAGCCAGAATGAGCTTATCTGCTGCGACTAGTGACTCTCACAGCTCTGCTCTCGCTGACTTCGGATTAAGTCATCCCAAACTTGGCGAGGTTGGTATTATTTTATTTCTTATGACAACCATCTCTGCTTGACTATTGATTGAAAAGTGATTTTCCTTATTCTTCTAAATTTGTTTTCTTTTATTTCAATTTTAATATTTATCTGGCTCGAATGACCAAGGTGATGATTGATATATATATACAACAGATAGCCAAATTATAGATTATATTTTCCAACCGTAAGTGCGATCACATTCATCACTTAACATTGTTTAATTATTACTACGGCTACATTTCACGCGTATTTTACAGGAGATGACACTTAAAGTCAACGCAAAATTAGATCGTCCGCGTGAGAACACCATAGAGATTGAAACTTCTACAGTACTTTCACACAATTGCTTCGGAGGCGTAAGTAATTTTTAAATCCCTTTTTCTTGTTGTGTATTTTAAGGAACTGTCTTTTATTTACCTTGGTTCATTGATATACAATTTACAGCCTCTTTATTATAGTAGTCATAAACGCGATTACTCGTCAAAAGGTCCCGGGTTCGAATCCCTGGTCAGGAAAAAATCAGTTACTGGGTTTTCTGTCAAGAAGTTCTCAGTATCAGCCCGGAGCCAGGAAATTGAGAACCATAAGCTTCTGAAAGCACGTTAAGCCGTTAGTCCTGTGCCTGGTCAGTTTCTGGTCTTATCGTATTACCGTCCCACCGACTCTGAAAGTTTGGGTAAAAGAGAGTGCACCTGTGCTTACACTATATACATAGGGCACTATAATTCTGCGCAGATGGCTAGACTGCGTTGAGACTTCGGTCTGGAGGACGTCATATGATTAAAATACAAATTCTTCATCAACAGCCCGATAAAGTCTACTTTTAGGCATGGGCTTTTACCATTAAAGTAACAGTAGGGATAGATTTGTCTTAACTGTCGTGCTGTACAGACAGATTCTGTGAACTTGCAGTACAGGCGAATTATAGATCACACTCTAGGTAGCGTCCTCGGACCTACTCTATTTTTAATCTATGTCAACGATCTATGCAATTTAAGCCTACAAAATTGTCAAATATACACCTACGCAAATGACACTGCTCTCATTTTTAACGCAAAATCATGGGAAAATCTAAGGATTATTGCTTACTCCGGAATACACCATATATCTAACTGGCTAAGATCGAACCTTCTGACCCTTAACATTAACAAAACTAAATTCATACCTTTTACTATACGGAAAAATACACAACCAAATTCCAAATTTAACCTAACAGTTCATACCTGCCATAAGCCATATTTAGATAGCAATAATAATTTCTCATGTGATAAAATCACCAGGACTAGTACCATCAAATATCTCGGTGTAACTATTGATCAGCACCTTACCTGGAGTCAACACATTGAAAACATTGCTGACAGGATAAGGAAACTAACATGGGTATTTAAAAAACTCAGGTGTGTTGCAAATGAAACAACTCTTATCACCACCTACAAAGCTCTAGCGCAATCGGTAATGAGTTATTGCATACCTATTTGGGGTGGTGCAGCAAAACACATCTAATAGGACTAGAAGTAGCTCAAAGAGCTCTAATTAAGGTGATGTTCTTGAAACCGTTTCGATTTTCAACTTTTGAACTACATGAGTCTTACATATTGCTTACTACTCGCCAGATGTATATATTGAATTGCATTTTAAAAAAGCATCGACATTTACCTTTCATACCTCATCAGACACCAAAACGTAGGAGTACCAAAATTTGCAATATACCACAAAATAAAACAAAGTTTAAGCAAAAGCAATACGTATTCCAATCTATAACTATTTACAACAAATTCAACAGCAGATTGAATATTTACCCCTTGACGTGGACTAAAGTTAAACCTGTAGCCAAACACACACTGCATGCATGCTTATCATGTAAATATAATTATTCCAAATTTCATTTACTTCCTAATGCTAGTAATGCTAGATCTTGCCTTGATTTTTGTTATTTATTGATTAACATTGTATTGTCTTGGTGGATGAGCGGGGTACCCAGTAATACAGGTTCCCAACCTAGTACAGGGGCCCTTGCGACTGGTTTAAAATGTATCATTGTAAATCAATAAATCATTTTTTCATTTTCATTTACACTATCAGACGTTTTCGACCTTTGAAGCTACTTACCGTCTTATATCTGGGTTTTTTATGTCTGCCATTAACGAGATGGTTACAAAGATTTAAATAGTTAGATGCGCCCATACCATAGTATGACAACTCCGAAATGTTTCCATTCTCAAATGAGTGAGCTCACACATTCGCAGCCAGTGTTCATTTGTGCGACAGAGAAAGTATACTTAATATCTGTAAGATAATAAGAGATGACACTATTGTATTAGTGCGCACGAGTCAGCGTCTTGCAAACGAACACATCCAAAAATAATGCCACAGTTTTCAAGGTGAAGGCGCATCTAACTATTTAAATCTTTGGATGGTTATACCGCGCTCTATTGGAAGCCATTGGATAGATTTTAAGCATTTCCCATAGCCGCCTTTTACGACAACAATGGGAAGAAAATGGGGATCGATTCTATTACGCCGCCTTAACTCTGCAACTACGTAATATTTCATTTAAAATAATCATCCTAAATTGTTTGATAAAAGTCATACAAAGGAAATTTCAAAATACAGCTTAATTACGTCAATCAACATATTTCTAAAGTCCGATGCTCTACGTAGACCTATCCAACAAGCCGGCAAGCATCACTTTGAAAGTTTGCCAATACAACGCAGAGTAGACAGGTCGATTGGCACAAGACGATACACCCTCATCAACAGTCGGTGAAATTTATATTCAGCGTCTTTGAATGAATTTCTTGCAATTATTCCTACGCCAATGTCTCATCCGTCGATCAGGATCAATATAACAACGTGCGGTAATTTTAACCGACTTCAAAAAAAGGAGTAGGTTCTGTATTGGACGTGTATTTTATGTATATTTACCGAGTTCTCGGAAACTGTTAAATCGATTTAAATTATTCTTTTTTTATTGTACATGGTAAACATCAAGGGAAAAAAGCAGAACCATATAAGAATACATGAAGGTGTAAAAATATAAATTAGCGTTGTTCCTTCCGTATCTCGGAAGGCACTTATAGTCGTTGGTCCTGCGCCTGATATCACTCCGGTCATGTCGGGTTGCAATCCCATTGAACTGTGAGCGTGTAAGAATAGAGAGAACACCTATACTTACGCACACACTTGTGCACTATAAACCTGACCACACAAATTGGCTAGCCTTTTTTGGTTGAGACTGGCCGCCGTAACCGAAATTCAACCTTCTAATTCTTTCCCTTTCATTTTAATTCTTTCCTTGAGCTTGTGATATAGCTTATCCACTCAAAAATGAAAAAATAAACTTAAAATTATACTTTTAATAATAATTAAACAAAAATAATTTCCACAAGACGTTTTCACCTTTTATTAATGGAGTAAAAAATTTACTTTTAAGTTTAATAAACATTTGAAATCACCTTTTTTTTCTTGCAGAAACGTGAATTTAAAATCAAAATGGATGCTAACCCAACTCACGTGAGATTATTGGTAAGATATCCTGATCACGCAAATATATATTTTTATATATTTCTGAGGGGCGTAGCTTTTCTAAGAATATTCGATTTTTTAAGGTCAACACACCCTTGGTCAAAGTCCTTGAGTTGGAAGGTTCAGTACTCGTGGATGACAAGAGGCAGCAAGGTGACATGAACTTCAGCCTCTTGGAAGGAAAACCAGTCCTACTGCATGCGTTAGCCAAAGACTACCAATATTATGAAATCCAATCTGGATACAGTGGTGAGTGATTATTTATATTTGCTTTATTCATGTGTAAATATTTGATAATATAAATGGTAATGAGTCTAAATAGCGCCATTTAATAAATCTAATCCAGGCGAATCCGGGCCAAGTCGCTAGTCATTAATAATGGTGTCAACCACCCAATACATACAAACATTATTCATACAATAACTTCAAACTCCATAAACTATACGAAATTCAAACGTAACTATATTCTCTGAAGTGTTTTCAATACTGCTTAAATACGATATCATTAAAAGTTCTTCTCTTTCGCTCTTTTATCAGCAAAATACTTTAAATACATATCAGATGTTACGTATGGTGAGTGTAGAGAATCGAAGATCCGTTTTACAGGAAACAAGGCATTACAATGTCAAACATTGTACCTTTTTAATCTTTTAAATTCAAAATGCGTGGCGATGGCATTGTTTTAACTGATTTTACTGCGTACGCACACATTCGTAAGGTTCGATCGTTAGGCAAAAACGTCGTTGCCCACAAATCACATAAAATTTGGGATAATTTCAAATAAAAGTAGAAGCCTTATTTGCTCTTATTTTTAAAATCTGCAATAACGGTAATCATTATTTACATATTTATACTTAAGTTTAAAATATGGGTACTTTTTTAGAAATAACCCTGTAAAATTATTGTATATAATGTAAAGTATTACGCCTTAACCCTGCAGCGGTTACGCCTTATAAAATAACATAAATGGTCGCGTGGATTACGTATGTAGTTCAGTTTTAAATAAGAAGAAAGCTTTAAAATATCATATAATATATATTTTTATTTTATTATAAATTTGAAATGTTGTGTCATATTGTCAACGGTTAATAACATTTAATAAACAAAAACCATTTATACGTCCTTTTTTATTCAAATTATAATATTTAAAAAATCTATTAAATATTAAGATATGAAATTATCACATTAATTTCAAACTCGGATCACAAATCAGTTTACATAATTTTTTCTAATCATTTGGTTCCAGAAATATCCAAATTTTAAATTATTTTATAGTGGTTTACTATTGTAATCCACGCGACAATTGTAGGGTTAATGTTTTACTGTGGGAGACTGGTGCCTAAGCTAGGCTTTACACCTATATTTCAGGACACCAATATCCATCCTTTGGTGGTGATTACAATAATTTTATCATATCCATGTACCGTATTTGTAATTACATATTTTAACACAGAACTGTGGGAAATATAAAAGTAAATAAATAAATACATTTCAGATGATAAAGAACGCACGCTGTCGATTGTTGCTCACCTACAGCCAGAAAAACGAGTGGACATAGCTGTTGACATCATGCTACCAGGCCATAAGAAGAATATTGTACATGGTGCTCTGTTCTTGCAAGACAACCTCGTCAAGAGCGAATATGGTCTTTCTAAAGAGAACTTTAACTACTTCGTCGTAAGTGTTAATTTATATTTTTATAGATAAAAGTTAAAAAAGTTAGTTACAGCCTATGTATGTCCCACTGCTGGGCACAGGCCTCCGCTCATTTCTGAGAGGGTTTCAGGGCAAGGAATTGCCCACCGCACCGCCTCAATGCATCTTAGTGAACATGTTATCGAAATATTTTTTTTATTTCTCAGACATGCAGGTTTCCTCACGATGTTTTTCTTCACCGCCGAGCACGTGGTAAATCAACACTTAAAATTGCAATTAAAAATTTCTTCGGTGCCGACGGGGATCGAACCCGGTTAACTCGCATACTGTGAAATTTACAGCGAGCGCTAACCATCTGAGCTACCACGGCTTTTTATAAATATTTATATAGTATTCTAATCTGATTGGGACTGAATAAATTTATAAAAGAAAATTATAAATATACACAGATAAACATGAAATATAGTAAAATACATCATACAAACCTAAATAACTAAAAACCCAACCAGATGAGGGCATTTGAGAGGGGAAACCAAATGGCCAATTGTTAGAGGGAAAGAAAAAGTAACCGGCGGACAATTTACAAATACCTATAAGTATTATTATTTCAAATAGTGGAAAGAATTCAAATATTTAGAGGACGTATGAAATTAATACATACACATATAAAATTCCATATAAAATCATCCAAATGATGAAAAGCCAGCTTATGCCTTTTGAAATAAAATAAATTGAAACACGTGGTGGAAGGAGTCTAAGGCATCCCAATGTTGAAATAAAAAGTACTCCGTGAATAATAACGACAACAACGGCTTAAAAGTGAATTTTGTTGCAACCTTAATTCAATTTACAGAATGCCTTAAAGAACGACCTGAACAACCTCAAAACACGCATCAAAGAACTCGGAGACAAAAACAGCGAAGAATTCAAACGAATGATTGATCGTATTCAACCAACATTTAAGAGATTAGAGCAGTCTTACATGGAAGACTTGGAGAAAATTGTAGATGAGGTCACAAACGATGAAACTCTGAAGGAAATGTCGGAAGCTCTGTAAGTAATCATGATTTAAGCGGCTATCAGTAATTATCAGATCCTTATAATATATGAATGTAATTTTTTAATGAATGTAATTACTTTACTTAATCCGTTTTTAATATAAGGCATAAAAATAGACTGTAGGGAAAATGAAGAGCTATGTGTGAAAAATGTAATTTTTTTTATTCGATATAGATACAAAAGTACTCATTGAAAATAATTTAAGTGACACCACTAGTTTCGGAAAATGTTCTGGGAGGAAATAGTAAGAAATATTTTCTAGATATATAAATATTTTCCTGCATATTGTCTAGAACTTTGTTATAAAAGTATAAATATAAAATTATTCTTTTTGGGTTGTTTCACCACTAATTTATGAAAAAATCTTCGAGAAACACTTTCTTTATTAATTTATATAATTCTCATCTACTATACAAATTACTAAGTAATTATAGAATTTTATGTCTACCTAGTTTGTCGCATGATGGGATATCCGCATCCTTATCAGTCAAGACCAATTTAGTAATAAAGTTAGGGAGACATACAAAGACACAGTTCACTCGATGATAAACACGTAATGAGGACCATTATATCTACATCTCCATCTTTCTTCGGTTGAAAATCGAAATACCTACAGATTTGAGCTCCAAGATGACATTTTGCTCACTATACCAAGTAGAAGTATTATGCTGCTATATTACGCTGGTATTCTAAGCAAGGAATGCTGAAAGCATATCAATCCAATATTTCTGCAGGTGACAGAATATAGATACTCTAATAAGCAGTACTTGATACGTTTTCTATCAGTAATAGTGTAAAATTTAAAAATAAGGCTTGTGATTTTACCACTGCATAGCGCTTATTTGAATTAATTAACTATAAAATTATATATTATGTCTTTAGGCATTACGTCACCCATTTCTTGGCAAAGTTAATCGACGATGTACTGAAAATTACAAAACCAATGATGGACAGAATCGCAAATGCTATAGTCGATATTGCTGAGAAGATCAAGGAAATGTATGTTAAACAGGTTAGTACAAACTGTTTTCTTTAAAATCGTTTTTTGTTTTAAATTTTATTATCAAAAGCATTTCCTTTGGTAGTCTTTCGTATCATAAATTCTTCGACATTTATAAACACGATACAGTTTTAACCAAAATCTTAAATATTACTCAGCAGACGCAACACTTTAAATTCAATTCTATTTTAGATACTGTCTAGATACAGTATTCAGATATTTAGTTAAAATAATTTATTTCTATATAGGATATAAAGCGGTTTATTGATAACTGCTTATCTGTATTAATGAGCTTGAATTGACTTGTTAACGAAACAAATGGCCCATTACTAAACGTTACACTTCTCGGTCACACTGGCGTTACGGTTAGGGAAAGAGCCGCTAATCTCCACATCAATAGTTATAAACACATCCATTCATACCGGGATACTTTCACGGAAAACATTATTTTTTACATCGTATATAACCATATAGGAAGTCGATGGATGCAGGTGGCTCAGGACCGTGCTTTGTGGCATTACTTGGTGGAGGCCTATGTTCAGCAGTGGACTTGTGAAGGGCTGTAATGATGATGATGATGATGATGATGATATAACCATATATAGCTGCACATTTGTAACGATCTGCTATTTTTACCCCCTTCTTTAAACGTTCGACGGTGCAAGTGACGAAGAAGAAGAGAAGAGAATTGTTATTCATAACACAGTATCTTTGAGTGTATCTTTTACATAATATATATAACATATATAAGTTAAATGTGGGGAAATTTTCAATACTAGAATTGCTTCGCTTTGCTCGCGTGGTATTAGCACTTTTGTTACTATAGTTGATGACAATTTTTTACTTTTAACTTTCGCAAAGATCCATTAAGTATTAGAACGTATTTAATTTCTAGTTGGAGCCACAAATTAAGGAATTGTACGAAAATGTTGCTGCAGTTATCAGTGAATACTTCGAGGGTCTGATCGATATAGCTGCACACTTCTCGGCTCTTATTATGGACTTCTTCGAACGTCATAAGCCTGAAATCGAAGAACTTACTAACACGCTTACTGAGATCTTTAAAGGTTAGTCATTGTTTCTACGTCTATACTGAAATTAATATATTTTTAAAGTGAAAACTTCTGTAAAACCGTTGTGATTTGAAAACGATAAAATGAAAAACCGTCTCTAAAAAGAGACAAACATATACATCTATAGAATTTAACCAACGAGAGAATGAGATAAAATACAGTGTGCAGTTTTTCTTTTAAATTTATTTATATTTTAATTATACTAACCCTACAATTATCCTACTCCTATTTCTGAAGGTATTAATTCTTCCGGGTGTGAACTGCACGTATGTTTTTTAAAGTTTTTATTTATTTCATTTAACACGAAATTTGATTTACAGATTTGACAAAACTCTTGGTCGCACAACTTAAGGAATGGCGCGTTAAAGTTTTGCAGATAATTAAAGATATTAGTGAACAAATAGGTGATCTGCCCATCGTCAATGTCCTTAAGGAGAAAGTAAGAAAGTTTTACCTCTCATAATTACCATCATAAGTAATACCCTAGTAACTCAACAGTTTTTGAACTAAACCTCACATAGTTTTTGGAATTAAATTTAACACAATGCAAAACGACTGTCTGATCCGCAGTTAGCTGAACTGGCAATGGGCTGGCCATATATCTCGAAGAATCTTCAACCTATGGGTATAAAGGTTCTCAAATGGCAGCATCGTAGAAGACGTGTAGGGTGACACCCCACTAGATGGAGTGACGACCTGATGAGACTCGCAGGAAGTCGAAGGATGCAAGTGGTTCAGGACCGTGCTTTGTGGCATTCTTTAGGGGGATCCCTTGTTCAGCATTGGACTTGTGAAGGGCTGTAATAATGATGGTGATACTGCTAATGATGAGCACCTATTTTCTGAGAATACATAGTTTCTCGTAATGTTGTCTTCAACATGTAATATAAATGTAGATCTTGTAAAGTTATTATTTCGGGGTTATTATTATTATACCGTGATATACGGTGATAGAAATAAAGACTTCCCATTTGACAACTTGCAATTGTATACGCTAATAGAAAACTATATAAAAATAATTCACAATATTACTTTTTTAAAATTTCTACATTGTCATCCGATTCCAAGCTATATTCAAAATTTCTAGTTTCTAGTTCATCGCGAAGTGCTCAAAATTTGAGTTGCACGATACCACCCAAAACGCAGATAGACAGACAAAGAAACAAAAAAGTAACTTAATAAAAATGTGGTAAAAATAAATAAAATATATAAGTGTCATTAATAGCGTCAACAAAATTTTAAGAGTCTAGGTCGTCGAGAAGTGCTCGAAATTTGAGTTGCAAGATAAGACTCGGAACAACAGACAGATAGACAGACAAACAAAAAAGTAACTTTATAAGAATATGGTTAAATTAAATGAAATATGTGTCTCATTAATAGCGTCAATAATAACTTTGAGATGTTTCATTCCCATTTATTTTGTGTCGTTTTCTACTAGCATTAACATTTTTAGAAAGTCAACTTGGCTAACGACTCTATTCTCTACACTCCATAGATTTTATATTTCTACTGATCAAAAATTTAAAGGCTGTAAATTAAAAACAATAAAGTAAAATTATTATTTATTTTTAGGTCACAATTCTAGTTCCTTGTAATATACCCGGAACTCTTTTTCCAAATATCTAGCCTATTATTTTGTATTTGTCTTTTTAAGATTTCATATTATAATTTTCTTTTTTCTTTAGTGGCAAGAAATGGCAGTTCCGGAACAGGCTTTAGGTCTACTGAATGAAGCCCACAATGCAATCCGTCAAATATTGCCTACAGAAGAAACCAAACACTTCGCTGATGAACTGTTCCGCTACATTTCAAAGGTAATCAAATGTTTTTCAACTGTTTGAAAATCGTCGATTAGGGGAAATATATTTAAATTTTAATCTTAGATTTAAATAAATCTTGATCAAGTAATTCTTCCACATCAAAATCTAGGAAAGTTATGGATTTCATAAATACTAATATAATAATATATGTATTATTTTTGTCGTACAGAAACTTCAACAACAGAAGGTAGATGAAGCGGCGGAACTGCGTCTATTGTACGAGAAATTCTCCATGGCTGTAAGCTCCTTGGTTCAATTCATCCGCACCAACCTCAACGATCTGGGAATATCTGCAGTCCCCAACTTCAATATCGTAAGTATCTTATATAGAATAAGGAATAAGTTCCTCTTTTTAAAAGTTTGACGATTAATATTTTTAATATTCGATTATTTTATAATTAACGCGTATGAGATTAAAATTGTCTTATAATGACAAATACTGCAGATTAATAGAAGTAACAACTATAAAGTCATAGTTTTCTTTTGGATTTTGGACTTATAAATATGGATTTGTTTACTGTATTTATAATATCATTCATACTTTTTAAAGTAATGTGTTTTTTTCATCATTTCTTTAGTTTTCTTTATCACCAAACTTCGGTCCAATACCAACTCCTACATGGGGTGGAAGTGCATCATTCAGTTTTATCAACCAAATGCTGCAAGGAGATGTACCCGATCCGATCGCGTTAATCCGCGCCTACAGGCCACGTTCTATCAATCCATTAGACGAAATTCCAGCTAAACGTAAGTTTTAACATATTTAATTTAATTTGATTGTATAAATAAGTTTAACACTCAAAAAATCTAACATTTATTTTATCGTGTTTCTTATTATAATTTATTTACTGGTTTTATTCTTTCTTTTTGATCAGACCGTAATAAGTCATCTCCTGACTAACTATCGGGATCTATTCACCATTGTACCTTTATCACTACTTCCCGTCTTAGATTCTGTTATTTTAAAATCAGCATGGAAAGGACTTCACTCACAAAATAATAGCTTAAAACAATACTTATTAATTTTTGCAACATTTCATCGATGTATTCTGTATCTTGTTTAATCTTTATAATATTAACAAATACCTATCTAAATTGTAAAAATATGTTAAAATGTTTTTTTATCATACAGAGGATCGTACATAACTCACGTTTGATCTTTAGAAGAATCAAAACTTTTAATGTAATTCTCATTACTAAACTTTTATTTGCATAAATGATTCGATTATTAGCTATTAATTTCGTACATTATTACAGTTTCATTCATAAGACAGACAATTCAAAAAATTGCAAAAACTTCAGCAACAATAGCTAACCATATTGAATGTCATTGTGTTGAAAGTTTTTTTCTCCGAATTTCGGAGACATTTGCGCTTGACAGGATAAATAGTGCACGAGTGTATGGGCAAGCACAGATGTACTTCTCTATTGCGTACGTTGACTTCTGCAAGGATTTTTTGGGCCCTGCAGATCTTGGGCCTCGGGGTATGCCCCACCATGCCAAGCCACCAATTTCTTGAAATTCTAAGTAGCAGCCCGAAGTTGGCAGTGTTTCAACGTGTCTCGAGAAGCAAGCTAAGCTGTTAGTCCTACGCCTGATTTCTCTACGGTCGTGATGGATAAGGGATCGGACTATGAGAGTGAAGCAATAGAGGGTGGGGCATACCCCGAGGCCCAAGATCTGCAGGGCCCAAAAAATCCTTGCAGAAACACTCCAATAACTGATCTCAAAACCTCATGATCAACAACCACGTTTACGAGCACTACACCAAAGAGAGCAGTTTTTATTACACAGTCAACTTTAAATCTAAGTACTTTTTCCAGTCCGAGCGGTAGTTGTGAATGGACAACATATCTTCACCTTCGATGGCCGTCATCTGACATTCCCTGGCACTTGCCGCTACGTGTTGGCCCACGACTACGTCGACCGCAACTTTACATTGATTCTACAACTACAAAACGGTGCACCGAAAGCAATCACATTGGAAGACAAGAATGGTGCCACCATCGAGATTAAGGAAAATGGACAAGTGAGCGTTTAATTTATTCATTTTTTAAATAAAATATGAGTGACTAACTAGCGCACAATCCACCTGATGATAAGTGGATACTATGACTGTGAATACTATAGACATATTTTTTTGCTCGTTTGGCACCCTTGTCCTATAAAAAAATTCATCATCTTTCTCAAAATAATAAAAGCTGAGATTTGCAACCCATCCATCAAGCTTAGCAATAATGACTAAATAATAAAAGGAAGTAACTAATTGGGAATGTCTATGTTCAACAGTAGACATTTAAAGTGTATACCTACATGTTTAAATTTTTTAATGATCTTTGTATATCTTTTTAAATTTCGACAATAGATGTCCAGGTCAATAATTTTTATAAACATTATAAGCCAGCTCTATAATATTAGATGTTGGGTCTGCGCTAAAACACTCTAGTTCTTACTTTATATTATCAGGTGGCATTGAATGGAGCTAATCATGGATATCCAGTCATCGAGAAAGATTCCTTCGCCTTCCGCCAGACAAACGGCAACCTTGGATTGGGCTCACTTTACGGAGTGATGGTCTTGTGCTACGGAAAACTGCAGGTTAGAGTTTATCTAATCAAGCATTTAAACATTTTCGACGGCATCTTTAATTTTATTTTAATCAGCAATAAATTAATTTATAGCTATTTTATTATATTCAAATAGAATTAATTATATTATTTTTATTTATTTTTTTATTTAAAATATGAACTATTTTAACAAATCAACATCACAGTATTAAAAATCTATAAATTTGACTACTATTAAAATGAATAATTTAACGGATTTTATCGCGTATTTAAATTTTTTTTTTTTTTTTCATATTCAATTTGAAGGAAAAAAGCAATTTGTTTGAATTCACAAGCTGACTGTCCGCCATAGAATTAAAATATGGTAAATCAGTTAAATTAAACGTTTAGTTTTATTCAATGTCTGGTATTCATGTAAATATAAGAAATCATTACATTGCATACAATTTTTGCACTCTGTCACGAACAACACACTGAACAATATGCTTTGTAGCTATGTAATATGTCGATATAGCTTATTCCGTTTGCGTTAATTGTTATATCCATACCTAAAGGCATATTCCAAACGTTGTGATAAATTCACTTTTATGTTAGTATTTTGTTTATTAAAATAATAATATGTGCTAAGTTCAGTTCAGAGTTGTAGTTCACAAACTGTTCCAAAAATAATTGTATGTTATTGGCCTTGCAATGTCGTGAATGATGTTGCATGCGGGACTAGCTAAGTAAACATTTATTGCGTTCAATCCTTAGTAATTTCACTTATAAATACTATTAAGTACATATTTTAATTTTTTTAAGTAGTTTCGTATTGTTAAAATAATAAATAGATTACATTTCACTATAATTTATTTAATATAATTCAATGAAAATAACCCTTGGATATAAGGTGGCCACCATGCCGTTTCTATTAAAAATAATTTCAAAATTTGTTCAAAATTATTGTAAAGTAAATTTGTATAATTTTTGATGTTCAAATAATTACACTTGGTTACTTGCTGGTATTTTCCTGGACAAAGGTATTTTTCGAACCAGGGGTAAAAAAAGTGAATTTCTATAAGTATATCTAAAAACATACAACATATACACCACAGAACTCTCCTCCCCTACTACTACTCTCTCTCTTGCCCAACGCATTTGCAACTCCCCCTGCAAAATTCTTTACTCCTTTTCTTTCTACAGACCAAACCACCGAAGCATTCCTTTCTTAATCCTGGTCACCGCATCTAATATCTAATAATTTATATCGATTAAAATCATTATATTATTCTATTCTATTATAACAGGTGTGCTACATCGAAGTAAACGGTTTCTACCTCGGCAAGCTTCGTGGTCTTCTCGGAGACGGCAACAACGAGCCCTACGATGACTTCAGAATGCCGAACGGAAAGGTAATTATTTTCGATTAATTTTATAAGAAGCAATTACATTTATTATAGACTTAGATTCATCAAAATTACATTTTAACAAACACTATCGTTAAAACAGTAGTTCTTAAAAAGCTAGACATTGTAAAAATATTGATTGAAAAGAGTAAAACTTTGTAGCTTAAGTCACTTCCGCAAGTAATGCAAATCTAACGACATTTCACATGTTAAAATTCATCAAGCCATGAAGGCTACAGAGTGAACCAAGGAAATAGACATCATACAGACTCTCAATAAACGATACCCTATTTCTAGGGAAGTCGGGAGGAAAAATATTAATATGTAATACAATGTTATCGTGTAGTGGCAGTGTGAAAATATCCACTACCCCATATCAAGCAGCGGGTGTCGTAAGAGGCGACAGAGGGAAACAAATTTGAGCTGGCAGAATCGCCTACTACTAAAAATAAAAAAACTGCGGTTGCCAACCCGCTTGCCAAGCGTGGCAACTATGAATAATATCCCCTCTAAGAGCCAATTTATAGGGGAGGCCTATGTCAGAAGTGGCCTTTAATAGTAACTGTAACGGTAACAATACTTGATGACCAAATAAATCCGGTCGAGCCGACCCATTCGTGTTACAACTATACTACTAATAAAACTGCAGCATGGCTCTACCACGTATTCTAATGTATTATTAAACTTTCACATTTTTACTTCACTTTTAGATTTCTATCTCGGAATCTGAGTTTGGCAATGCGTATCGTCTTTCTGGCAGCTGTGCCGCCGCAAAGACCCCTGAACACTCTCATCATCAACTTCACATGTCTCTGCCACCGGCATGTGAGATGGTCTTCGGAGGAACCTCACCTTTGCGTGCACTGTCTTTGGTCTTGGATATTGCACCATTCAGGTACTACTTGATACCATACCCTAAAAGAACTTGATATTTAAGTTTCTAAAATTTATCTGACTGAATCTTTGGTATAGCTTTCGCGTATCTGATCGCGTATGCTGATGAGGTTCTGGGTTCGAATCCTGGGTCGGGCTAACATCAGTTATCGGGTCTTCCGTCAGCAGATTCTCAGTAGCCGGGCTGGTCGAGGATTTGGCGTTTTGGTGTTTCATTCCCGTGCCTCGGAAAGCACATAAGACTCAAGAGTCTCATTAGAGTATAAAGTGAGGGAGCAGAAAGACGGCTAGTCCCCGTTGAGGCTGCCGTGACCGAAATTAGGTCTGGAGGACATACTGTTATTATTTTCAAATCTAGTAGTTTTTAATAAGTAAATTAAGGTCTTCTCTCGTGAAATTTAATTACTTAAATTTTAGATTACATGTAAGCAATGTTTGTATAAAGGCACATGAATGTGTGATCTACACCATGTTGGAACGAACTGATTTGTTTTCATGTTCGCTGAGTGAGCTTAGCTCAAAATGTCATATCTTATGCCGCCTGTACACGCTCGTCTCGAGCGTGTACGTCCGTACGAGCGTCTTGCCTCGCGTGCCTCTCGTCGTGTTGAGGCTCAACACGAGAACACACCATGTACACATCGTTGTATCATTTGAACTCCGTATACCCGCTGAGATGGAAAAATAAAATTAATAAACCACAGCGAAGAAGATGGTGGATGGTTTCTATTTACCGTAACTGAACCATCTACGGTGAATACCTAGGTGGATTGAAAAGTACTCGGCCTAACACAGATCCATTCAATTCTAAAAATCAAATCTACCCACATTATTTAGTTCAGTTCAGACTAGTTCATTGTGTGAAGTTCGAAACGTGTGCGATAATTAGTTGTGATTTTATAAATTTATTAACAAAGTAATCGGACATAATTTCCGCGAATGGAGCAAATCGAGCAGCGTGCCGTCATTAAGTACCTCCATAAGAAGGGGCTATCATCAAAAGCCATCCATGATGACATGGTCAGTACATTAGGCGATTGTGTTCTGTCATATTCATCCGTCAAAAAATGGATAGCAGAATTTAAGCGTGGTAGAGAGAGTGTGAAAGATGAACCCCGCTCTGGAAGGCCTTCGACGTCAACTACTGACGAAAATATTAAAAAAAGTACTTGATTTAATAATGGGAGACCGCAGATTAAAAATTAGAGAGATAGCCGAGATTATAGGCATCTCCTGTGAATGAACTCAAAACATCATTGTCAACGAGTTGGGTTTCCACAAGGTGTCTGCGAGGTGGGTTCCGCGACTGCTTTCAGTTGAACAAAAAAGGACGCGATTGACTATTTCACGCGACTGTTTGGAGTTATTTGAAGCCGATGCAGATGATTTTTTGAATCGTTTTGTTACTATGGACGAAACATGGGTTCATTACTGTACACCGGAAACAAAACAACAATCAAAACAGTGGAGAAGACCTGGCTTCAGTATTCTGGGACTCGAAAGGTGTGATTATGATTGATTATCTTGAAAGGGGTCAGACTATAAACTCTGATTACTACTGCACCTTACTACATCATTTACGAGAGGAAATAAAAGAAAAACATCGAGGAATGCTCAGAAGAAAAGTCCTGTTTCATCAAGATAACGCCCGTGTTCACACGTCAGTACAGTCAATGGCTGAAATTCACAACTATGGCTTTGAACTGTTACCGCATCCGCCGTATTCACCTGATCTGGCACCATCAGACTTCTTTCTGTTCCCTTACCTAAAAAAGCACTTGGGAGGTCAAAGATTTTCGACAAACGACGAAGTCAAAGCAGCTGTAGACGCATATTTTGACTCTAAGGAAGAATCATTTTTTTTCAACGGTCTAAATGCTTGGAAGGGGAGGTGGCAAAAGTGTATTGAACTTGATGGTGATTATGTAGAAAAATAAAAATATAACTGATTTAGTATGTGTTTATTTTCTTGGTTAGGCCGAGTACTTTTCAATCCACCCTCGTAGAATATAGTACGCTCTCATTTTCATCGCGAGACTCACGAGACCCTTTGACTCGAGTGCAAAAAACCGACATGCTTCCGAGAGCGCACGAGGGCCACGAGACGCGACGCGACGCGACAAGAGCACCATGTACACACTCGTACTCTGCCTGTCTCGTGGTGTCTCGACGAGAGTGTACAGCCGCCATTACTGTATCGTTGGCTACACTGACGAATTAGGTTGTTCACCCTGTAGTGATTGTGTATATTTTATGTGTAAATAAATTATTTTTTGTTTTTTATTTTGACTTTCTTGTTTGTATTACTTATGTATCGGTTTAGTTTATTTAGGTATTAATATGTAAGTTTACTATAATATACACCTCCTCCCACTGGCAAATAGTACAATTTTCTCCTAATCTTTTTTTATATAAGTATGACAAACGAGCACAGTCCTTCTGATGGTAAGTGAATGCTGTGAATAAACAGGTATTACATAGACTCCTAAAAACTAAAACAGGATGCCATGTTTCCAGTAAGAAGGGTTCCGGTTCTCTACACTCACCACACGAAACAGTAGTGTTACGAGCTTGAGGTTCGTGACAATAAAAACTGTCGATTGAATTACTAAAATTTACACTTTTATTACCGAACACCAATTAAACTTAAAACGCTAATAATTAATCACACTGATTCACTTTTTTTCGCTCCGAAGCTTCGCTTAACTCGCCAAATTCAATACTGCCCCGATCGCGGCTATCAACGGCTTTATCACAGCTCTTCAACGAAAACATCCAGAATATTCCAGTAAATAAGGGACCCCGACCGACCAGGCGCAGAAAGTTCAAATGTGGAGCTTCTAGAAAGCTTAATTCCTCAATTCCATACTAGATGGCGCTGTTGGTTGAAAGATTAGTCATGGCATTTTCTGGAAAACTCTCCTCGCTCTGTTACCCGACACCAGATAGCGCTAGTGCCAGGTACCACTTAGGCGCGCAACAGTAGCATTATGCTGCTATGTCACTCTGGTATTTTATGAGAACCTGAACCTTCCCCACAAACCCTCTCCACTCATCCCAGCCTGAACCTTACCTAAAATAATATTAATAATACTTTATTAATTGAATTTACAGACAAGCCTGTATCCACGCAGCATCCGGCGACTCCCCTCAGGCAGTACAACAAGCTTGCGACCTTGGCCGTGGTTACGCGGCATTAGCCCTGACCGGTATGCTTCCAGCCGTAATGCCATCACGTTGTCTCTCCTGCACTGATGCCGACAAGGAGAGGCAGGTTGGCGATACCTACGAACTGAAGTTGCCAGCCAAACAGGCTGACATTGTAGTTGCTGTTGAAACAACACGCGTAAGTTTAATATGCTGTTTGTTGCCGTCAATTTTTTTTAACGTTACCTCCACACTAGGATTTTTTCCTATATCGTGAGGGTAGTTTATATACATAAATTACTATTATTTATAATGGCGGCTGCACACTCTCGACGAGAGCATTCGCCATGCCTCTCGCACAAGAAAGAGCTTTCACGAGTGTGACCTTGTACATTCTCGTTTATCAGTTACGGTGAGGGACGGCGAGGAGATGGACGTATGATTTCGGACGGATGGATTTTTGTCTTTGTGGTAACGATGTGTGGGCTCCCACAAAATAGGTTCACTTTGATAAATTCGAGAAAGCCTCACATGATAAGTTTGTGGTAGTAGGTAATTAAATACACTGCACGCGACAACGTCTTGAGGTAGACTGAACGAAGCGCGAGTGTACAGTGCGCACTCGTGTCCACTCGCGAGGGAAGGCGAGGCCATTTGACTCGCGCACCAAAACCGACATGAGCGCGAGAGCATGCGAGGTGAGGCAAAGGAAGGCAATGCTCAGCGAAAGTATCCTGTACACTCTCGTCCTTGCCTTGTCTCGTGGACCCTCGTCGAGAGTGTACAGCTGGGGTAAGCCATATAGCCTGTTTTTTGTTGACGTTGTACGTCCTCTCTCTTCGGTCCCATCCGACTGTGAGTGAGGGAATTGAGAGTGCACCTGTGCTTGTGCATGCACACTCATGCACTATAATGCTGTCCTGCGTTAAGAATGGCTGCCGTGAGTGAAATTCGTTTTGGAGAACATTATTATTATGAACTAACACTTTTGCATCAGTCCCTTTATTCCCATTTTGCACAAACATTTAAGTTAAAATCTTTGTTTAAAGGACAATGAAAAGGCATTCAGGGAACTGGTTGTGCCCCTCATTTCACAACTGGTCGACAACCTAAAAGGCAAGCGCATCGGCGATATCAAAGTATACCTTGTCGGCATCACCTCCAAATATCCTTATCCCATTGTCTACGACACCGACCGTAAGTACAGTCATGTGCATTAATTTTATTTTTATTTACTTTTTAAGTTGAAACAAAATCAGTTTGTCATTTACCAACTTAAATAAACTTGTTTCGGATATATTATGTAAAATGGAAGCCTTCACAGATTAACATTTTAATGATGCTGTCTTTCGTGGGGTGATTGTAGAGAACCGGACACTCTTTTTACTGGAAACGAGGCATTCCTTCTTAGTCCTTAGGGGCGACAACGCATCTGCATTTCTATTCTTAAATAAAGATGGAATGCCTATGGCTACAGCATCCACTTACTATCAGGTGGACTGTGTGCTCGTTTGTCACCCACTGTAAGAAATCTGTAATCATTTTAAAAGTTTATGCTTGCAAAATATTTATGCATGGTCAACGCTTCGGTATCTTATTTAAGTTTTCTATGCAAAAATTGCAGTTCATGTTTCTATGAAAAATTTAATAGATAATTCAGGTTGCCGAATAGGAGTTATATAGGGATAAGTTAAGTTACAGTCTATATTTACATCCCACGGCCTCCTCTCATTTCTGAGAGGGTTTTAGTTCAAGAAAATGTCCGTCGCCCTGCCCAAACGTGTGTTGGTGAACTTCACATGTTTTCGAAACAATTTTTTTCTTATTTCTCAAACATGCAGGTTTTCTCACGATGTTTTCCTTTACCGCAGAGCACTAGGTAAATCAGCACTTGAAGTTGCAATTGGAAATGTATCGAACCCTGGTTGTTCGCGTACCGTCGCTAACCATCTGAGCTACCATGGTATAAGACGGGAAATCTATTCTATTCTATTCTAATGGTCGTAATGGTCCTCAGGTGAGGGATTTTGGTAACACGGAACTAAATTGTGCAAAGTATGCTGATCATCATCATCATTACAGCCCATCACAAGTTTACTGCTGAACGTAGGCCTTCCCCAAGCAATGCCACAAATCACGGACACGGAGCCTACTGCATCCATCGATTTCCTGCATGTTTTACCGGGTCATCACTCCATCTAGTGGGGGGACGCCCTACACTTCGTCTATCGGTACGACGCATCCACTCGAGAACCTTTCTTCCCCATTGGTTGTTAGTTCTTGGAGCTATATATACATAGCCAATACCACATTATATAGAATGCACATTACTGTTTTTTTTACTAAAGTAAACTATGTACATCTCTTGCAGTGAAACTAAAAACAGCCAAAGTACAGTTCGACGACGAGAGCCGTTATGAAAGTATCGAGAGGGTGAAGACGGGCGTCGAGAATATCGACTCCTTTGAACAAACAGCGATCGCAATGGTGGAATACATTAAAAGAACTCTCGGTATGATTTTTTTTAATAAAACTTCACCTCAACATTAGGTTGTTACTTTATACTGCGGAGGTAGTTTACATACATAAATTTCATATGGAAAAATATCCAGACAATTATTTGTAGTAATTGATAAATTATTTGTAGGCCATACCAATACCAGTTCCGTACGGGATTTAAACCCGCAGCCCTTAATTTTTCAATTCATTAGGTACTAAGCCACTGCGCAATGGAGCCGTCACGTTTGAACGAGTTTTGTTTTCACCGCATGACTTTCTTAGTTAAAATTTCTGAAAATTTATGCAGTTTCACACAATTAGGACATCTACGACTTTGTGCTAAAATCATGGCATAGCTGCAGCGTGGCTTTATTATGATTTTAGGAATACTTAAAAAATCCATTTGAACACGGTCTTACAATAGAAGGAAGTACCAGAAGTTGCGCACGTTTGATGCTACATCTCGTTGTTGGCCTGGTTATTTAGTCTCTGATTCGGTGGTAAATACAAATTGTTAATACCACCATCTATAAAAGACATTTTTTATCATTTTCAATAATCTCTTCACATTGGAACAGAAACAGATTTTTTTTATTCAATGTGGATTATAAATAATACTTATTGAGTCACTTTTTTTTCTTTACCACTGGTTTACAAAACCTCTGTCCTGGGAAGAACCAGCAAAAAATCCAGCGGGACAATTTTTTTAACAATCAGGTATGTTACAATTAATAACACAAAACAAATTAGAAATAGCTTGTTAGCGATCACTCTTCCCAGGCGTTATTATCATCCATAAATTTCTTAATATTATAATAACCCTTTTTGCACAAACTTAGTTTAATAAACATTTTGAACTTGTTACTATATATTTTTTCATAATATGTCATTAATATACAATAACAATTACAACAATCCGTATTAAATTTCCCATAGTTGCTTCATTCAAAACCCACGTGATAAAACTCAAAAAACAAATTTGCTTAGTACAAATCTAAAAAAATATTAAGAAAAACAGATTGTGTTAAAAAGGCAGTAAGATGGTGGTCCTGCCACGCTCTACCTCTTATCTCTTGTCTATTTTAGCCGCTAAATAGCATTGCTTGCAAAAATGCGCACTAGTCCTAAGGGTATAGAGATCACAATATAACTACTGTGAGGATTTCCATCTTAGTACTCAGGGGTGACAACATACCCGTAGCCTTCTTTGTACGAAATAGGCGGAAGGTTGGACTGGATGGATATCCCATTGACAACAGTAACCACTTATCAGGTGGACTTTTTTATAGTATAAGGATGGCAAACCAGCACAAAGTCCACCTGATGGTAAGTGGTTACTGTGGCCTATAGACATCTATCCTCGATAACGAATCAAAATGCAGAATGCGTTGTCACCCGTGAGTACTAAGATGGAATGCCTCGTTTCAAGTAAAAAGAGTCTCCTGTCCTCACTCACCAAACGAAACTCAGCAGTATTAAGCTGCTATTTTACGCTGGTATTCTGTGACAGCGTGGTCTTTCGCCGGTCGAGACAACACATTAGTGCTACAACTATGTATAATATAGCTACACCGTGGTCCTACCACGTCATAACTGTACTGATGTACGGACTATAGGTTCGTTTGCCACTTCAGTTTTATAAAAAAATGTCGTCCCATAAGACAATAAGATTGACGGAATAGAGAGTGCAGCTATGCTTGCACACACACTCGTGCACTTTAACACCTTCCTGTGAAGAAGTCTCCATTTTTTGCGAACTATGATAAATAAAAAAATGACTTTCTATAAGTATTATGTAATAATCTATGTTGAATAAATCATTCATTTCATTTCATTGAGACTGGCCGCGGTAACCGAAATTCGGTCTGGAAGACATATGTTAAGTTCTCTTTTTACATTGTTTATTATTTTCGTAGGAATTACTAACGTAATGGGAGGCTACACGGCCCTGCTCGATTTGCCTCTACGACCCGGCGCTGTCAAGCATACCATCGCTGTAGTTTCACAGTACTGCCAGAAGCAGGACGCAGTGGTAAGTATATTACAGAGCTTTTAGTAGATTATTTGGTGATGTAGTGAACAGATTAATTGATATGTAGTAAGATTCAGTGGATGGAGGATGACACCGATTATCATATTTTAAGAAAGAAAGAGACATTAATTGGGAATATACGCACAAATTATAATTCGCACAAAAATTGGCAGAATTTATATCTTCTATACATCAATAAAATTAAAGTGTCTGTATGTGATATTGAAAGAACTAGCTTATATTAAGCTCAGAGGGTTATTTACATATTAAGGCATAACTTTTTTTTAATTTTGTCAGCCTGCCCAGGATAATCCCCGGCATGACTGAATTAATTGTGATGAAACTTTACAAACAGATCGAAATAAATGCCAGTAGAGTTCTAGACTATATTTTTCCAAAAAACTTGGCGTTTTAAAAGAAAACTAAAAATTGATAAAATAAATTATCTTTGATTAGATAATGGCTTATGATATCTAGGTGAAGGTGGGACGAGTCGCTAGTCAAAATTATAATGGAGTAATTTCAATTTATTTTGTTTCAGCTTTCGGCGTTGCGATCGCTCGTCTACGGAACCTTGTACAAGGAGAATGCGCACACGAACTCTATCATCGCGAAAACAAATGAACTGACCTATTCAGATAAGAGACTACAACAGGCTGCTGGTAAGTTAATCTGTAATCATCTCCATTAATAGAAATTTGGTAACATTTAACCTCTACTCCTGGTTGTCAGTCTTCGTATTTCACATGTGAAATATATAGCAGATCGGGTTCAATACGTTATACAATGATTGGTGACAGCCTCATAATTATGTTACAAGTCTTTAAATAATAACATGTCATGTTTATAACTTATCAAAAAGTTTCTTAAACGATATGAACGATATCTATTGAACGATATCTATTCTCGAAATAGGGTATAACGCTCAAAGTATCACGCATTTTGGCATCGGTACGTAGTACTATTTATTCTGTGGCATCGGGCACTAGGATTACCAATTCGCTTATTATTTTGAACTTAATGCTCGATTCACATAGCGATCAATTTTTTTCTATAAAAATGCAGTGAGAACATAAGTCTACCTGATAATTAGCAACAATATGGAAGGCGATAAATTCATTGCACACCGAAGGAAAAGGACCTTTTTTATAGAATAATGGTGACAAATGAGCATACAGTCTACGTGATGCTCAGTGGATGCAGAGATCCATAGACATTTGCATTTTTATCTTCGACTAAGAATCAAAATGCAGATGCGTTGTCATCCCTTAGGAGTAAGATGGAATGTTTGGTTTCCAGTAACACGGGTCTCCGATTATCTATACTCTCCGTACGAAACACAGCAGCCTTAATCTGTTATTTAAGCTGTTGGCCTTCCATAGCCCTCAGACCGGAACACAGCAATGTAAGCACTTCTATTTTGGCGGAAAAAATAAGTGAGAGAGTGGTAGACTGAAACCGGGGCAGGAAAAGAGTTAAACCATTTAGACTTAGATTAAGAGAATTCCAGTTAATTGGATTACGAGCCCGTTACACGGGGACATTTAATTAAGCCTGTTTAGTTGAAATATAATGACGCGTATTTCATTTATCTTCCTTTGTTCTTCGGCTAACCGTCACTTCATCATTAGTAGCTGATGCAATTTTACTGATGCAAGTAATAACTCTGTTAATTTCTCAATAATGTAATAATGTCCCAATATAGTCAACTTTAACCAATATCATGATAACCCTTGCCAATTAAATTCGTTTAATATGGTTTATTGGCGTAAAATTTTGTTATTTTGTTTGGTTTATACGAATAACGAGGGGGAAGACGATGGATGCAGGTGGCTCAGGACTTGCTTTGTGGCGTTCCTTAGGGGAGCCTAAGGAATGCCACAAATGGCATCGCATCCGCCTATGTTCAGCATAAAAAAAAAATGTGGACTTGTGAAGCGCTGTAATGATGATAACGATGATACGAATACGTTGACTAACGGACTAGCCTTCCAAGTTACCTGTTGATTTTTGAATATCCTCTACTGATCATAGGCCTCTCCTATTAATTATCTCACATTCAGATGATATTTTCTATAGTTGCACCCGTTGGATGATATGGAGAATTGAATTCTCTTACGTCGCAACTGCAGTTTTTCTATTATATATTATATAGATACCTTTGCCACTGTCTGCCGCGAGAGATCAGATCTAACCAAACCACCAGAAATAAAATGGCTGAATGAACACTAGTGAACTGTACAAAATACGCAAGCAAACTGTGTAAAGTATTCCTTTCAGTATACTAAACCCACGTTAAACATCTGCTTGGGCTTTAAACCAAAACTTATCGTCTACTATGTTCTTTATAGGATATACGAAGCACTCTCTTCTAATGTGCGGTGAAGAGAAGTACAAGGACTTGGATGCTCTCAGAGCCACTATTCGTACAAACGATGAATGCATCAACTTTATACAATCGGTGAGTTTCAGTGCACAATTGTTATTTTAATTAAAGATGGCGTTAGACTGTACCTAACAGCTAGACTATACACATCGATAGATTTATCTCAAAAAGAGTGAAAATTAAACTTCTCCTTCCTTTTTAAATCTACTGCTGAACATAACCCTCCCAATAGATTGTCTCATGAAGGGGATATTTGCCATAGTTGCCACGCTTGGCAGAAGAGTTGGCAACCGCATTTTTTTACTTTCTTGTTGTTATTAGGAAGCCGCTGTTCATCTCCTGGTTTGTTTAACTCTATCGCCTCTTACGAAACCCACGGGCTGATATTTGGTGTGGATATTCTTATACCGCCACTTCACGATACCCTTAGCATCCATACCATAGCGTAAAACCTTCGCCTTATAAAAGAAGACATGTATTATTGTAGGAAGGATTGGTTAGGATTTTCATTCTTAGCAAGCGACGAATCTTCTTCTTGACGTCTCGCATCTTCGAAGCTGCTACCTGTCGCCGATTTGAGTTTTAGGTTTGGTATGAACGAGATAGTCTTTACAGATATCTATCTGTGGCCCAATAGCGGATTATTCTTAATGTAAAATAGGCACGTGATTTGCCTATTTTACATTAAGAATAATCCGCTGAGTGATTGTGCAAGGCTACAAAGTTTCATTATCTTTAGACAATTTGCTGCGATGGTCGGACCAAATATATTCAAATAATTTTATAATTAAAAACCAACTTTGACATTGTGACGTCAATCATCTCAGTGTTCCTGTGACCTTGGGTTCTGAAATAAAAAAAAATTAAAAAAAAAGTTAAATTAAACGCGATTAAATACGTAAAAGTAATTTTAATCAATGTGTAATGTTTCCGTAAATATAGTCACAGAATTTAAAACAGGGAGGATGAAATGGGGTATTAGATTTTTTTTTAAATATTATTCTAAAAATAAAATTGTTTTCCCTTAGATTGATGGCTTCGTATTCTCTGCATCTAACTACGAGGACATGAACCCAGCCATGCAGAAGCAGTTCCTGCAGATCGCAGCGGGCGCTATCAGTAAGGAGATGCTGCGAGAGGTGCTCGTGCAAGAATGCACTTGCACTTATGTAAATCCCCTCACAGTACGCTCTGTGTGCATTAACAAGGAGAGAAAGGAAGCTGTAAGTATATTTTTAAAAACATTTCAATAATTTGATTTTCTATCTACTTTAAACTTTGCAAGCTCAATGCTGCTGTGTTTCGTATGGTAAGTGTAGAGAACGGGGGACTCTTTATTTAGGTAACGAATTTTTTTTATAGAGGAGGGGGCAAACGAGCATGCGGCTCACCTGATGTTAAGTGACTACCGCCGCCATTGATCAACCGCGACACCAGGGGAATTGCAGGCGCGTTGCCGGCCCTTTAAAAAGGAATAAGCTCTTTTCTTGAAGGTCCCCAGGTCGTATCGGTCCGGAAAAATCGCCCGTGTTAAACTATTCCACAGAAAGGTTGTACGCGGAAGAAAACTCCTCTTGAAACGTACAGTGGTGGATCGCCAAGCATCCAGATGGTGTGGATGGTATCGGGACGTTTGCCGCGTAGTGCTTTCACGAAATTAGGCGGCTGGGATTAATCCGAACAATTCCTCAGAGCACTCTACATGGTATATACGAAAGAAAATGCAAAGAGATGCAACATCTCTTCGCAGTGCCAGTGAATCGAGCCGATCGGAAAGCACTCGGTTGTCGACGATTCGAGCCGCTCTGCGCTGGATGCGGTCAAGTGCAAGGAGCTGGTACTGGGGAGCCCCAGCCCAGAGATGGGAACAGTATTCCATGTGCGGCCGAACCTGCGCCTTGTAAAGTTGCAGGCGATGTGCCGGCATGAAATACTGTCCCGCTCTGCTGATCACGCCAAGCTTTTTAGAGGCCAATTTGGCCTTCTCTTCCAAGTGACCACGAAACTGCACGTCACTCGATATGTCGACGCCAAGGATTCCGATACTGGCTGAGGCAACAAGGGGAGTGCCTTGAAAATGAGGAGATACGACAAAGGGGTTCTTTTTAGCGGTTAACGCGCAAACTTGTGTCTTCTGGGGGTTAAACTGGACTAGATTTAGTCGCCCCCAATCCGAGACTCTGTTCATCCGATACTCTGTTCAGCAAAGACTCGACTTCAGACGCAAGTTTGTCCCAGCTCTCGGAGACGTTTTCCCGATAAATATTGGCTCAGCCGGTGTAAAGAGCATCACCAGTGCTGTCATCTGCATAGCAATGAATGTTACGGGTTTGCAACATATCATTGATATGTAGAAGAAACAGCGTTGGCGATAGCACGCAGCCTTGTGGAACACCAGCATTAATAGGCTTGCAATCGGAGCTTGCACCATCTACAACGACCTTGATGCTCCGATCTCCAAGAAAGCTGGTGATCCAATCACACAATTTCTTGGGAAGCCCATAGGAATGGAGCTTCGAAAGAAGCGCTTTGTGCCAAACCCAATCGAAGGCCTTCGCAATGTCCAAACTAACGGCCAATGCCTCCCCCTTAGACTCTACTGCCTCCACCCATCTGTGAGTTAGGTAGACCAGAAGATGACCAGCTGACCGACCACGGCGAGAACAGTATTGGCGGTCACTAATCAGCTGGTGATCCTCAAGGTACCTCATAAGCTGGCAGTTTACAATGGACTCCATTGTTTTGGAGAACAAGGAGGTGATGGTGATAGGCCGGTAGTTGGACGGGTCTGAGCGGTCGCCTTTTTTAGGGATCGGGTCGACGAAAGCCGTCTTCCATGATTTTGGGACTACACCTAGGGAGTAGGAGTACCGGAAAAGACGTGTTAAAACCGGTGCCAACTCTGGATTCCGTCAGGCCCACTCGACTTGTGGATGTCCAGGGAGAGGAATGCTTTGCGGTCCGAGGGCTGTGTAAATTGCACTTCCGGCATGGAGCACTCACACCGCGGGATGGTCGGCGGCGTACTCCCCCGTCATCGAGAGTCGAGTTGGACGCACAGAAGGAGCCTAGAAGATCGGCTTTCTCCTTTGCGGTATGGGCCAGTGAGTCGTCCTCCCTGTGCAGAGATGGAAGAAATGGCTGACAGAAATTCCCCTGGACAGCCTTGGCGAAAGACCAGAATGCACGGGTTCCAGAAGGAAGGCGAACTAGTTTCTCGCCAATTCTGCCTATGTGCTCTGACTTTGCCTTGGCAATGACTCTTTTGAAGGACCTAGAGGCGGAATTATACTTCTTTTTTAGAGCGCTGGTGTTTACATCCCGGTACGCTGATGCGTCAGCCCAGGCTTGGTAGCACTCCTGCTTATAGCATGATGCTATTTTACAGGAGCGACCAAACCATGGCTGAGATTTGCCTCCAATGGGCACCACAGAGGAAGGAATAAAAAGTTCCATACACTGACGTAACATCACATCAGCGACAGAATCCGCAACAACGTTGGGATCGTCCGACGAGAAGCAAACCCAAGGGTAGGATGCAAAGAAAGACCGCATCCCATCCCAATTGGCTGACCTATAGTGCCAAACACGGCGGCAGCCTGCAGAATGCAACTGCGATTTCAACGTGAGTGGCACCACACTCCGGACAAGACAATGGTCCGACGAGCCTAAAGGGGCATCGACGGAAATCTGATATCCGTCCGGGTGAGAGGTCAGCAGAAGGTCCAACAGTGAAGGTGCATGATCCTCCACATCTAGAATCCGCGTAGACGAAGTAACCAGTTGTGTCAGACCATATGCCAAGGCAAAATCATTAACAGATCTCCCAGCATGATCGGTTAAACGTGAACCAAGCCATTCGGCGTGATGGGCGTTAAAGTCGCCGAGGATCACGATCTCTGCGGAGGGTATCTGCTGTAACAACGAATCTGTAGCCATTTGGACGTAGTCGAAGAGTCTGACTGTTTCGGCATTACCCCTATGGGACCTATACAGGCACCCGTAGACGCGCGGATGGTCGTCGCTGTCTACGCGTAGCCTGAGGATGGACAGGTCCGAACCTTCAAGTCTGCCGAGGCGTCGAGAACAGACGTAAACGTAAACTCCATCCAGCCCGAGGCACAAAGTAGTGTTCCAGTTTGTACCCCGGGTAGGAGAGATACCTTATTTTTATCTTAGTCCTTAGGCGTGACAACGCATCTTCACTTTGATTATTAATCGAGGATAGAGATATGTACACGATGTACGATAATATCCACAGAATCTACTTACGAACCGATGGACTGTGTGCTAGTTTGTCACCCTTATTAATAAAAAAGACAAAGGATTCGTGAGAACGTTCTTCTTTGTTACTACACTTTACTGATAATAAACGAATATACAACCCATTGGAAAATCCAAGTACGAAGAAAATTTTCGGCTTGTCGAGGGGGAAAATGTATGAGCCGTGGCTTAGGAAAAAAGCGGAACTCACACCAAAGTCACGCTGCAGCTATATTAATTGTAGTACGAATGTGTCAGCTCGGTCGGGTAGTATCACGCCCTTGGATAATACCAGCTTAAAATAGCAGCTTGAGGCTGCTATGTTTCGTGAGTGTAGAGACCCGGAGACTTTTTACTGGCAACGAGGCATTCCATGTTAGCTCTCAGGGGTGACAACACATCTGCATTTTGATTCTTCCACTTTCATCATCAGACTGTGCTCTCGTTTGTCACCCGTATACCCTCTATAAAAAAATTATGGCTGATCCGAAGAGGCCTGCTTAAATAGGCTTCTCCGAGTGGGCTTGGCAAATCGAATCCATATATTATTTTCTGGACTGCGGCGAGAGGGCTGGGGCTCAGGCTTTATAACGAACTTGTGGCAGCGCTGTCGTCGCGCTACAAGCGAAACGAAGCTTAGTCACTCCCCCGAGCTGAACACCTTTACCACCACGGCTAAACTGTAATCCGTCTTGTCTAATCAGGTTTAAACGAGAGCTTGTTTCCTTATTATGGTAGTCCCTTTTAGAATATGCGAACTTAAATGTTAAATACGGTATTTATACTAAACGTAAAATTTCGCGAAGACAGTGACGACGCGGCTAAGGGACTTCTTTAGTAAGAATGACTTCTTATGCCCGACACTGTCAATATACCACGTTTTTAATAAGGCAAATAAAACAAAATAAAACAGTAATATTTGGTTAAATAATTGTTACTTACTAAATACTTTTGTTGGCAGGCTCGCAGACGAAAGTAAACGACATTTAATCCTCCGCATCAACTGTGATCTACGAGTGCATCATGTCATGCGTACCAAATACTCCTAGTTTTATGTAAATGAGCTCTAACGGAACTAAAGAAATTCTTATCCCTTAATTTATTATAAACTTACTGTAGTACAGAATACAAAACAAATATTTTATAATTCAAAAATGTAAGATTACACATTGTATCGTTCCCGTATCACATGATTATAAACCAACTCCGTTACGGCTCGTAGTCTTTTATATTAGATATTCTGTTTTTATGAATAGAAATCTATTTATACCATAATACTATAACATCGAAGAGGTATTAAAGTAAACATGTGTATTAGAATAAAAAATATGTTATTATTAAAATATGTTTGTTTAATTCTTGTTCCTTAAACTCTTAATTTCGTCAGCTTTATATAAATAATTCTTCTGTACATGTTTCCCACTACGCACTTTCTAAACGTATGGACAGACTTCGATAAACATTTTTATGTATTTACGTAGGTTCCTGGATGGTTTAGATTCACAATTTAGTTGACAAGAAATGCATACGGTACTGATGAACATGACATTTTCGGTTTACTTATAATACAAAGAGCAAACCAAAGCTGTATTGCAGAGTCGGGAAAACCAGTATTATTTTACAGGATGTGATGCATTTAATTTTATTCCCGATCATTCATCATCATTACTGCCCGCCATAAGTCCATTGTTGAACATAGACCTCCCCAAGAAATGCCACAAAGCCTCCACTTCCTGCTCAGCCAACAACCTGGCTGCGACATTATCTTGATGGACGCACCCTCTGTCGCACTCACCACCTCCTGAATCTGTAGCAGTATTTTATTTTATGTACAACTGGTGATTGCCCAGTTGTACATAAAATTACCAGTACGAGGCTGCAATGACCACGACTCGATAATACTAGGTGTCTCAAAAGTAAGTTCACATTTGCTTATCTTATTACGCGAAAGCAACTATTCTGAGGGGCGCGGGGGGTATGTCAGTCGGTAGTCTGGCTCTTGGGAATTTAGTCGCTATGGAGCGTTTCTCTGGTGCGGACCGTGCGTTGTGCGTACGTGAGTTTTACAAAAACGGTAATTCGGCGACTGTAGCGCGTAGAAAATTCTGCAGTATTCGACATATTCGTCACTTAAATGATGCGCCTAGCACTCGTCTCATTGCAAAATGGGTTGAGAAGTTTGAAGAGACTGGGTCAACTCTGGAGAAACCAAAATCTGGGCGACCAAGAACATCAAGAACAGCCGAAAACGTGGACAGTGTTACTCAGTCTATTCGAGATGATCCAAACCTCTCGATTCGGAAGCGTGCTGTTGCTTTAAATGTGCACAGATCTTCATTATGCCGCATTTTACACAAAGATTTAAAGCTGCACCCGTACAAAATTCAGTTAGTGCAAGAACTGAAGCCTCAAGATGCTGGTCAGAGGCTTGCCTTTGTAAATCAGATGATTGAGCGCTTTCCAACGTTCACCAACATCTTGTTTTCCGATGAAGCCCATTTTCACCTGAATGGGCATGTAAACAAGCAAAATTGTCGTTACTGGAGTGCAACCAACCCAAAACAAAAACATCAGAAACCGCTACATTCACCCAAAGTCACCGTATGGGCAGCGATGTCGGCGCGAGGAATTATCGGCCCTTACTTTTTTGAAGATGGAAGGGGACGCACACTCACAGTGAATTCAGAGCGTTATGTGGAGATGTTAGACGAGTTTTTCGTACCCCAACTGCAAAACTTTCCTGGTTACAACCAAAGAACATGGTTCCAGCAGGATGGAGCAACTTCACACACGTCCAACAGATCTCTGCCTCGAGTTCGAGAAATTTTTCCGAACAAATTAATCTCCTGGCGAGGTGACATAAATTGGCCTCCACGGAGTCCCGATTTAACGCCTATGGATTTTTTCCTGTGGGGTTATGTCAAATCAAAAGTTTACGCTAATAAACCGACTTCCCTGGCACAATTAAAAGAAAATATCCGTCATGAAATGGCAGCCATCACGGAGACTACCTGCCGAGCTGTCATAGGCAATTTTAGTGCCCGACTAAATGAATGCCGAGAGCGCAACGGTTTACATTTGGACAATGTTATTTTTAAAAAATAAATTCCCAAACAGTGTACTTCAATATAAAATAAACATTTTTTCAATAAAGCTAAGACTTTTCTTTTAAAAAAAGATTTAAATGTGAACTTTCTTTTGAGACACCTTGTATATACCAGCCAATTTTAAATTCAAAAAAAGGTTTTTTAAGGAAACAAGTGTTTAGCGTGATTCATTTATTTTATTAAAAATATATTTAAAATTATTTTACTTGCTGAGTCGCTTATAATAATAGTCTTAATGAAAAGTACAAACATACAAACCAACGAAAAAAACATTATCGATATTGTTTCTTTACTTTTAAAATCTTTGCCCATATGGCGTACGCATGCCTTTGCAATTGAACAGTTCAATAATTTTCTTGATTTTGACCAACTTTATATGAGACCACCTCTAAGGTACCCCTTTGTTACAAAAAAAGAATCATTAAAATCTGACAACGTGTTAAATGAATTATCACTCAACATACATAAAAAGATTTGAAGTCGTTTGTTTTCGAAATACTTATAATTATGTTTATTAGTTTAAAATGAATAAACCAAACTGACGCATATTCCTTAAAGTTAAATAATTTTAAAATGTGCAAAAATTAATCAATATACTCCAGAAACCGAAAAAAACTTATTTCAAACTCAACATTTCAATGATAATGGACACTTTTTAACAAATACGTTCACTTCAGACCCATTATCGACATCTTGTGAACGGTAAATTACCAGCCCTCATTGAGCTAGGTTTTAGATGTAGAGGTTTCGTTCCTAAGCGTAGTAGTTTTTCCTGACCCATCTTATGCGTGGGCGCGCACGCTGCGACATTATCTTGACGGACGCACCCGCTGCCGCACTCACCACCTCTTGAATCTGTAGCAGTATTTTATATTATGTACAAGTGGCCTGACAAACGCACTTATTGCAATCCAACTATTGATAAGTGGCTACTGCAGTTAAAGGACCGTCAGTCAACAAAGAAGGCTACATTGCGAACAGAAATATAAGTTATAAGTTTTCAATTAAACAGACCAGGTCTTTACTCGCAGTACAATTATTTTATATACAACTGGCCTAACAAACGCAATTGCTACAATCTATCGGATGGTAAGTAGCTACTGCAGTTAACGGACACCCACAGCCAACAAACAAGGCTCCAGTGCGAGCAGCTATGCAGGTCTTACCAGACCAATTTAGCGTCGGCTCAACCGGGGCACGGCCACGCTTTCACAAAATAACAGCGTGTAAATAGCAGCTCATTGCATTGCTGCTGTGTTTCGTATTGTGAGTAAATAGATCCGGAGACCTTTTTAAGCTATTGCATAGCTTCTATCGCGGGCCTTGAGCGCGGGGACCGAATCCAGAAATTCCGTAACGGAAAAAGCTCACGCTTCCCACTCCGACGGGCACGGAGGTGTGGCGTTGAAAGCCGTGCATCGTCTAACGTCGTTTCAGTTCGGCAACTCGGCACCGGACGACACAAACACCACAAAAAAATTAAAGACTTTAACTGCATAAATAAAATAAATAAATAATTATAATTGCATAAGTTGATAAAAAATGCTATGCAATAGCTTTACCGCGGCAGTCACCGAGTGCCACACGTATTTTTTTTACTAGAAACGAGACATGCTATTTTAGACCTCAGGGGTAACGCACTTGTATTTTGATTTTTAATCGGAGGATATATGTTTTAACCGTGCGTAGAAAGTTTATCGATGACGTCATGAAGTCATGTATCGATGGTTAGTACAGTTGGTAAAAATGCATGTTACTCAAATAGTGATTGCAAATTCAATAAATCAGAAAAGGATAAATTAAACGTGGGAGTTAATTAAGAGCGAACCTTTTGTTTTTTCTTCTAGAAAAATGTTAGATAGAACCTTTAAAATAATAACACATTCCCCACCGCGACAGGCTCTCCCAAAACAAAACTTAACAAGAAAACAATGAATAAATTCGAAGCGAGAGCAATAAATTCAAAGACAGACACGTGAGCGCACGACTGCGTTGGTAACGATACTAACTCTTATCTATGGATACTAAGTTCTAACTAGGCGACCGTGAAACGGCGGTTGGCTGAGGCGAGAGAGATAGGTTCGGCAAACTTTCCGCACGCGGGTAATAGATTAGATGTTTATGAACCACAACATCGATTTACTCGTACGATCAGGTCGACAGTGTACTTGTTTGTCACCCTTATTCTATAAAAAAATACAGTATCACTAATATTCCCCCTAACTGATTATTAAGTAACTATTAGTTGCCTCTGGAAAGAATTCAGAAAATTGTTACATACAAATACTTCTATGTAAACTACTAGACCGACAGTTCAAAACAAATGACACGCATTTTTACTTTCATTTACAGTTTTTTTTTTTTTTTTTTGGAAATACAAAATAGTTACTACCCGTGCGGTTAAAGAATGGGATTGAAAATGGCGTCGCCTTTATATTCACTTCTCGCTCGCACACTGTCGTTATTTATTATTACGAAGAATTAATTGTACGCGTATTTCGCATGGTAGATATACCACACAGTCGTATTTTCATTAACAACAGTTACTGTTTCTAGGCAAGTACGAAACAAAGCTAGATACTTATCTGAAATAAACTTCAATAACGTTGATAAAGTGCGCACAAAAAGTATAACGTTTTTAGTCACGTTAAACAAAATCAGTGTTAGATTGTCAAAAACAACGTTCGCGGTTTACAAAACAAAGAAAAAGTCTCTTCGACCGCTCGCAGTCGACTAAAGAAGTTACGGAGAATTGACCATAACTGCAATGTATTATGTCTAGTAGCTTACACAGAAGGTTATATGACATTACATTATTTTCTAGTAATGCAATTAATATCTAACCTTAAATAATTAAATTAATTTAAAATTGAAACTTACACTTTGCATCAAATTCTGAGCGTTACCAACCAGCATGCTTAACGCCTCTTTATCTTCTTGGTTGCCTAGAAACAACTTATTATTAAATGTACTTACACTAAAACAAAAAAATACATGTGTGCAATTCACACGCGGTAGAACTAAAACCTTCAGAAAGAGACCGAGATAATATAAAACGCTGTATACTGCATTCTATCTAATTCTCTCGCAGGCTAAATCCTATAGATGTATATGTTTACGAGACAAACTTATTCATGAAAAATCTTGTGTTGCTTCTTCGTTTCGTGTATAGTAAAATTATTTTGTTTTAAATAAATAGATTGACTTAGGCCATCGCATAAAACACATTGTATCTCACAAGTAATACACATTATATTAAATTAGATTGATTAGTGCGATTGCAAAGTCAATCTAATTATTTAAAATCTATAAAAATTTTAATAACGATATGGTCACTATAAGATGTTGTTAGGTTAACTAATTATGTAATAACTTAAAACATTAGAAACCTTAAGTAGCGACTGAATAAATTAACCGACTTGGTATTACATGGATCTCACAACTTTTTACGGTAGAAGAACGTTGCGAGACTTGGTTTTTTTTGCACAAGTTATTTTTTTGATGGCATGTAATTTCTTTTTGTGGATAGTCCTACTTTTTTTCCTTTCCGGTACCTTCTACTTCTTGAATACCAACAACGTAACTATTATTCTATTATATTATACATATTCAGGTACACTGATTCATTCACTGCAAATGTGACTTTGTAATCCTATACATTTATATGGAATTACAAAATTATTTATGCAGTCGATGTATCCAGAAAACTGGACTGAAATTATAAAATATTTTAGTTTTTCCTTAATTAATACACTTAATACTAATTTTATTCTAAATTTGAAGATTCTATGTATGCCAGAAATGCCTTAGAGTTTTGATAATCGGTCAGTCAGTCAGCGAGTGACAAAATAAAGAAAGTTTGACTAGTTATAATTCTTAAACTACTGGTTCAAATTGAATCAGTAGTCATCAGGCAAATCAGGCTTCTAAGTTTATCTACAACGAAGTTATAGGGAGTCATAAATGGCCTGAACTGCTTCGAGAAAAGGATGTTACGGCCGTGCCGCTTTTTTGCTCGACTTGGCGGGGGCACTGCCATGCCTCCAGATAATGAAATTTTTTTTAAAAAAAGATATGATTGCTACTATGTTGTTTTAAATGTCATATTTAATATTCCACATATTAAAGATCTCAAAAATTAATTTGCTAAGTTCTGCGTTATAAAGTAAAATGTGTCTTACCTAGTTCGAAGAGCACCTCCCGCGCTCCCTCATTTGCGTGCAATATCCATGCCACCACTAACCCCAGCACCACTACTCCCTACACCACTAAATTAGGAGACTGTCACCTACAGCACCTCCCATGAGCACCTACCCAGATGAGCACCTACCCAGATGGACTACTAGGCTGAATAGTTGTAATGCCTTGCGTATTACCTTGCCGTCCCAAAAACGATCCTTTTACCGTTGTCAACATTTTCAATTGGCCGCTGATGGTTGGTATCCTGTCGCATACCTGCAGGAGGTTCTAAAAGAAAATATCGATGAAATTATGTTAAAAAATATACAACTTTAAATTATTTATTAGTTTTAAAACTTATTGGAAAGCATAAACATTGGTAAGAAAATTTCATAAGTGGCTTCATGCCGGTTAACAAAGTAAAAGGGCGACCCCCCCCCCCTCCCACTAGATGGAGTGACAACTGACAAGGTGATAAGACATGCAGAAATTCGACTGATGCAGGTGGCTCAGTACCATGCTTTGTGGCGTTCCTTAGGTCGAGGTTCCTATGTTCAGCAGTGAACTTTTGAAGACCTGTAACGATGATGATGATGATGATGATGATGATGTACAATGTATTATAACGTATGTTTAATATTTTATTTACATGTGTGTATGATTATTTAGTAATTTAAAAGAATATTAATAACACATAAGTATTTAAATTCTTGTGTTAGGAGTCGAATAGCGAAATCGAGCTCACGGCTTTCATAGTTTAAAGTCCGCACCCTTAACCAAAATATTAAAAGCCGCCTAGCAGCGTCCTGTCTATTCCTGTTTACAGTGGCGACCATGGTAACGGTAGGGCAGGGGGGAGGTTGGCTAACACGCGACCCTGGCTAAGAAGATCCTGGAGCTGGAAGAAGAGATAGACAAGTTGCGTTGGGATATTATTGGATTATCCGTGGTCCGACGAGAGGGGGAGGACACGGTAATCCTCGAATCCGGTAACTTGAAATCAGCGCCGCCTATTAGGTCCATTGTGAATTAGTTCACAAATATAGAATTTGTAAATAATTTGTCTTTAGAGCCACCCATAGAATCCTAGCATAGCTGTACAGCACCGTCTTTACTATAAGATCGCATTCGGTCAAGTCGTCCAGACGTTGAAGGATACTAACTGACACCAATGATTCTATAATAATAATAATGTCCTCCAGACCAAATTTCAGTTCTCAACGGAGACTAACCATCTGCGTGGGACAGGATTATAGTGTCCGAGTGTATGTGCAAGCACAGGGAGTACTCTCTATTGTTTCACTCTCATACTCTGATATGACGGTAATTCGACACGCTCAGGCGCAGGACCAACGGCTTTACGTTACGGCACAAGGGAAAACACCGTTAACTTCTTGACTCCGGGCTACCACTGAGAACTTGACAGAAAAAAAATCCATAACTAATTTTTGGTCCGACTCGAGATTTTTTTTAAATTTATTAAGAAACCAACAGCGTTCTATATAGTTTACATTAAACAATAGTATTCTTATAATAAGGCCAATAACAGGTTTCCATTAATTACTATGACATAGTAATTAATGGACTACAGTCGTAATAATTAGTATCAGTAGGTATAAACTCATATTTACACTTAAATCATTAAATTGAATTATTGCACCTGTTCCCTCAGGTAACACGCACATTCGAAAGTCTCATACAAAAATTCACGAACATATGTACCTTAATGAAATCTTTAACAGCACACACTGTTCAATGGTAAGAAACAAATACACACGAATTCAAACATGTTATTTTTTTAACAAACAAATACACGAATACACACATGTTATTTTTATACACTAGATTAGCAGTATTATTATTATTTTACTTTACTATAAATTATGTTATGAACCTGGGATCTCATTATCACCAATCGCATTTACGACCATTGGACCAACGAGACAGTCAATTAACATTATAATAATAATAAAACAGCTCACTAACGTACACACTTACGCAACATCCTTTTAAAAAAGAGTAGAGTCGGATTGTATGGACTTCAAGACAAGGCGATATGTCGGAATTTTGCCTTATAGGCTTATGTAAAAAACATCGTAATTTTCTCACAAAGTTATCGATATTATTCGTCGATAGTTTTAATCGCAATGTATCGCTATTCGATATTTATTTTAGAGTATCGAGTTCATATAGACAAAACACTATGCAACACAAGCAACTATAAAAGGGTTCCGTAGTTACACAACAAGGAACCCTTATAGTTTCGCCATGTCCGTCCGTCCGTCCGCGGTTTTACTCAGAGACCCTAGGTGCTATAAATCTGTAATTTAGCATAGTTATAGATATTACTCACACTTACATAATTGTAAAATAAAAGCTAAAAAAACAATGAATGAATGCTTATGCCCACGCATGGCTCAAGTACGGCATTTTACTGTACTGTGTGTACTTTAGCACAGACGTAAATAAATTGTTTATATTACAAAAAAAGTTATTCGCATCAGAGAAATCTGCATCTTTTGGCAGAGGTATCTACAAGAATAAAAAAAAATTAAATGGTGGCCATTCCGACAGGAGGGGGCGTAAACCCCCATATGGGTGTTTTCGTCGATGAAATTAGGTATATTTTGTAACCTTAAAATATCGCTAGGTCGTGACCAGACACACTGTATATATATACTAGAAGTATGCACATTTGTTAAAAAGAATATGCACCATTTTTCAATATACTCTCGGCCTCATTTTTTACGTCCTAGTAAAACATTTGCTTTTATAGGATAGGATGACAAACGAGCACACAGTCCACCTGATGGTACATGGTTGCTGTGGCCCATAGACATCTACATCTATCCTCGATTACGAATCAAAATGCAGATGCGTTGTCATCCGTGAGGACTTAGGTGGAATGCCTCATTACCAGTAAAAAGGGTCTCCGGTTCTCTACACTCACCATACGAAACACAGCAGCATTAAGCTACTATTTGACGCTGGTATTCTGTGAGAGCGTGGTCCTTCCCCGGTCGAGCCGACCCATTCGTGCTACAACTATACTACAAATATAACTGCAGCATGGCTCTACCAAGTAAAGCATGGCTCTACCACGTAAACCTATCACAAAATTACAAACAGTGAAATCAGGACCCTATGGTATGTGTGTAAAGATTTATAATAAAATTCCCAAATGTCTACAAAAAGAAGAATCGTTGAATACATTTCAAAGAGAGCTTAAAAAGTATTTAATTGAAAAAAATGCCGGCAACGCACCTGCAATTCCCCTAGTGTTGCGGTTGATCATGGGCGGCGGTAGTCACTTAACATCAGGTGAGCCGCATGCTCGTTTGCCCCCTCTTCCATAAAAAAAAAAGTTTCTCAGAGTTTTTCGATGAAAAATAATAATTGTTTAATTTGATTACGTATACTATACCTCTTTCATATCGTTGTTAATATTGCAAATGTTTATCAAACCTAAAAGTAATGGTTAGTTTAAGTAAATAAAATTAAATTCATCTTTCTAAATTAATTAAATTCAATTGATATATAAAATAATATAAAATAATATTGCTACGCCCTATCAGGGCTCATGTTTGTACTACTATTTATGTAACCACATGAACGCAATAAAATATTGGAGTTTGAGTTTGGGTTTGATTTTTTTACCCGTCTATTTAATCGTGTGGAGTATCGTTGGATAGCTCATAAAAAAAATTGGGGAAGGAACATTTTTTCGATTCAGGGGTTCGTTTGGAAAATATTAAACTTTCGAGTCGTATTTTTCATTAGAGTCATGTGCCCCCGGTCAACTGGTTTATTTCATCATCATCATCATCATCATTACAGCCCTTCACAAGTCCACTGCTGAACATAGGCCTCCCCCAAGTAACGCCACAAAGCACGGTCCTGAGCCACCTGCATCCATCGACTTCCTGCATGTCTGACCAGGTCGTCACTCCATCTAGTGGGGGGTCGCCCTACACTACGCCTACCGGTACGAGGCTACCACTCGAGAACCTTTCTTCCCCATCGGTTATCTGTTCTTCGAGCTATATGGCCGGCCCATTGCTACTTCAGCTTACTAACCCGTTGGGCTATGTCTGTCACTCTGGTTTTACTGCGGATATCCTCATTTCTGAGTCTATCACGCAGAGAAACTCCGAGCATAGCCCTCTCCATAGCTCGCTGAGCGACCTTGAGCGTCCTCATACGGCCAGCAGTGAAGGACCACGTCTCTGATCCGTAAGACATCACTGGCAACACGCACTGGTTGTACACTTTAGTTTTCAGAGATTGAGGTATACCTGACGAGAAGATGTGTCGTAATTTCCCGAACGCTGCCCAGCCGAGTTGAATCCGTCGATTGACCTCTCGGTCGAAGTTAGACTTACCTAGTCGGACTATTGTCCCAGGTAAACGTACTCGTCAACAACTTCGAGCATAGTGCTCCCCACAACTACCGGCATAGGTGTGACATGGACATTGAACATAATCTTTGTTTTGTCCATGTTCATCTTAAGACCTATCCGTTGGGAGACACCATTGAGGTCATTGAGCATAGTGCTAAGGTCCTCCAGCGATTCTGCCATAAGGACTATATCGTCGGCAAATCGAAGGTGAGTGATGTACTCGCCATTGATGTTAATACCGTATCCTTTTCAGTACAGTAGCTTGAAAACGTCTTCCAACACAGCGGTGAAGAGTTTCGGGGATATAACGTCACCCTGTCTTACATCTATCTGCAGTTGGATAGGTTTCGAACTCTGGTTCTGTACTCGGATAGCCATCGTAGCCCTACTGTACAAACACTTCAGCACCTCGATATACCGACAGTCAACTTGGCACCGCTGAAGGGACTGCAGCACCGCCCAAATTTCGACGGAATCAAAGGCTTTCTCATAGTCCACATACGCCAGGCAAAGTGGCAGATTGTACTCCTCGGTCTTCTGTACAATCTGCCGCAAGGTATGTATGTGGTCTATGGTACTGAAGCCTTTTCGGAAACCGGCTTATTCGGGAGGCTGGAAGTCGTCGAGTCTGCGTGCGAGATGATTCGTAATGACTTTCGAAAACAGAACGTAGACGCGGCTCAGAAGGGAAATCGGTCTGTAGTTCTTCAAGAGAGCGTTGTCGCCTTTCTTAAAGAACAAGACCACCGCACTTCTGCTCCACGCCTCCGGAGTAGTGCCACCATGGAGGACGGAATTGAAGAGCTTCTAAAGGACTTCAAGTACCGGTGATCCACCCGCTTTCAGAAGCTCCGCTGTAATTCCATCCTCGCCCGAGGCCCTGCCGTTTTTAAGGTGCTGGAGAGCCATTCTAATCTCGCTCAGACTGACGTCCGGGATATCATCGGAATAGTGTCGGGTAAGACTTGCTCTTGTATCGTTACTCACACTTGCACATGATGTGTACAGCTGCCCATACAACCTCTCAACAATCTCAGGTGTCCTGGAAACGATGCTGCCACACTCAGTATTCAGCTTTGGCAGTTGGCTCTTTCTGGCAGACAGATCTCTGGCAAATACTTTGGAGCCCTGGCTCCGCTCGATCGCTTCTTTAATACGAGCAGTATTAAAGTTGCGTAAGTCTTGCCGCATGCATTTGGAGATCTGTCTGTTCAGTTGCCTGTATGCTGTCAAATCTGATGACTATTGCAGCCTCATCTCCCGTCTAACAGCCACGAGATTAAGAGTGTGATCGGAGAGTTTTTTTGTTCTTCTGCGGCGGGTCTTGCAGAACTGAGCTCCGACCGCATGGACAGTTTCCACGAGCTTGTCATTCATATCGTCCACTGCATTGCAATCTTCTAGGCACTGAAAGCGGTTACGTAACTCGAGCTGAAAAGTCTCGGGATTCTGGATTAGAGCACGAGGGGGACGGAGCGTTGACTTCATTAGACAAGACCTCTCCAACTTAACGTTTAGGTTCAGTGTGCCTCTAACCATTCGGTGATGGCTGCCGGTTTTCACCCTTGCGATCACTGAAACATCACTGAACAGTTGGCGTCTGGTCGTCATAATGAAGTCAATCTCATTTTTTGTCGAACCGTCGGGACTCGACCAGGTCCACTTCCTGTGGCACCGCTTCTGGAAGAAAGAGTTCATCATAAAGAGTCCCTCTTTCTCCATAAAGTCAGCCAGCTGCTGGCCCCTACAGTTCCGTTTCCCTACTCCAAATTTCCCTAAGTTCAGCTCACCGCCTTCTCTTGTGCCTAGTTTTGCGTTGAAGTCTCCCATCAACACCGTGTAGTGGGTTTTGGAGAAATCCATGGCTCTAGAAATATCCTCATACATTTCCTCCACCTCCTCATCGGGATGTGCCGAGGTTGGTGTGTAGACCTGTATGACCTTCAGCGAATACCGTTTGGTGATTCCGAGTATCAGGTACGCGACCCTCGTCGACACACTCCCAATCTTTACAACGTTGTTGACGAGAGACTTGTGGACGATAAATCCGACACCTCCTTGGGACAGATGGTCGCCCTCCCGGTGATAGAACAAGTTGCCGGACTCGAGGATTACCGTGTCCTCCCCCTCTCTTCGGACCTCAGATAATCCAATAATATGCCAGCGCAACATGTCTACCTCTACTTCCAGCTCCAGTATCTTCTCGTTAGTCCTCAGGGTGCGTGCGTTACACGTTGCCAGGTCGAGTCGTCGTAGGTGGCAACCGAACCTCCACCGGAGATTCTTAGCACCCCCTGCCCCGCCGTTACCATGGTCGCCACCGTAGCCAGGAATAGCGGGGCCGCCGGGGACTGGGGGCCGTTTATTTGTGTCGTTGCTCATGGGGGGATTTTTGCCATAGTTGCCTGGTTTAATTATTTTATTTTATTTATTTAACTTCATATACACATTAGATGTATATAGGCGGACTTAATGTCTGAGGCATTATCTACCAGTCTACCGTAGAGTAGTGCAGAGATATATATAAACTCATACATATATAAGCGTATAAATATATACATGTATAAACATTATGTAACTATATTTACATAAAATTAAATATATATACATATATATACAATATATAGCCCCATATATAAACAAGTTGGAGCTAAGATATTGAAAATGAGGAGTTAAATAAGATGGAGGATTAGGTGACATCAAGATAGAGTAAAGAGTTGAGTTGAGAGCGATAAGTAGACACATGATCACACTTTCAAAGATTAAAAATTAATCGAATGCAGTTATTAAGAAGACGGTCATACTTGTTCAAGAGTTCTGCATTCAGGTCAAAATAACACACATCACCATAGTCAAAAATGGGAAAAATTAAGGTCTGCACAATAATCATCTTGGTCCTGGAAGGGAGAAAGTTCTTCGAGCGATAGAGCGAACGCAAAATACCTGTCACTTTCTGACAAACATTTGCCACTTGAGTTTGCCAGCTCAAGGTGGAGTCAATGTGCAATCCAAGGTCTTCCACGGTATTACTCAGTTCTAAAATAAAACCGTTAAAAATGATCGGCGGTAAAGCTGTGGGATCCAGTTTCTTTATCATCCGTTGGCTACCTATTATTATAGCCTCACATTTGGATGGGTTAACTTTAAGACCAAACTTGTCAGACCAGTTCTTTATATACTCTAGGTCCCTATTAAGAGACTCAATTGCTGTAGATATACAGTCGACCTTCGCGTGTGAGTACAACTGCAAGTCATCAGCATACAAATGATACGCACACTGAAGATTTGGGGTAATGAGATTTATAAATATTGAAAATAACAACGGAGATAGAATACCGCCTTGAGTAACACCAGCATGCAAGTCACACCAACTTGATGAGGACTCGTCAATGCGCACTGACTGCTGGCGGCCTCGAATATAAGATGAGAACCACTCCAAAGCCTCAGATGAGATCACAGAAAGTGAAAGAATTAATAATAGGATGTCGTGATTGATGGCATTTAAGGCGTTAGAGAAGTCAACCAAAACCAGTACTGTGACTTTAGTTTCCTCCATGCCTGCCCTAATGTCACCAGTGACTTTGAGGAGCGCGGAAACAGTGCTATGACCTGGCCTGAAACCAGACTGTAATGAGCTTAACAGGTTATTCGAGAAGATAAAATGTGATAGCTGTTTGTGTACACAAGCTTCTAGCACCTTTGATAAAAAGGAAAGAATGGATATAGGTCGGAAGTGATTAAGTAAATAAGGATTAGAATTTTTTGGCAGAGGTATAATGTAAGCTTTAGTTGGTAGAGGGGGCTCTACCAACTAAACCGCTGCTTTTGACAATGAGGAAAGTAATATATCGCAACAAAGTAGAATTAGCAAGTTAGCGAGTAATTGTCAACAAACTTATAAAATGTACTTGGATTAGAAAAAAAATCGTTACAACTCCATAGAAAATGACATAAAACTAGCTGCACTATAACTTGGTAATGTTATCATGAATGTAAGAAATGAATGAATGTAAGAAATAAACATTTTATGAAGAAATGGACTTATATTTATTACTTTTTTATTTCCGGGATAGGCGGGAGGACTTTTCTAACTTACTTACTACTTTCGCTTATTTTTTAGTTGGTAGTTATTGTAATGTATTGTACTCATTCAAAGTATTCGTACAATCAAATAGCCTAATACAGATTCATTCGCAATACTCAGGATAATTTAGGACAGCGGTGGTTTACGGGAAGGTTAAGGTCATATTATCTTAGGGTTGCACTGCCGGGAATATATAGATATATACTATATATAGATATCTATGACCATCTTTGTACTGATTTGCTATGTAAACGATTTGATGTAAATTGTATTATTTTCAAAATCGAAAAGTATTTTTTTGAATACCACTCCCTATAAGTGTGATTTGAAAATAAGTCCTTCAGTTACTATCTTCCTATTTAGACCCATTTTAGTTGTTACAGCGGTCAAACCGCGAAGTTAGTTATGTTCATTATCAATAAAGCCCATGTATTGTGACGAGCAATTACAGAACCCTACCTCTACATTGTGCCCGGAACGCACATGGCCATTTTTTTTCATTTACCCATACCTATGGCTTTGTTGTACCTGCCTGAACATTACAATAATTTTAAAAGCTTAAAAAATATACATACATTTCTGATGCGCACGTCCGTGCACTCTAGCGCTAGTTTCCTGGCCAATGCCGCTACTTCACTTGAGGCTTTCACTATGGCTTTCGACGTGGCGATCACCTCTCGTTTCTTATCTGAAATGATTCAGTGTTAATTAAGCATAGTTGCTTTCCTTTGGGTTCACATTATTTTAGTAAATAATTAAGTAATTTAGTCGCTGCTAAGACCGTGAACGTCATAGTAAAGTCATAGCCCTCAAATCGGAAGTTATGAAACAATGCGTTAATTATTTATTTTATTTGTTGAATTGCTTCTTGTGTTAGCAACACTGAATTGCAGCTTAAATTTCTAGTGCTGACTTACTGCACAACTTCATTTGTCTATATTTATGTATGTATGTATATAATTATATATAAACTATGTATGTAGTATATATAATTATATACATGCCTTCTGAGGGAGAGCGAGAGAGTTGGGTGAGGGAAGCACCACGCTACTCGACGTAGCACAGTCGAAGGAAGCACGGTTGACAGAGCCCCGTTTCGTCGAGTGGGGAGTGGTTTATAAAAAATAACCACGAAGGAGATCCCCCCCTTCCAACCTAACCTGTCCGAGTAGGGAAGCCCTAAGTCCTGAGCTTGCTTCGCTAAAAAATTAATAAATAAACATTATTAAGTATATGATTTTTATCATTTTTTTTAAAAAAAATTAATGTTCGTTTTTTATGTACATTAACATAAAATATAAACTGCATTTTGATAAAATTTCTTGACACACACACATCTTTCTTCTTTCTTTCTTTATCAGCCTGTAAGTCATTTGCTTTTGTGCATGTGCATTTGCACATAAAATCATGTTGTTAGCTGCAAATGATTTTAGGTGCATATATATGTGTGCGTGAGTTTGTTCTTACAATGAGTTATATTTCGGCGTAATTACAAATATATGTATTGTATCCAAGGGCGGATCTATATAAGGGCTTTTTGGACTACAGCAACGGGGCCCCGTGGATGTAAAGGGCCCCCACTATTGCAGGCAATGGCTATCAAAGCTTTAAAAATGCTCGCGTAAAGTTTATCTTATTTTTAAATAAAAAAATACTAAAAACTTAAAAAATAAGTTAAATTAAACTCCATAAAATCCATAAAATTCCTTTAATTCAATATGTGGCATTCGTGTAAATATAGGAAACCATTAGATCGAACATTTAGAGTATACCACAGATTAGTAAGTACTATATTGTTACAGACATGTTTCAGAATATATTTTACCGTGATTCATATAGTCGGAGAGGCGCGCCATTAGCACAGCCATTCGTTTAGCCACCGCCACTATCTCATTGTCCCTGGCTGACCACTCTCGTACCGCAGCGTGAAGATCCAAAGCGGCTGCCTACGAGTAAATGTGAACCCATTTTAAAATTAAAATTTAACAAGATTACTAACAAAAAGCAGCCATATGAAACCTGGTATTTCAGTTTAAATTATATGTGAGCCATACAAACACTCGTTTCGCGAGCGTAACCGCGGCGCTCAACGCTGCAACTCATTCCTTAGCCACTGCGGCACGAAACAATCTCGTGACTTAGCGCTGATTTCATTAATTTTGATGTGAAAGGCAGTAAACCGACTCGTATGCCAAGACCTCAAACGGCATGACGCTCTATTATGTCATATTTCCCGTCATACCACCTCTACACCACCGCTCTCGACTCCCTTGAGTGTAAGTTGTGTACCGCGTGTGCTTTTCTATTCGACTATAGTATACTTAAGTAATGCGTAAAAAATGCGTTAACGCATTCACTGCTTACTTATTTTACTTCATATTTCTACATAATTTGGTTTTCATTAATTATAAATTCTACGATCAATATATTATGTTACAAATTTGCCGGAAATCCCGTGGGGGCCAATTTTTTTAAAGTTTGTTAAGCGTAAACAATCGCAGAATGTCATATTGGCTGACCCAGCAGACTGAAAACAGGAAGCAATGACAAAAATGGGAAACAAAGGGAGCTTTCATCGCTAATCAGCTTTTCAAGAGTGGAGATTAAGGCAAACCTTCCTGCAACGGTAGACCGTTCCCATCATTGTATGTGAACAGGAATATGAAGAAGAAAAAGAAGAAGATTTCTCCTTGGAGGTGCAGTGCAATCTAGAGAATAACGAAATGAATAATAATAGTTTTATTTTTAATAATAACGGTGACAAGTAACCACAATCCACTTGACGATATGTGGATGCAGTGGCCCATAGACATCCGCATCTATTTTCGTTTTAGAAACAAAATGTTAAATGCTATAAATCGATCCCAGTAAAAATGGTCTCCGGTTCAATGCACTCACAGCATTAAGCTGCTATTTCATGTTGGTAGTCTGTGATAGCTTGGTACTTCCCCGGTTGAACCAGCATGGCTCTACCAAGTTTAAAAGTATATTTTCAAAATGACTTAAACATAAAACAAACAAAATACTTACGAATATCGGCTGATTCGAATCTAGTTGCTTTTGGAAGATATTTTCACCGGATAGAGCGGACTCCACTTCGCCAGTTATCCTCAAGATCTACAAAATCAATTATAATTGTAGTACTAATATTAATAGGTTGCTCGGCGGGCTATAGAGCGGGCTATGCTCGGATTTTTTCTGCACGATAGACTTCGCAATGAGGATACCTGTAGTAAAAACAAAGTACCCAGTAAACTGAAGTGGCAAAGAGCAGGCCAAATATGGCTCGAAGGACCAATAATCGATGGGAGACAATTAAGCTAGTCTGATATTATATTCAAGTCAATTACACAAAATTAAGACATTTTACTGAGTACGTTAGAGAGCCGTGGTAGTCCAGGGGATAAGTGCTCGCTGGGGCTAAATGATCCCTGTAGATAACAATGTAATTTTTAGTTAGACTTAAACTTTTATTGAGCACATTTATAATTTCTCATGTAGGATAAATGGTTTGTGTTCTGTGTATACTACTAGACGGGCTTTGCGGTCATAATACATTGCTCATTAAATTGCGGTGAATTCTCCGTATCTCCTTTAAGACGGCTCATCACGTTGGCCAACATAGTGGCTAATGTTGTGGCAAAGATATTAGCCAAAAATTTGTGATGGCATCCACAATTTGGAAGTTCGTTCAGTTTGCTTCGATTTAGGCCAATGTGCGGACGAATTTATTAAAATGGTTATTGATGCATTAACAGCTGCTGCGGTTTTTACACCGCATTATTTAGTATCCCATAAAACGTGTATGTATATAAAAAATATTGTATCCCTATATTGTCCGGTGACTGGCTCTGGTTTTTGCGGAAATCTATTTCAGGTACCAGGCTCTCACATAGGATTGGGAACAGTTAGCCTACTAAAATATTAAGACTATTATGCCTCAATCTGAAAAAGAATCTACATTGGATAAGAAAATAAATGATTTTATTAATACCATTAATATTACGTATGCAACTTTTTTTCGTATTTGTCTAAAAGTAACTGCTATCTTGCGTGGCGTATTTATCGTGACAGCTGCCCGCCCAACCCGCGCCCGCGAGACATACAGCTGTTACACAGCTTGGTTTTGTATTACCTGTATAGAAGTATACATATAAGTCTTTAGAGTGTGTGTGTTCCATGTACCTCTGCGGTGAGGTCCGTCCAGTGCAGCGGAGCGGAGAGCGTGACGGAGAGGCGTGGCAGGCGGCGCTGCGCCTGCTGCAGCGCGCGCCGCAGCTCGGGCTCGCGCAGCGCGCGCCGCGAGCTCAGCCCCACATCCACCACTCGTTGCCCCAGTCTGCGCATCACCACAACCACACTTTACTAGGCGATCACTACTTCCCTGCTTTTGTGCTCGTCAGTGCGACTGCTGATCATGTGTCCCCTGTTATCTACTAGTCAGGAAGTTGGCGGTATTTCACTCCCTTGCTTGGAAAACACGTAAAATTGCTAATCCTGGGCCTGATCTCTCTCTCTCTCCCTCTCTCTTCCTCCGAAAGTGAGGGAATAGACATACATATATGCTTACGCGTGTACGTAAGAGTTTTCTTGACCTACAATACTGTCCTGTACAAATTAGAGTTAAGAGAGTCAACATAATTACAGGTTGTGAGGCATTTTATTTAGTCTACTATACTATTATATATATAACTAGTGCCAAACCACACAGCGTGAGGGTGTAGTTGTTATCTCGCTCTTCGCGTCCTAAAGCAGACTCCAAGATAGACCGCGTACATTTCAAATTACGCGAAAGCCATGGTCAACGACTATACTATTTAATACTTTTTGGGTTGTCTGGAAAGGACTACTATATAGCAATGAGAAGGCCTTTTGTTTTCATTCAGTATTTCTTTATTTTGTTATATGTATATACCTTGGTGACCAATAAAGAGTATTGTGTTGTTTTTGTTGTATTGTATTCTGACCCATAATTTCAGCCATTTTGGACGCTAAGCTGTTATTTGACAGTCGTTTGAGGGAGTCGATTGAGTATCAAGCTGTTATTAAATTTTTGTTTTTGAAAGGAAATAAGCCTACGCAAATCAAAGATAAGTTGGGCTCTGTGTATGGGGACTCTGTACCATCATTTACCACACTGAAATTTTGGGCAGCTGAATTTAAACCTGGCCGTGAGAACTCGGGAGACGATGAACGTTCGGGACGTCCAAAAACTACAACTACTAACGATAACATCGTTAAAAATCACAAAATGGAGCTAGGCGACCGTCTAATTAAAGTGAGAGAGATAGCAGAGGCTATAATAATATCCAAAGAACGTGTTTGTCACATATTAAATCAAAATTAAGGCATGAGAAGGCTACCAGCGCGTTGGTCGCCGCATTTGCTCACGGTAGACCAAAAAAGTTTCCGAATGAACATTTCCAACGCACTGCTGGCGCAGTTTAGGCGCAATAAATCCGAGTTTTGGCGCCGATTAATTACTGCAGATGAAACTTGAATACACCATTATACTCCCGAAAAAAATTACAGTCGAACAATGGACTACAAAGGGAAAACCAGCTCCAAAAAAGCAAAAACTTTCCGGTTGGGAAAGTGATGGCGACTGTTCTTTGGGATAGTCAAGGAATTATCTTAATCAATTGTCTTTAAAAAGGAAAAACCATTACAAGAGCATAATATGCATCATTAATTGACAAACTGAAGTCAGAAATTGCTGAAAAACCACATTTGCAAAGAAAAAAAATCCGGTTTCATTACGACAACGCGCTGTCTCATACCTTAGCGATGGCCATGGCGAAACTCCACGAATTACGGTTTGAATTTTTGTTCCCTGATCTAGAAACTGCTCTTGGAGGACAGAGATTTTCGACAAATGAGGAAACTATCACCTTCGTGAATAATTATTTTGCAAAGAAAAACTTCGAGTACTATTTGGACGGGTTAGAGAGTTGGGAGCAGCGCTGGGAGAAGTGTGTAGAGTTACAAGGAGACTATGTAGAAAAATATAAGTAAATTTTAAGAAAAAAATATCATGTACCTTTGTTAGGTCGGAAACTTTTAAGATCACTCACGTATATGATATAATAGTTTTGACAACCCAGCTATAATAGTTTTCAAACAACCGCTGACATAAACACTTACATCAATCGGAAATCTTCTTCTTTAGACTGCTGAAGACAGTTTTCCCCAGAGATTGCCTCCTAAGGGGGATACTTGTCATGGTAGCCAGAGTTGCTAATATGAAGACGCTGTTGCCTACATCCTGGTTTGTTTCCCTGTGTTGCCTCTTACCAGAGCAACAAGAAGACATGGGGTAGTGAATATTCTTACACCGCCACTTCACGGTATAAATACTAGTAATGCAACAATAGTGTCATAACGGATGCAGAAACGGAAACAGATGTCAAAGTAATCTGTAGCGGAAACAACAACGGAAACGGATGCGAAAGCAAAGGGGTAAATATTATGAAAAAAGTACATTTTTTACAATTTAATTTTCGGATCTTCATGTATAAGGCCATCGTTTTTCTTCGTACTTTTAAAGGTATGACTATGTCTTCAAAAGTAGATTGTCACTCTCGTTATTTAAGGTGGAGTCTCTCTGGTGTGGAGGCAGTTAACGAACATAAGTTGCACAAGGACAAACATCCACACTCCGAACAATTATTTGTGGGCCATACAAATACTTGTACCACGTGGGATTTGTATCCGCGGCCCTTAGCGTCGCAACTCAATGCTACGCCACTACGCCAGTACGCCTTGGAGCCGTTGTAATAATAAATTCTTCATTGATGATGACGAAGGTTGGTCTTCATTCGCAATTTGGGATCAGCATCTTTTGAGGGAAGGTATGTAGTCATCAAAAGTTAAAAAGTTTAAGTTGTAGCGGCGCTGTCTAAATCACGCTATCGACATTCCGAATCATAATATTCCGAAGGAATAATAATGCTTCCTGTTCCTTCAAGTTACTCTCTGAGCTATACAGTGTTCGGGACGGCTCTGAGCCTTACTGCTCGCCTCTGCTTCACGGCACTCTTGCAGATTACTTGTCTTCTTCTCGACTCACCGCAGACTACAAGGCAAGCTCCTGGCACTTGCACATTCGTCGGCAACGAGGCTGCACTATCGACCTCCGAAACACACCGAAGCCTAAATCACGCTATCAAAATTCCGAATCATAGACAGTATATATAGAACATCTTCGAACTATCACATGGAGTGTTGGCCGCTCTCCGGGCAGAACACCTACCTTACAAGGCGGGAGATCTCTCCTTTTCCTTTCACGGCCACAAAGTTACAGCCGATATACTTTCCACTGCTGGGCACAGGCCTCCTCACATTTCTGAGAGGGTTTTATGCAAATAAATGTCCGCTGCGCTGTCCCAATGCGTGTTATCACACTTCACATCTCAAAATATTTTTTATTTTATTTCTCAGACATGCAGATTTACATATTAAGAAACCTGCATGTAGTTAACAAAGTTCCTATCAAATTTTCGTTGTATAAGTTGCGGAAGCAAAACCAGATGTGACAGACCTCTGGTTTTATCACTAATAATACACAGAAAAATTGCAAATACCTGGTAATAATGTTAGTTGCATGACCAGATCTTAGTGGATCGTCTTGTCCGGAGTATTCGTCACGCATACGCTGCATTGTTTCACCTAGAATAATTATATTAATTATAATGATACTTATATTGGCATCTTCGCCTTACAAATATCCAACAGGTGTATTTTGAATGAAATAAAGATAACTAGTGGACATCCAATATTCTACATTTATTTAATTTTTAAGATTATATATTAAACAATTTTTATACGTGGTAGAGCCATGCTGCAGTTATATTAGTAGTATAGTTGTAGCACGAATGGGTCGGCTCGATCGGGGAAGGACCACGCTCTCACAGAATACCAGCGTAAAATAGTAGCTATATGCGAGTCAGGACATATACATTCCAATAACTAGATTCTTATAAAAAATAAGACCAAATATTATTTTTAAATAGAAATTACATTACCTGCAGCTTGCACAAAATCTACAGGATCAAGAGAGCGATCGCAAAGTATGCGGACCTTGGAGATGGACTCAGCATACTGAGCCATTACAGCTTTGTAGTTATCGATAATTTCCTGAAATAGATTAATAAGTACGTAATTTCTCTAAATAAGCATTTCTAAGCTTTTAATCTGTGCCAAGTCTTACTTGATGGTGCGGCGAGTTAATTCTCTCCTGTGTAGCTTTCACTAAAGATGGCGCTAAAAGTTCAACCTGAAAAAAAATATACATTAAGTAAATCAGCCTGTATTTAGATCGTAGAGGCTACCGTTACTGCTTTCAAAGATCCGCTGCTAAACATAGGCCCCTCAATAGATTGCTTCATATTTATTATTTTCATATACTCGGATATTTGCCATAGATATTACTTTTTCAGCCATGTAACAGTGCTTGTCAGTCCGATCCGGTCTGAAGTGTAATTATAATCACAGTATAATACAACTATAATATAAATAATATAGCGTGTACAAAATATATATATATATACAAGGTGTTAGTGTAAACACCGTTGTCCTTGAAACCAGTGGTTTGGTTTCACTTCTAGAACGTAAATTCAATGAAAAATATTTTTTTTAGTAAAATCTCAATTCTTCCTTAATTCCTCAATTTTTGCATGTACTGAGCCAGGATGAAAGTATGAAGGAAAAGTTAAATCACAGGTTATGTATATTGTGTTTTTATGTTAAATGTTGTGTAGGTAGCTAGCCCGGGCGGTGATCTTTACCGTGATTACGTCACTCGGGCGCATAGGGTATCCATGAATTTACGGACGGTGTCGGACAGAAACTTTTTAAATTTTATGAAAGGATGGCGTTTTTTTAAAAAAAATCATTAAATTTATGTTCTATAAGTGAAACCAAACCACTGGTTTCGAGAACAATGGTGTCTACACTAACACCCTGATATATATATATATACGTATGTGTGTATGTACATTATATGTGTGTATATATGTATGTATATTTTGCGTATGTGTAGCATGTACATATTTAAACTAAATTTGATCATGACAACTTTACTGCCCATAACTCACTGTCTGTTCTACCCAAGGTTAGCTGGTAGAGAATGCCATATAGCATTAAGCTCACCTTTTGTACAAAATCTTTGGTGCAATAAAAAATGATATAAATAATTTATTGTAAAAATGTGATTCGTTATATACTAAAAATTTATAAAAAGGTAGTCAGTTTTTAAGCAATAAAAATGTTTACTATAAAATGTTTCTTAACTAACACATGATTGGTCGTAAGAAAATCAGCGAAAGAAACTTTTGTGTTATTCGATTCCTGGTAACGGAGCATGGCGCTAACATCACAGAATAAAAAGAAGGCGTCCCATTTTTACCGAACGCTCGCGTCTAACGGATCTGCATTCCTTCTGCGCGAGTAACCTGCTTCGTAAAGCAGCGTATTAATGAACAATATCATAACTGATAATATAATAGCTCTTTTCAGAGCTGACTTTTCTACGTTTCACGAGACGTCGAATGTAGCTACAAACGCATCTACATTTCTTTATTTTAAGGTCAATGCGGATGTACTCTGCAGGAGCCACTATCTGTCAGGTGGACTGGAAGTTTGTTTGTCACTAAAATTTTAATAAAAAATTTAAATTATCGCACCCAATTTTTTTATAAACGGTAAAAAGTCACGCGATACATAGATATGTATCTAGAACCTCACATCGTATTCTCGAACCAAGTAATTTTAAAGTTCACCTGCTGTGTGTGTTGCGTGAGTTCGCTCTGAACGTGAGCCGACCCTGTGCCGGCGACGAGACGTGCGGTCCGCGTGATGCGATTCATCTGCGCTAACAGTTCGGCTATCTTCTGTTCTAGAAGGTATTTGCGTTTCGCTTCGTCTAGAATACAACAAAAAGATGAACAATAAGACCTATATTATAGACAGGTACTCAACCTAGTTCAGGCAGGTAGCTAATATTATAAATTTGACTTTTTTTTATTTTTCTTTTGTATATTCTACATTATTAAGCTACACATGTTTTATTTTATATATATGTTATTTTTGTTACTTATTTCATATTAACAATCCTGTATAAACATGTGTAATTGGAAATAAATAAATATTTATTATTGTTATTATTATTTATTATATTGGCGATGTAAGAATATCCACTGCTCCATATCGCCCGTAGGTGTCGTAAGAGGCGACAGTGGGAAACTGAAACACGAGTAGAGCAGCAGCGTTTTTTACATCCATCCCATCTATTACAACCTATAAAAGTCCACTGCTGAACATAGGCCTCCCCCATAGATTGCCTTATAGGGGGATTTTAATTTCCTTCTGCCACCTCTTATGACACCCTCGGGACGTTATATTTCTATTCGTTATGATTACAACTTAATAATAAAGAATACTGCGGTTACTAACTCACCTGCCCAGTGCGGCAACTGTGGTAAATGTCCACTAAAGTACGTGAGGGTAATATGTTCATCCGGTCAATATGGTCACTTTCTTGTAAGTCAAAACGTATAGCCTTATTTGCAAAGATGACTCTGTGATGTGATATCTCTACATCAGTCAATCAAATAATAAAGAGTCAAGAGGGCGATACTTTATAGACGCCATTTTGACAGTTGAAATTACAGTAAATATTTCAGTCGATTTTAGTATTGTGTAATGTTGTAAGTTTTTTTTAAGTTGATTTTTCGAAGTGTTCCTAATTAGTGCCAAAGCTTGTTTGCTATTGTCTTCTTAATACATTAGTTACAGTATATGGCTTATGGCAGTTTGGTTTTATAAGGCGACAAAGGTTAAGGTGACCACGTTACCCTCACGTACCTTATATGAGGTTAACCTATGGGGCACATATGATTTACTGGTTGTGCGTTACTTTTTAATTTTTATTTATCACTAACTAATTATCATACAATTTGAAACATATGGTAGCATTGTCGTAAAAGGCGATTACGATAAATGCCATAGAAATCTTACGGCTTCCGAAAGATAGCAGAATAACGTTTACGTCAGACGTGAAATACCATGGCTACCGATGGGTAGCTGTGTCAAAGGTGCCCACGTCGGGTGCTGCTAGCGTCAATTCTCCCTACAAATGAAGAAGAACATGTGCAGCAAAGGACCTTTAGAGGCTGATGAAAAAGAAGCAAGGAATTTTAAATAAAACTAGTTTAAACGTAACTGTAATTTACAGCATTCATGGTCCACCCCTTGACTATGGATGCTGTAAAATACTAATGTAATGATTAAAACTATTTTTACAGATTTTATCGCGTTTAAATTTACTTATTTTTAATTACCGAATTTTCGTGTGTTTTGTCATTTACCATTTATTTATTTATTTATATTTATATTTTAACTATGGTTTCAGGGGGACTGGGGTTATTGACGTTCCGATATCAAGCCGAAGTAACGTTGGATTTTTAGGGCGCCTTCAAATTAGAGGCGTGAATAAGCGCTGCAGTGGCGCCACTGTGGTGCGCTGCCCCCTACCAATTTTTATACAATTTCTAGAAGCGCAGTTGCGGCGCCACTACCGTGACACACGCATCATCATCATTTTCGCGTAGGAAGTCATTTTTGCGTAGGGAGGTGACACACTTTTAACTATATTGAACCTCGATATGAATGCAGATCAACTTGACATTGAAGTGTTTATTGAGGAAGTTAAAAATCACCTTGCAATATGGGATAGTATTTCTGAAAGTTATTCTAATCGGATTCATAAGAAAAAGGCGTGGGAATTTTTGTGCAAGAAATTTATTGAAAAATTCGAATAAAATCTAAGGCTGAAAAAATCAAGCAGATTAGTTATTTATATTTTTCTGTCTTGATATGATAATTCGCCATTCGGGCTAGTAAAATAATCAGCTAACTTGTTTCGTATATCTAAAGCACTAATTTGTACTTGGTTATTTGAAATGTTGCCAGAAAATTTAAGTTACCGGCTAGCAGCTGCCTTGGTTTTCAGTCTATCTGGCTAAATATAAATAAATTGATTATAGATCTAAAGTGTAAAGTAAATATAAATAAATTGATTATAGATCTAAAGTGTAAAGTAAATATAAATAAATTGATTATAGATCTAAAGTGTAAAGTAAATATAAATAAATTGATTATAGATCTAAAGTGTAAAGTAAATATAAATAAATTGATTATAGATCTAAAGTAAAAAAAAAAACTGTTGACCTCATTTTAGTGTAGGCACTTCTCTCACCTTCAAAAGTATTTTTGAAAATCAAAAACTAAGTATTGGAGTTTGGTTTCGTTATATATATTTTATTACAAGTAGATTTTTTTCTCTTCATCAAGCAGTAAAAGTTTACTCTTGGATACCGTCGTGTTCCGCTGTAGAAAGAATTTGCTTTACACGACACGCAGGCAGATTGGCAACCGCAGTACCACGCGTCTCGCATGGTGGTATCTTATTTGTATTGATAATGTTGAAATGTTACTTGTTTCTTGAATAGTTTTTGTTTTAATTATATAATTATGTGAAATACAAATAGCTCGAATAATATTTTCCGCGAATATAATATTGACATTGAGTGGTCTATGCAATATTCTAAATTTATTGGCCATGATACCAAACGTACATTCAATATACCGCCGTGCTTATGACAATCGATAGTTGAAAATTTTTGTTGTTGACTTAAATGATTGCCACTATAACGTCTTTGAATAAAATTACTAATTGCAAATGCTTCGTTCCCAATAAAAACAAAAAGAAGTAACTCTCCACTATTATTAATCGATGCGCTATTTGGAATGTCAAGTCTTCTTCCCTGAAGTTCTCTATAGAAGTCACTATTTTTGAAAATTTGTAAATCCGTAGCTTTGCCACAAGACCTAACATCTATATAGGTGAGACAATTATTAGAATCACATACAGCTAAAAGAACAATAGAAAAATAATGTTTATAATTATAATACAAAGACCCGGAGTATTCTGGTTGGATGATTCGTGTATATATTTACCATCTATGGCTCGTAAACAATTAGGAAAGTTAAGTTTATTGAAGAATCCATTTGCGACATCGAACCAGTCATCTTGACTTAGTTTCGGGATATAACTAGCATTTAGAATTTCGAAGATTATTTGACATGTTTCATTCACAATCCCGCAAATGGTTGGAACGTCCTCGTAGATAAGAGTGGTGTAAACTTGTAAGGCTACAACCTGATGCTAAATATCTAAAAAAACAGCATGTTTTTATTTGTATGTATTTTGAAATTTGCAATTTTTTCAAAAACTGACATTCATCACTACAATTTACCGAAGCATTACTGACGCGCGGCTACTGCGACACAGTCGCACCACTGTAGCGCTTCTTTTTGGTAGCACCACCGCAGCGCTTCCTTACGCCTCTAATTTGAAAGCGCCCTTAATTACAAAGTCAAGTCTAATCGACGCAGTGAGCTTACTGTATCTTGAAGTTTTGCAGTGGTATGCATGGGTTTACTTTTAATTTTACTAATTACAGGATCCCAAATAGATGATAGTACCCAGCCTCCTTCTCTATTGGAATTAGAACGTTTTTTAATTTTAATAACCTTACGTATCATAATCCTGGTAGAAGTTAATGATCTTTCGCGAGGATTTGTGGTGTATCAAATCTAATTTAATGACAGGGTCAGTCTAGAATATGGTCACGTGCAGTCTTCCCGGAGCGTTGGTGTTGCATGTCAGCTATATGTTCCTTTAAGCGGGTTTTCATTAAAAATTTGTTTGCCCTATATTAGAGAGACCACATTCATAACCTAACTTGCACCAATGTTGGGATTTAAAAATAAATATATTAAACGCGTTCAAATCCGTTAAAATAATTTTATTCAATTAATATAAAATAAGTTAATAAACGCGATAAAATCTATAAAAACTAGTTTTATTGAAATGTGTAGTGTTCACCTTAACATAACTTAACACCTTTTTTACGTTGTATAGTTGTAGCACGAATGGGTCGGCTCAACCGGGGAAGGACCACGCTCTCACAGAATACCAGCGTCAAATAGCAGCTTAATGCTGCTGTGTTTCGTATGGTGAGTGTAGAGAACCGGAGACCCTTTTTATTGGAAAAGAGGCATTCCATCTTAGTCCTCAAGGCTGACAACGCATCTATATTTCGATTCGCAAACGAGGATAGATGTAGATGTCTATGGGCCACAGCAACCACTTACCATCTGGTGGACTGTGTGTTCGTTTGTCACCCTTTTCCTATAAAATAAAAAAATAAGAAATCATTAAACAAGAAACATACCTTTCTCAACATCTACCAACAGTTCAAGATCACCCAGAGGAGTATCGTCTTCAAGGAAATCTTCGACAACCCTCGTCACAACAACTCGTTCTAGCATTTTCTTTAGCTCCATTAACCTCTCCAATAAAAGACTGTTGCAAAATGGTTAACGTTAATATTCATACTAAAAAAAGGTAATTTTAGAACAACTATCAGTAAAAATGCTGCCAGCTAGTACATATGGATCTGAGACGTGTGAGCTCAAAGTTGCGCAACAAGCTATGAAGAGGGCTCAGAGTTTTTCTGCGTGATAAACTTAGGAATTAGGATGTCCGCAGTGGACCAGACTTACAAACATTATAAATAATAAATAAATATTATACAGAGTTATTTTTCAAAATATCTCACAGAACACCAACGTAAAATCGAGGTATTCCATCTTAGTCCTCAGGGGTGACAACGCATCTGCATCCCATCCATTTACCATCAGGTGGACTGAGTGCTCGTTCGTCACCCTTATTCTGTAAAATACACCGCCCGCGCGCACGCGCACACGCGCACACGCGCACACACTCACACACGCACACACGCACCCACACACACACACACACAAACACACACACACACACATGCCCTCACACACACACACACACACACACACACACACACACACACACACACAAAATTTCATCAAAATCGAAAAGTAAGCAATTAAGTATTTGAGTGGACGGAAGCCTAATACTACTACTTAAAACTTTTCCAAGAATTAGTAATTAGTAAAAACAGATAATAATAATGCTTCTTGTACAACTTGTCTCTGTCTTAACAAAACAAATACGTAAATAGGTCTCAAGCGACCATACCTTTCAGAAATAGCGTGATCGCTAACAGACGCACCAACGATTATATTATATAAATAAGTGACAAATTTTATGGAAGAAGTGCCGTGTAGCGCTGCGTATGAGAAACAACTACCCCATATCATCCCGTGGGTGTCGTAAGAAGTGACAAAGAAAAACTGATACAGGACAGGGGTAGCATCTTAATGATAACCACTCTTAATAATAAATACCTACATGTCAACCTTTCCTATTTACAAATAATTAAGTGACAAAAAGTCGGGCGAGCACAGGGTGACACACCATGAACCCCTTGTGGTGCAGCCCATCAAGCTCCGGACTTATCCGGTTCGGGGCCCTACAAGCTGCCTCAGCTACATCTTCCGGCGTTCATATAACGCGCATATCGCCCGATGGAATTCATGGGCGTGATACTTGCACTCTGACTCACCGCAACTTCCGTCCAAGAGCCCTCACTGTGGCTAAAGGCTTCACCAGAAGATGACAGTATCGGTCTTATTTGGTTCTTGGCCCATTCCACGTATCAATGACCGCTCCAGTGATTTAAATAGCCTCTTTTGACCACTCTGGTAGAGGCGATTCTGGTTGAACCGTATTGGCCTCATATATCGTATGTTAACTGACCACCAGACAATTGGTAAGTTGTTGATGCAGTCCATTGATACAAATATCACAGATGAGTTATCACTGATATATCACTAACATGAAATGCCTGATTGCATTAATATTGACTGTTTGACCTTACTTTTCATACTACTCCGTACCGGTATGAAAAGATACCGGTACGGAGTAGTATGAAAAGTAAGGGAATCAATGTAAGTAAGTAGTATAAGCGTGGACGGTCTCCTAGACAAATGGGCCTCATTAGGCCCCCATTGAGGCCTCATCGTTACTAGCTTCTATCAAAGTTTACTGCTGCCCATAGACCTTCTCCATAGGTTGCCATATAAAAGGTACGTTTGCCATAGTTATCTTTTCTTGGTAGGCGGCGTTTTATTTTATGTTGTTACCAGAAAGATGCTACTGCCATTCTTTCTTTTTCTTAAGATCTTCTACTTCATTTTCAGACGGCGAGACCTACCAATATTAAATAAAATTTTCTGTAATCCATCCAAAATTCCGTCGACTAACCTGGACTTTTCTTTATTATGTTTGAGCGAACATTCTTTTGCTAGCTTTTCTACTTCATCAATCACCTGTCGCATTTCATCTTTCTCTAAGCCTTTCAGGTCTTCAGTCATCTGAAATTTAACATTACAATAAATTATAATAAATGGAATACAATTTCAAACAATATACAGTAATCGGACGAATGGTGTAGTAGTTAGGAACGCCAAGAAATCTTTTGAACGCAAAGAAAGGCTTTGCCTATGAAATTACCATTCTGCAGTACTGGTCGTTATCAAAATAATTTTTGTTTGGCTAAGAATTCTAATTTTAAATCAATTTTATTTTAAAAACATAGATTTTTTTTCAAAGCTAGTCATTTGCTTATTGATTAGCGTTATGTTTTCATTTCAGGTATACCTCAAAACCTAAAAACTAAGTTGTACAAAGAGTGCGTGTTGCCAGTGATGACCGGAACCGAGACGTGGTTTTTCACTGCTGGCCGTATGAGGACGCTCAAAGTCGCTCAGCGAGCTATGGAGAGAGCTATGCTCGGAGTTTCTCTGCGTGATAAACTTAGAAATGAGGATATCCACAGTAGAACCAGAGTGACCGACATAACCTAACGGATTAGAAAGCTGAAGTAGCAATGGGCCGGCCATATAGCTCGAAGAACCGACAACCATTGTGGAAGAAGGGTTCTCGAGTGGCAGCCTCGTACCGGTAGACGAACTGTAGGGCGACCCCCCACCAGATGGAGTGACGACCTGGTAAGACATACAGGAAGTCAATGGATGCAGGTGGCTCAGGACCGTGTTTGTGGCATACCTTGGGGGAGGCCTATGTTCATCAGTGGACTTGTAAAGGGCTGTAATGATGATGATGTTTTCATCGCATTTGATTTTTTTCGTCAACATGGATAAGTTTAAAATTCGATTAATTATGGAATATGAGTACCGTCGTAGCAGCAACGCGGCACAAGCGGCACACAACATAAACGTTTACGGAGCGAATACTACAAACGAATGCACCACCTGCTATTACACACAATTACATTGGCAAGGTAATAAGCTTGACATATGGGTGCCCCACGAACTTAATGATCGCTAGCGCGAAGTACGTGTTGAGACGTACCTTGCACTGCTCAACAGGCACACAAACGAAGGAATTTTCAATTGAAAGAAAGAAAGAAAGGTTTATTCTCCAAAATGACGCCATCACAGATAACATAAAAAAACACATAATTTACAAATAATATTGGCTATACAATACAAATTACAATATACTACATATTACAAACTATACAATACCTATACTAGTATGTGTCAAGGCGTCATCTGGGAACAGGAGCACACTCAGCATAATGCCATGATTTTTTTTTCCATGGCGCTGAGTTTCAGTGTGTCCAACCAGTGACTTACCGAAATCAGTGCTATATGTATACTCATTTTATTATGTTTTAAACAAAATTATGATGACAGAATTATGCACAACAAGGGGGAAAGAGACAGTAACTATTTTAAGTGAGAGGGAGAGAGTAGCGTTCAAGGTCGAATGCCACTTCGACACAGCACGTCCCGTTTATGTTGCATTGTTACCTACGACGAAAAATGAATTCTGTTTGACAATCGCAAATGCTCAGCAAGTTGGTTGGATCCTGGTTCAGCTCCTAAAAAATGCCCCAAAGTTTAGGGCCTAAACGAAAACTTACCCATAGAAAAGTGGTGGTAACTGTTTGGTGGTCTAGCACCGGTGTGATTCATCACAGTTTCTCACAAAACAGGACGAGCATTATTGCAGATGTGTACTGTGAACAACTAAATATAATGATGGAGAAGCTCAAACGTCTCCAGTCAGCTTTGGTCAATCGCTCGTCTCCGTTGCTCCTGCATGACAACGCTCGAGCTCATAATGCGCAACAGACGGTCTCCAAGTTACGAGAGCTGGGATTGGAAGCTTTCCGTCATCCACCGTATTCACCAAGCCTTGTGCCTACAGAATTCTACTTTTTGTAGAATTCGGATAACTTTTTTGCGGAAAAAAAATTCAATAACTCGAGGCAGTACAAAACGCCTTTGAAGAATTTGTTGTCCCCCGTCCAGCTGATTTCTTCAAGAAGGACATCAATAAACCGCTACTGCGTTGGCAAAGATGCACTGGTTGCATGGGTGATTGGTTTGATTAATAGAAATAAAAATAAAGAAAAGAATTACGTTAACTTATTTCTTAAAAAAAAACGGCAATTTCATAAGTAAAGACCTAATATACAAACATTCGTTCTTATAAGTTAAATAAACCGTACAAAAAGATTTTTTTTTAATTTAAGCTGAGCAACTATATTCAAACGTACTTTTAATGACTGTAGAGAGTGTCAACTTTTTTTACTGGTCTTCAGATTCAAGCGAACGTTTTTTATACCAATATTTATATAGCGAGACATTGTAGGATAAGGCTCCAAAAACATGTTTAACCTGTAATTTACTCGTACTCTAACAAATAGGGTAAATGAAGCGGTGTCATCAATATTATACGTAGTATTAAAAAAAACACATAAGTCTATCATAAGTATTACAACTTGAAAAGTATTGGCGGAGAGGTTGTAATCGCACCACGATGACGCAAGCATAGTGAACAACAAAAGTTAAACTAAGTTTTCAAACAGCTCTACTATATATAAAATAATCTCTCCTCATATCATATATGAACATTTCAATTGTTTAACAAATGTGTCTGTTTCGCGGACAGGGCACCTATTAATACAGTTTTATCATTTGAAGAATTTCCCTTTTAATAAAGAAGTTAAACTTTACCTCATTAGCGATCTTAACCACATTATTAACTCCTTCGATTCCGGACAATTTCGCTTCTTCCTTTGATGTTGGACTTTGCAGCCAATTCTTTGCCAAATCCACTCTAAAATATTAAACATTTATTATATTATGTTCATGGTTAAGTGTGATTTGGTAATAAATATTAGTTAATTGTATATACTTATGTAAATTTGTGTTTAATTTTATAAACGAAATTTGCACCTGCCGAAAATTTTACCGCTCACAGGGTTACTAACAGATACTCGTAACGCCACAAAACCTTCGCCCATTGCAAGCATAATTTTAGGCGGCTACTAATATATATATATATATATATATATATATATATATATATATATATATATATATATATGTGTATAAGTGTATATATGTATAAACTAACATACACATAATCTTATATAATGCGTTTTGAATAGTATGCATAAATAAGTTAGTTTTTCTTTCTCTCGCGGCTCTACCCATAGCTCTCACCACACTACAAAAGGTTAGCTGGCAGAGAATGCCTTTTCGGCATTAAGTTCGCCTTTGTACCAAATTGTTTAAATGACCTGAATTACTTTGTAAAAAAATTACTTACTGCATTGCAATATAATTCTTCTTTTGATCTTCTGATTCCTGCAACAAACAAATCTTAGTTCAAAGCACTGCATCTGTAATTTTAGCTGCAGCGGTGAAAATTTTGAAAAACTTTTTTGCATTATTTATTTAGAGTTTAGGTTTTTCAAATTTTCGTTTTGAATGTGGTAGCTCAGATGGTTAGCGCTCGCTGCAAATTTCACAGTAGGCGAGCAAACCGGGTGCGATCCCCGCCGGCACCAATGAAATTGTTAATTGCAATTTTAAGTGCTGATTTACCACGTGCTCGGCGGTGAAGGAAAACATCGTGAGGAAACCTGCATGTCTGAAAAATAAGAAAAAAAATATTTCGAAGACATGTGAAGTTCGCCAACACGCATTGGGGCAGCGCGGTGGACAATTCCTTGCCCTAAAACCCTCTCAGAAATGAGCGGAGGCCTTTGCCCAGCAGTGGACGTCTATAGGCTGTAACTTTAACTTTTAACTATTTATAATTGATATTAAATGTAATGTAGCCTTATACTTATGCGAAGACTACACATTGAATGAATTTATTATTTTACGGAAATTAACTCGTTTAACTAACTTATTTTATATGCCCGCCGACGCAACGCTTAGAGTATTTTGCAGCATCCATGGTCCCGCGGTGACTGAGGTGTTCAACGTCCCAATATAATATCTAACTCCGGTTAACTTCAGCGTAAATTTTTGTATTGGTATGATCTACGCAGAAAGAACTATTTTGAAGTATTGTAGTGTGTCCTTTGGTTTATATTTAATTTTGTTAACTATAGGAGGAATAGTTGAATCCTATTCCAAGAAGATGTTAGCACCTGGCCATCTTCTATAGCGAAATTAGGATGTTAATTTTGATGTTAGATTTTGATCTAGGAATCGGTGTTCTTTTGCGAGGATTCTTAGTCAGATATCCACATTTACATCAGACAACTATCTAAATGTCATATGTACCTATTGTTACGTTGATTAAAGCTACACCTATGTCTAAAGGTGATGCCTTAGTGTAGAGCGTTCGGCGGGGTGACAGGAGTGAGTGTTTATGTATAGTATGTATTTTATGTGTAATTATCTGATGTAAATTTAGGATAAGTGGAATATACGTGATACAATCCGTAAAAAAAAAACTAGTTTCATTTAGAAGGAATAGACTTAGATGTTTACGTGTTAAGGCATCTACTTAACATCAAGTGAACTATGTGCTTGATCGCTTGCATTATTACAAAAAAAAACCTAGGAATAGTACTTAGTACTCTCTATTGGTTCATTTCACAAATGATTATTGAGACTTTGACAAATTATGAAAGACATTTACCGCGATATATTGAAAATGGGCCAAATTAAGAGTACCTTTAACCGACGAGCATGTATGTGTAGGTATATGGATGTGGAGGAGGCGAGAGAGGTGTTCAGTGAGTGATCAGGATCGAGCCAAATGGAAGTCCGTAGTGTCAGCCTATCCCTCTGGGTGAAAGGCGTGAGTGTTTATATTATGTTATGTTATCTTTATATTTACCTCTTCCTCAGTTTGAGATGATTGGAGTAGACCAGCACGGCGACCATTTTCCCTGTAAACATTTTTTATTTTCTAAAAACAGTAACAAATTGTGTAAAATTAATTTTATCCTTAAATAATTCTTGTTTTGCCATATCATCCCACACCACCACCAACCTAAAAGTCTGCTATGGCAAATTCACGCCTATTAGTGAATATATAGGAGAGCCTTCTATTTAACAGTAGCCTTATATATGTTGTAACGTATAATAGAACACCACAAAATAATAAAATCTACACTTGACAACTCACTTGCCAAGCATGGAAACTATGACAAGGGGGCCTCGCCTAATGAATAATATTAATCTATTTGATGTGTTTCCGAACCAGTGGTAAATTATTATATATATATATATATATATATATATATATATATATATATATATATATATATATATATATATATATATATATGATACGATTTATGGACCTTCAATAAAAGAGCCTACTTATTTTTAAAAGCCGTAACCTGCACCCAAATCCTCTGGTGCTGCAGCTGTTCATGGGCGGCAGTAATCACTTACCACCAGGTGAGCCGCATGCTCGTTTGCCCTCTCTCCTATAAAAAAATTAAACATAAGAGTAACTTTCAATAAATCTTAATTATAATATGAATTTAATACAAAAATTCTTTTTCTATTTCTGTTTTTGGATTAAACGTAATCATACCCGCTGTTTATACTTCGTGCTGGTTACAGCCTGATATAATAGTTACGCACAAAGGGCATGATATATCCAAAGCCAGTACAAAAAGGTTTTAAAATTTAACCTTCTACACCAAACACAAATGAAAACTGTGTAGCCCTCCGGGCACGGAAGGTTAGCTGACACGGTAAATATACCACGCAGTTGTATTTTCATTTACCACAGTTACTGTTTTAGGCAATTATATAATAAACTTATATACTCATATAAAGCAAACTTCAAATCAAGTTGATAAAGTGCTCGAATATATATAGACAGCGAATCCTTAGTCACATTAAACAAAATCAATGTTAAACTATTGAAAACAACGGTAACAATTTACAATTAGTACCAAAGTGCCCGTTTAGTAGTATACCTAGAAGTCTTTGTTGCGAATGTATGGGTAAATACAGTCTACATGGTAGAGCCACGCTGTAGCTATATTATGATTATATAGCGAATATATGATATAGACGAAAGACCCCCGGTCGAGCCGACCCATTCGTGCTTATCGCTATAAGAGCTTTTTAACCCTTAATATATACCCTTTAATACGTGGTAGAGCCACTCTGCAGTCGGTCACTCTACGATCGGCTCGACCGGGGAAAAACCACGCTCACAAAATACCAGCGTAAAATAGCAGCTTAACACTGCTGTGTTTCGTATGATAAGTTTAGAGATCCAGAGACCCTTTTTACTGGAAACGAGGCATCCTATCTTAGTCTTCAGGGGTGACAACGCATCTTCTTAATCGAAAATAAATGTAGATTTCTATGGGCCACAGCATCCATTTATCATCAGGTGGATTGTGTGCTCGTATGTCATTAATTTACGAAAGATTGAGACAAGCAATGATCTTTAAGTCACTTTATATATAGATTATTATAATTAATAACGCATAAATAAATTAATGAAACAATAAATTAACGAAACAGTGGATTAATGAAACAATGAATTAATGAAACAATAAATGCATGAATAAGACAATGAATGAATGAATGAAAGAATAATAAAAGAAACAATTTACATCAAGAATCTGGATACAACATTCGCAAGTATACACAACACAACCTACCTAACGCTGTTCATCAGCGCATCGAATGCTTGAAGAACAGACGTTCTGCTGGCGTCGAACGTAGCCCAAGATTTTATCCCAGCGGAGGAATGATTCGTTTCTTTCACGAATGAAATAGTTTTATTTAGCAGCTCCCTGTTAGAAAAATCTGACACGTGTGTTAACTGCACAATATTGAAATAATTTTAGAAAACATATTAATAATAAGAATGTACTCCAGACCTAACTTTGGTCATGGCGGCCAGTCTCAATTAAGACTAGCCCATCTGCTCGGGACGTCAATATAGTACACGAGTGTATTCACAAACACAGGTGCACTCTCTAATACCTCACTCTCATAGTCTGATGGGACGGTAATCCGAAACGTCCAGAGAGAAATCAAACGCAGGACCAACAATTTTATGTGCCTTCCGAGGTATGAACAATAACTAATATGGCCTGACCCCGAGAATCAAATCCATAACCTGATGAATAACAGTCGCACTCACAACTACTAGACGAACGAGAGAGTCATGGTAATCTAAGATCTATGATTACTCAGAGACTGAGCGCTCACGATTAATTAAACAGTACACAAGAAATCACAGTTAAATAATTGTCGGCACCAATGAAATTATTAATTGCAATTTTAATTTTCGAGTGCTAACATACCACGAGCTCGGCTGTGAAGGAAAACACTGTGTTGGAACCTACAACATTATATAAGGTTACTATCTCCGTCGCTAACTTCAGACCTTCAATCATTTTGATGCTTTTAGGAAACGTTTCCAAATTCCTCCTTAGGCTATGTCTTTAGATATCCCAGGAGGTCGCTTTTGGGTGCCTAAAAGCAACGGTTTCATAGGTTTGCGATCCAATTACAAACTTAATGTATTTGTGATCAGACATCGAGTTTTCACTACTAATTAGCTATTCCCACTTCCTCAGAAGTGACAACGCATCTGCAATTCAAATTGCATTTTGAATTGATTCTTTATCTTTGATAAAGAATCGATTCTTTATCGAGGATATGTCTCGATAAAGAATAAAATTCCTTAAGAACTTAACATCTCATTATTTCTTACCCCTTATTCTATAAAAAATAAAGTCTGGCAAATACAGTATTTCAAATATCTCTTCAAAATATTTCACTTGCTAAGCATGAAATAGTTTGCCAACACGCAGTACGGCGGAGTGGGTTAAACGTTCCGTAAGTCACAGCCCGTTCAGTATTGAGAGAAAGGCTGTATATTAAAAAATAATGTAAAAAATATCTTATATAATTTCAACTAACGAAAAATTTGTTAGTTATGGAATTATAGTCAACCGAATCTAACAAATACATTTTGACGTTTCACATTAATCATTCCGCAATAACTTTGCAGAAGCGTACTCACACGATTTAAAATAACTTTTTACGTAAATCCGAAGAATTTTAAAGTTATTTATATTTCATTACAACATGGGTAGTTTTTTATCACAATTTTAAATTCGAATCTTTCAAACAAAGCTAAATATTAAAAAAGTAACCAGTATCTACTTTTTCACTTGAGGTTGTTTTAATAATATGTCGCTACGTGCCATACTGTAGTGTTTGGAAGATTAAAATTCATTGTTATACGAATAACAAATACAAAAATATTCAAATAATCGGTAAAAATATTCAAATAATCGATTCAATAATTTTGTTAAAGTATCATTAGTTTTTTTTTAATTCCTTAAATTACATGAATCATGAATAAAACAAGTTAATTTTTTTACTATGTCTTTGTGTAGGCAAAAAAACTCATATACATATACAAACCACTACATACCTAATTTCAATGCCATCAAAAACATAACTTACTAACTAAACAAACAAGTTGTGTGATCCATGTAATACCAAGTCGGTTAATTTATTCAGTTCCTACTTAAGGGTCCTTCTGTTTTAAGTTATTACATAAGTAGCTAACCTAACAACATTTTATAGTGACCATATCAATGTTAAAAATGTTTTATGTTTTAAATATATAGATTGACTTGGCAATCGTACTAAGCAATCTAAATTAATATATATAATTAATATTAAATTAGATTGCTTATTATATTACATGGATCACACAACCTTTTACGGTAGAAGAGCTGAGTTGCGAGACTTGTTTTTTTTACAAGTTATGTTTTTGATGGCACCTCATTTCTTTTTGTAGATAAGATAGTCCTACTCTTTTTTACCTTTCCGGTACCTTCTACTTCTTGAATACCAAAAACGTACCTATCTACATCTGTTATACATATACATGTACACTGATTCATTCAATGCAAGTGTGACTTTGTAATTCTATATATTCATATGGGATTACATTATTTATGCAGTTAGTGTATCTAGAAAACTGAACCGAAATTGAAAAATATTTTAGTTTTTCCTTGATTTATACACTAAACATCAATTGTATTCTAAATTTGAAGCTTCTATGTCTGCTAGAAGGGCCTTAGAGTTTTGATGATCGGTCAGTCAGTGAGTGACAAAATTAAGAAACTTGGACTAGTTATACTTCAACTAAAATTAAATGAAATTGAAATATATCGTGTTTATATAATGTACACTTGGTTACTGAAATTTCCGGCTTCTACTTTTATCCACTACGAAGTTATAGTGGTTCGAAAATGGCCTGAATTGCTTCGAGAAATGTATGGGACGGCCATGCCGCTTTTTTTGCTCGACTTGGCGGGGGCATGGCCGTGCCCCCAGATCTCCCGGCATTTCGGGAGCTTGCTGTGCGTAATTTAGTGATTTTGTGTTTGTCTTCTTATTTTGTGACTCGGCTTTAACTTTTTGGACTGTTTCTCCTATATTCGTTGAAAGTGATTGAATAAATTTATTTTTAATCTAGTTTCAAGCATAAATGTGTATAACTTTGCCTCTAGAAATAAGCAGTAACAACAAATACGAAGAAACTGATAAATCTTGTGTTTTAAATTATTCGTTTCTTATTTATTTTGGTATATTATTCAAACCAAACTGTAAATGATTACGAACTCTAAATAATCGATATCGATTTTTTTAAGAATCGAATATTGTACGTTCTCATTTGTTAGTTGGCATGCTTGGTGCAATAAGTCTGACAACTGTCAAAACGTATTTCTTAGATTTGGTTGGCTATAGGACGTTTATAATTACCTGGAGTTGTTGATTACATCTTCGCATGCACTGCGGCTGTCCGTTGAAAATTCTTTTACATTCGGCACTAGACTTGGGTGATTGATGATGACACTAAGAGCGGCTAAACTGTCCAAAATTTTGAGTGTAATTCTGGTTATTGTTGTCTGTAATCAAAGATAGCTATTAACATAACTAATACTCCTGTTAATCACTCCAAGTAATAATTAATTAGGTATATAAATTTGTTATTTCCAGCAAAGAATATCTTAACTTTCAGGATACTTTGAGATACAGCTTAAAAACAAATACAATTATTGAACATCTGTGTCTGAACTAGATAACTAAGTATAAGATACTGACCGTGCAGTGGCGGTTTATAAACATCTACTGCCTCCATATTATCCCGAAGGTTTCGTAAGGCGATAGAGGGAAACAAGCCAGGAGATGGGCGGCAGCGTCTTTCTATTAACAAATAGGGAATAAAAAAACTGTGGTTGTCAACGCGCCTGGCAAGCGTGGCAAACTATGGCAATTATGAGTCTATCTACGAAGAAGCCTATATTCAGCAGTTTTTGATAATCTGTACTGAATGAATGAAAGCGTAAAACACTTGTATTAGGAGTGGTTTACGATAGCATTCAAATGGTAAATACAAACCCGCCATGTTGATTTATTTGAAAAATCACACAGCATGATTTATTTGAAAAATCATACAGCAGCATGAGAACAGCAGTGGTAGAGCCACGCTTCAACTATATTATAGTTGTAGCACGAATGGGTTGGGTCGACCGGGGCAGGACCACGCTCTCACAGAATGTCGTCGACGATTCGAGCCGCTCTGCGCTGGATGCGGTCAAGTGGAAGAAGCTGGTACTGGGGAGCCCCAGCCCAGAGATGGGAACAGTATTCCATGTGCGGCCGAACCTGCGCCTTGTAAAGTTGCAGGCGGTGTGCCGGCATGAAATACTGTCCCGCTCTGCTGAGCACGCCAAGCTTTTTAGAGGCCAATTTGGCCTTCCCTTCTAAGTGACCACGAAACTGCACGTCACTCGATATGTCGACGCCGAGGATTCCGATACTGGCTGAGGCAACAAGGGGAGTGCCTTGAAACTGAGGGGATACGACAAAGGGGTTCGGTTAACGCGCAAACTTGTGTCTTCTGGGGGTTAAACTGGACTACATTTAGTCGCCCCCAATCCGAGACTCTGACCAGCAGAGACTCGACTTCAGACACAAGTTTGTCCCGGCACTCGGAGACGTTTTCCCGAGAAATATTGGCTCGGCCGGTGTAAAGAGCATCACCAGTGCTGTCATCTGCATAGCAATGAATGTTACGGGTATGCAACATGTCATTGATATGCAGAAGAAACAGCGTTGGCGATAGCACGCAGCCCTGTGGAACACCAGCATTAATAGGCTTACAATCGGAGCTTGCACCGTCTACAACGACCTTGATGCTCCGATCTGCAAGAAAACTGGTGATCCAATCGCACAATTTCTCGGGAAGCCCATAGGAAGGGGAGCTTCGAAAGAAGCGCTCTGTGCCAAACCCGATCGAAGGCCTTCGCAATGTCCAAACTAACGGCCAATGCCTCCCCCTTGAACTCTACTGCCTCCACCCATCTGTGAGTTAGGTAGACCAGAAGATCACCAGCTGACCGACCACGGCGAAAACCGTATTGGCGGTCACTAATCAGCTGGTGATCTTCAAGGTACCTCATGAGCTGGCAGTTTACAATGGACTCCATTGTTTTGGAGAACAAGGAGGTGATGGCGATTGGCCGGTAGTTGGACGGGTCAGAGCGGTCGTCTTTTTTAGGGATCGGGTGGACGTAAGCCGTCTTCCATGATTTTGGGACTACGCCTAGGGAGTAGGAGTACCGGAAAAGACGCGTTAAAACCGGTGCCAACTCTGGAGCACACGGCCTCAGCACAATTGGAGGGATTCCGTCAGGCCCACTCGACTTGTGGATGTCCAGGGAGAGGAGTGCTTTGCGAACCGAACGCTGTGTGAAGTGCACTTCCGGCATGGAGCACTCACACCGCGGGATGGTCGGCGGAGTACTCCCCCCGTCATCGAGAGTCGAGTTAGACGCAAAGAAAGAGCCTAGAAGATCGGCTTCCTCCTTTGCAGTATGGGCCAGTGAGTCGTCCTCCCTGTGTAGAGATGGAAGAGATGGCTGACAGAAATTCCCCTGGACAGCCTTGGCGGGAGACCAGAATGCACGGGTTCCAGAAGGAAGGCGAACTAGTCGCCAATTCTGCCTATGTGCTCTGACTTTGCCTTGGCAATGACTCTTTTGAAGGACCTAGAGGCGGAATTATACTTCTTTTTTAGAGCGCTGGTGTTTACATCCCGGGACGCTGATGCATCAGCCCAGGTTGGTAGCACTCCTGCTTATAGCATGATGCTATTTTACAGGAGCGACCAAACTATGGCTGAGACTTGCCTCCAATGGGCACCACAGAGGAAGGAATAAAAAGTTCCATACCCTGAAGTACCACATCAGCAACAGAATCCGCAACAACTTTGGGATCATCCGGCGAGAAGCAAACCCGCCCCCAAGGGTAGGATGCAAAGAAAGACCGCATCACATCCCAATAGGCTGACCTATAGTGCCAAACACGGCGGCAGCCTGCAGAATGCAACCGCGATTTCAGCGTGAGTGGCACCACACTCCGGACCAGACAATGGTCTGAGGAGCCTAAAGGGGCGTCGACGGAAATCTGATATCCGTCCGGGTGAGAGGTCAGCAGAAGGTCCAACAGGGAAGGTGCATGATCCTCCACATCTGGAATCCGCGTAGGCGAAGTAACCAGTTGTGCCCGACCATATGCCAAGGCAAAATCATGAACAGATCTCCCCGCATGATCGGTTAAACGTGAACCAAGCCATTCGGCGTGATGGGCGTTAAAGTCGCCGAGGATCACGATCTCTGCGGAGGGGATCTGCTGTAGCAACGAATCTGCAGCCATTTGGACGTGGTCGAATAGTCGGTCTGTTTTGGCATTACCGCTATGGGACCTATAGAGGCACCCGTAGACGCGCGGATGGTCGTCGCTGTCTACGCGTAGCCAAAGGATGGACAGGTCCGAACCTTCAAGTCTGCCGAGGCGTCGAGAGCAGATGTCCTCTCTGACGTAAACGCAAATTCCAGCCCGAGGCACAAAGGAGTGTTCCAGTTTGTACCCCGGGTAGGAGAGATACGAGACATCAGCCGGAGAGGACACCTGCGTCTTGGTCAGAAAGAGCAGAGCCGGCCTCGCCGTCTCGAGATGGTAGTGGACGGCGTTTAGTTTAGAGTGAAGTCCCCTGATATTGCAGAAATTCACGGACAGCGTGGCAAGGGTCGCCTTGGTCTCGTTGCTCCGTTTGCCAAGAGCAGTTGTAATCTTGAGCGGAATTTTGCTCCCCCCCCAGAATACGCGTTCCGCCTGAGCACCCACGCTCAGAAGTGGAGAAACATGGTCGTGGATGCTCAGCGAGGGATTCTCCAGGGGGTGCTGGTACCCTCTTGGGGTAGTCGATCATTATTTAATTCCGTTACCATGTTGATGGGGGGGGAGGATTTGGGCCTCCGGCCACCTGCACTCACCAGACGAAACGCGGAAGCAGGACTTCCACTTCACGCCGGTATTCTGTGAGGTCGTGGTACCACCCCGGTTTGAGCCGGCCCATACGTGCAACAGCAAAGCTGCCGCGTGGCTCTACCACTGTTAAAAATATAATATAATCATTGAATACTCGCTAATTCGTCACAAAACTTCCGTCTAGGATGATCATTTCTGACTCTGCCACTTATCTATACAGCATATGTTTGCTCTGTCATTCTTTCCTCACTTATTCTTTCTACGTGTCAAAACCACTAACGCATTCCTTTTACTTTTATCTAACCACAAAACTTTTAATGCTATCGTTACAAATTATCTCTAACATATTTCTTTACGATCACATTTCTACAACATTAATTTAACTCTCATGCTTCTAGCAAACTTAACTTTCACTAACCTATATATTGTTACGAGCTTGAGGTTCGTGACAATAAAAATTGAAGATAGAATTACCTAAATTAACACTTTAATTTTAAGTCTGATTAAATCGTTCTACCATTCCATCATATTGCGGGTGATAAGAAGTCGTTCTTGTTTTATGAGTACCCATAACTCGGCAAGTTTCCTGGAATATTTGGGACTCAAAATTCCTTCCTTGATCGCTGTGAATCTCCAAAACGACAGAAGACTTCATGAACTAGTTTATCTGCAACTGTTGAAGCTTCTTGATTTGGAATGCCGAAGACTTCTGGCCACTTAGTGAAGTAATCCATCACAACCATGAAATACTTGTTACCGCTTTCACTCTCCGGAAACGACCCCGCCATGTCAATGGCTATTCTCTCCCATGGTGCACCAACATTGTACAACTTCAATGCACCTCTACTACGAGTCTGAGGTCCCTTTACAGCCGCACAACTTGTACGTTTGCGACACCAGTCCTCGACATCGTTTCGACAGTGGACCCAATAAAACCGTTCTCGGATCTTCAGTAGAGTTCGTTTAACTCCCAGATGGCCTCCGGAAAAATCATTATGGTACAGCTGTAGAACATCGGGTACTTTAGCTTTAGAGACAACCATTTGCAAGTGACAGCTGTCTCCCCGAACATTTTCCCATTTACGGCACAGAACTCCATCCTGAAGCAGCAAGCTGTCCCATTGGGCCCAATAAGCTTTTAGTGGTCGAACTCATCGCTGAGACGTCGCTCCACTTGGGCTTGGGAGCACTGGCCTTATTCCATTTAAGAATCGGCTTGATGTCCGGATCTTCCTGCTGTGCATGTTGTAAGCTGTCCTTCCACTCGTTGCTGAGGTGGTCTGTCCTGAGCATCCTCACGGATACCACTTACTTACTCTCCTGCCTAGTACAATGTTTGCAATCTTCAGGACAAGGTCTTCGTGACAATGCATCTGCGTTGCCATGAGATTTCCCGCTGCGATGTTCGATCTCAAAGTCGTATACTTGCAGTAGTTCAATCCACCTCGCAACTTGTCCTTCTGGATTTTTAAACTGCAATAGCCATTTTAGTGCAGCATGGTCAGTTCTTAAGCGAAATTTTCGTCCCAGAAGATATTTGCTAAAATGCTGCAATGACTTTACCATAGGAACT